CCATTCTGAAGCATTAAAAGGCTCACCTTTTGATATTTAACTCAATTAGCAGGGAATTTAAAGCATTTAATTCAATTAGCGCTAATCCACTAGATTTACAAGATCCAGCATTATAATATTTCCAGTGAATTTCATTTTAAAAAGGCCACAAACAATAGATGGTAATCATAGAAATGTATATTAGATTGTTTTGCTATTTTCACTTGACAAAGCTTGTTTAGAATTTAGCCCGAAGCATCCTGTTTTTACTCAATTATCAATTAGCTATAATTAAAAAGATTTTTTTAATATTTTAATTAAATTGAGGCAAAATCTTGAATTTTTTTTCGCAAACCAAACTAAACCACTTTAAGCCAAATAATTTTATTTCAACCCTTGTGTAACTGAAATTAAATTTTTGATTAGCCTCAAAACTTTGACAGTCAAGTAGCGACAATAATTTAAATTAAAAGTCGAGCAGAATGCACACTATTTCCGAGCCAACTAATTGCTGTAATAATAATGAAAACAAACTTAAATATGGGTGTTTGTTGATCTTTCATTAGAAATGGCTTCCAAATGTCATTTAGGTTCGTTTATATTTCCGGCTTTTGGCGTGTTTGCATTTGAATTTCGCTGTCAAAACTTTTGGCTAAAGCCGCGCGAGGCGAGTGTCACTTGACATTATGAGGCGGGAAGCGAGGACTTTCCACTGTCTCCAAGGAAAAGTGAAGCTGACCTTTCGCAAGGCGCAAGTTGCCTGTCTTGGGAGGAAATTTTCTATAAATGATAAATCGACTCAAAGTGCTTCTTGAGCTTAAGCACGGTTGACAATTGATATGCGCCTTCAGATAGAATTTTCATGGAGCGTAAGCTTGTGAAATAAGCTTATTTAGTTAAGGCTTCTCAGAACGGTTTAGGGACGGTAAAACTGGTTATGAAACCCGTCGAAGGAAAGTCACTTATTATCCTCCTTTCCGCAGGACTGCGATATGGGAATCATTCCCCGTATTTGAATGGATTTTACGTGCCCTGTGGGTGACATTTGCGGATGCGTCCATTAGTTTCAATCAAATTTCATAAGCAAACAAGCAGGACCAATAAACTGATGTACGATCTGTATGTGTGTGCTTATATATATATTGGCATTAGCATGCATGATAAATAATAAACATATTATAAATAGCCTTTTCCCTCTGCAAGCGATTCGACCATCAATCAATGGCATCGGGCAAACGAATGGAGGGACTAAAGGCCTTTAACTTGGCTTCCGCCTCGAATTACTCAGCACATCCCACTCATCTTGGCCCAGGCCTGGAATGGCATTGGCAAATAAGATTTATGCCACTTTTCGTTTGGGGTTATTCATACATTAAAGCCCTGGCTTTTGGTATATTAAAGGAGTCCTTTTCTCGGTTGCCATTTTTGGCGGTAAAAGCTGCCTGGCAGGCCGTCGAAATGCTTTTCATGGTTAATTAAAACTCGTGCGGCATTCGATTAGCATATTGAATGTCAATTTTTGCTCCCCATTCCTTCTCTGGTTGGGCCTGCTGTCAGGGCTTTAAATTAATTAATTACTTTGAATGTAAACATTGGTTCAATCGCTGTCCCAAGTTTGGGGTTTTAAGCGTTTAAATGTGTATAGTGTATGTATGTACATAGACAAATTGGTTGATTTTCACCCTGTGGCTGTTGCTCTTTCGCTGTTTATATTTACATAGCTACGGCCGAATATCGTATACGACACGTGGGCTATATAAATGCAATTCTCATGGCAGTGAGCCCCCCAATGGTGTTGTTTTAATGAGCCCGAGACCGAGCCCGAGCCTGTCTGTGTACGCGTCAACAATCAAAGCGTTCGATTTCGGGTCATCATTAGAAAATTATTCGTGTAGAACACCAATTTTACCCTCGTTTGAATACCATTTATTTGGGATTTTAAATGAGAATGTGTAACTTTAATTTGCACTGGTTTAATAAGCAAATATCACACCATGGTGTCTCTGACAGCGAGGCAATCACTTAATCCTTGAATATTTGCATATCTCGATTGCATTGCGAAACGTGCACTTGGAATCTGTCATTGTCATTGCATTCAATGGCTGGTATGTTCGTTCATTCATTTATAAGCCTCGAGTGCCAATGTTTCGACAAGACACGGGTAAACATGGCCAATCGGAAAACTAACACGGACGCTTTAAGCAATCAGCCGGAGTTCAACATGGCGTATGCGTAATAATATTGGATTCGCTTACGCGTTTTACTTGCAACAACATCAGCGACGGAGTAAGCAAGGCCAAAGCAAAACAATTGCAATCAGTTGGGGTAACAACTACAAATGTGCAATAAAACAATACACTGGAAAACATAGTCAGGTTAAACGATTCATTTAACTAATATATATAGTAATAATGGAATAAATTGTATATTTTATTTTAATATTATAGTGAAATATATTATATTTAAATACAAATTTAATTGTCATGAATAAAAATAAATAAAAAAAGATGTGACCATAGCCTCTTTATTCTTTACAAAATAAAGAAAGCACTTTTTCTACAAACCCTTCACAAAAGTGGTATAATATCATCATGCAATTAAAGTAATGGAAACCAGGTGTGTTTATAAAACTTTTAAGATACACAAATTAAATATATAACATATTTTCATTAAATAATATTCCATATATTCAAGAATTATGTTTCAGTCTAAAAATGCAAAACCAAATCAAAAATGTCTGCATAATATTACGTATACGCACAGTGCGTTGGCCGTTTGAGAGCTCTTCGCATTCATTGTCGTGTGCGTTTCGATGAGCCTACAATGTTGGCGTGACAACAATCGACCCTAAGCCCTACCCCATAACAAATAAAGGAAAATCTACTTTGACAGCAGTAAAGAAACCCAACTGGAAAAAAAAATATAATAATAATATAAGTAAATAAGTGGGGAGAAAAGGTGTCAGAGCCACGTTGACATGTGAAAGTAAGCACTGCCGCTTGCCGCTCAAGTGAAAGGCTTACGGCAAAAACGAAAACATGAGAGACTTTTATTATTTCCCCGAACGAAAGCACGTTTGAATTTTTCATCTGCTTAAAAGGTACATACATAAGAACCGCAAGGTAAAATAACGAAAATAAAATCCTTTATCAAGGCGGCTCATCTCGGAAAATTAAACGCCGCTAAATATGGTCTGGTCATGGGCGTTAGGGCCAACATAACATCCTCGGGCTAATAAAAACACTCACGGAAAAGGGTCCACTTATCGCAGGAGGACTTCAAAACAAGCCATCGCCCGTGGGAGAGATGGCCATCAATGTGACAGTCGCCATCCGGGGGAATGGCTAAAAGCAAAATTCCTATCTCCGAGCCATAAATGGTTCCTAATGGCCAAAGCATTGCGATACGAGTTGCCCGGCAACAAAATCACATAAAAATGTTTCCCTCAGGAAGAAGAAAAATTCTAAAAATACAAGATAACAGAAATTGAAAGAACTGCAATTTGAATTGAACACAAGCTCGAGCTGTGTATTTCGTTAAGGAGCCAAACCGGTGATATAATCCGCTTTAAAATGGCACAAATGTTGAGAGAAAAGAACGTGTTTACCTTCGGCAAAACAGAAAAGTAATGGACGTGGCAGCTTTACCATATAGCCCATACAATAATAAGATTTAATAATACTTATTATTGCATTAAAGCGAAAAAACAACTGACAAGAATATTCATAACAAACATAGGCATCCTTCCTTGAACTATTAAAGTCACTGGCACAACTTTGGGGACGGGAAAGAAACACGAAAAACTTTGTCGAAACAATTTGTGAAACTTTCTTTCGCCGAAACTTGCCAAGTTCTCCATTTGGGTTATTAAACTGAGCTCATATTAAATTCAACAATCATTTATTACGGTCCCCTCTCCCAGCAGGACCGCAGAAATGTGGTCCGAGCACATTGAATTGTTGACGGTCACAATGTGAAAGGGCTTAAACAATGGCAACCAGTCGGCTTTTAACACAGAAAGTCCTTAACCTGGATAATGCTGATCAGCAGGCAACAAATGCCCTGCCAGCTTTTATGAAATAATCACCGTGAATCGTACTCGTCCACAACCTGACACAAACCCATCCATCAATCAATCAATATTCAGCAGCTGCAAACGAAACCTTGACAACTCCCCTGCGGAAACGGACGCTGAAATACATCAAATTTGTTTGAAAAAGACATCTGCAAATGGAATTCTATTTAAAAAATTTTGAGTGCAAAAAATATGAAATAATTTAAAAAGGGCCATTAAATTGTGTTAAATTGAGGTTGAATTATCATAAATGAAATAATTGAGGGCCACTAAAAAAAAGTCATAAAATGATAAACTCTACAGTATCCTTTGGCAGGAACTTAATATCTCTTAATTTATCTTTGTCAAGACTTAAAAAAATATTATTAAATATACTACTCGTTTGGGTTCTAGGTTCTGTATATTACTTACCATTTTCTTAAAAATATTTCATATTCCACGAACTAATTTCGGTAACACAATTAAATTAAATCTATAAAAACCCAAACATTTTATTGTAATAGTTTAATTCAAAATGGATTTATTAAAATGGGGAAAATGATATATTATCCAGAACTGACAAAACAAACTACAAACCCATTTGTTGTTATTAATCGCTATCCAATTTTATTGTCAAAACACATCCGGACATCATGCATAAATTGTTATGTCAGCAATAATTACATATGCTAACATTAACATATATGAACTTGCTATGGCAACAGCAACAATCAAGTGGAAACATGCCTGGGAAAATGTATTTTTAGGCTGAACCGATGGTTGCCCCCAAGAGTTTATTGTTCAACTGTCAAACAAATTGAACTTTTGCCCATCATCAATCGTCATCATCATCAACATTATCCACTGCCCACACAGCCTCAGATGTTGCTCTTTTCAACTAGAGCTCTTTGAACACTCTTGGAAACTTTTGTACGAACCATCACTTTATTTTTGTAAAAATGCAACTGCAGTGCTTTATTATTGGCATTAACTTAAAAATTTGTGCACACACAGAGAAATAGAGAGATGTTTATTGGGTTATCGCACACACTTCCAGTTGGAAACTAGGAGCACAGGTCCTCGATTGACTCTCCTTGAAGGAGCAGGCGCTGCTCGTGTTTGTTTTTCTTGGTTGCGGATTTGCCGCCAGCGGCTTTTCCACGCCTTCGATTCATCACGCCATCCGCTTCGTCCATCATGCGCAGAATTGTGGTCTGAAATTTTGGGGGAAAGACAGGATGAAGTTTATACGATGTGGGTTTATTATTTATTTAAGCTTAATTCGGTTGTTACTTCCTGGTACAAGGTATTGCGTTATTTATTTAAGAGGTTTCTAGCAAGGTTACTTTAAAAATGTCACAAGAGTTATACAAAATGTTCCCTATTTAATGTGTTGTAAATATATATCTTCTCTATTTTCATAATAAACTATTACTTACCTGATCTGAACAATCCATTGGAGCCACCGATATATCCCTTACTGCTCTGAATTTGCCCACATTGTTTAAATGCTCGTTCTCCAGCCGAAAATAATTCCAAATAAAGCGACGGAAAACCTCCAGGGGACTGAGTATGGTCATCATTACGTCTCCTTCGATGTAGCCTGCTTCGATGAGACTCATGGACAGCGTCCAGCTGAAGCGCAATATTAAATCCTCAATTATGCCAAAGTAGTAGAACCACTGGGGAGAAGAAACCAAGTTATAGAGAGTGAGATAATGAATGCTCCGAAAGATTGTTTTACGTGCCGTTTCGGGGCAAATATTTATCGTTGCCATTATTTGTGGGGAACCGGAGTTACCGCACTCCTCTTGGCCTCCCAAAAACGGAAAACAATCCCCTTCCGACTCACCGTCGATGAATAAACGATTTCCTCACGCAAGAATCGATTGTCGCCGGCCTTCGAGTCGAAGAGTCCCCAGTCCATCTTAATGTCCCATGTGTAGGCGTAACAGGATGAGAATATTGCCGCCGTAATCCAGCAATAGAACCAGGGATTTTCCTTGGACAAGGGATAGGTGTCTGTGAATTGAACACGAAGAAAAATAAAGTTGCATTTTATTAATCGTAAAATATAGACTAGAGTGCAGTGATTTTGATTTCGAATTCAATATTTTCAAATATCGCAGCTTTCCAGTAACTATTCTAGATAGAAGTAATACTGAAATATTACTAATTATAAGCCCTTTTTTTGTCCAGTGTCCTCGCGAATGGAGTGAGATGTGGCCGCACGTTCCCTCCTTCCAAACACAATCCACTGTACATGAATTTTGTGGCTGACCATGAAGACGGCACTAATTGGCGCCGTTCCGTAAACAGCACGCATAATGTGGGATAATGAACCCACATGCCAAGAACAAACCCAAACCACCCACACAATGAATCCACTTACCCGTTGTCGTGTGATATTTGTGTGCAAATATCACCACAAAAAATGATGTTGCATACTTCGCCGCATTGACCAGGTGGGGAAAGGACTCCTTTGTGTCCCGATATCTCCGAATGCACTGTGCGAACCGGAAGTAGGCGGGTAGAATGGCAACAATGGGGTGCAGCAGTGATACATATTCCACACAATGGCTGGCAGCTGGTGTGGAAATAAAACAATCACAGTTAATTAACCACACAGTGCATTTAAGCCGCATTCCCACATTCCCGGTTTGTGTTTCAATTGTAAAGAAAATTAACACTCAAGGCGGTTTAATTCGAGGGAATTGTATACTATTGTTTTACGAGTTTAATTTTCACTTTCTTCTGCTCGCCTTACACAATATTGTTGCAAAGTTCTTGGAATACTTGGGGGGGGACTATTCATTATTTAAATCTATATAAAGAAGTCAACTTTTCAGGAGCAAGTAAATATAATTATGCTTTCCGAGACATGAATACATATACGCCTTGAAGCAGCAGGAACATTTATATTTTCTACACGAAATCAAGGTTTATATAGATATTAAACTTTTTGAAAGCCTTAGAAATACGATTTAAAGAATCTACTTAAAGGGAATCCCGAAGAAATCTATATCGAATTAAAATCAATTAAGATATTGTTTTAAAATTTTGCAATATATTCAATACTATATATAATTTAGTGGTAAAAATAATAGATTTTAAAACCAATTCGTAATCAGCAAAATTATATAAATTGTAAATTTCTAAAAAATTAAATATCAAAATTTAAACCCACTTACCTTTTCCCGCCTTGTGCCATGTGGGACTCCTTCCAAAAAGCAAATCAGAAAGGGAATATCCAGAAAGGCTGGCACCATGCTGTTCAGTTGATCCGCCAGCCAGAAATCCGCAAAGTTCACAAAACAAAATGGAGCCATGATCACTCGGATGAGTACCCTCAGAGCCCAATACCGTGCCTCGTGGTGGAACGTCTTTGTGGGATTCAGCAGGAAGGCGGCCATCAAGGTGTAGAGGCACAGTGGAGCTGCATATTGTGGGATTCCCAGGGGATCGCAGAAAATGTAACTGAGCACACAGCAGGCCCAGATAACGCCAAACACTGAGGCCACCTCCATTATATTCTGCTCGGACAGATGATTCCGGGGATCCAACTCGAAGATAAGGACATGATTCACACCAGACGAACGCCATCCATAGACATTGACGCCCCAGAGGAAAAGGCATTCGATTATTAGGAATGGGGCCCGGAACATCCTCATGCCAGCCCGCCAATTCTCACCGAAGCCATAGAACATGGCTGCAATCACAACCGTGATGAAGAGCACCACGAAGGCGCCAGAGAAGAGACCCACCTTGAAGGTGGTCCATGGACTCTGCTGTTCGCCCAGCGGTGGCACTCGCAGACGCTTCATTGCCCTCTGTCGGTCACCACCTTCAATGTCCTGGGTGACAGCCTGCTCCGTTTCCTGGATCAATCGATCGATGTCCTTGTTCGTGTAAAAATGTGCCGCCTCCACGTGATCCGTGCGCCAACGGGCGCCATAATCCACGCTCAGCAGCTTGTCGTGCTTCTTAAGTATCTTGCGGAAACCCGTGAAGTTGAGATTCTGATAGTTCTGGAGCAGTATAAGCCCCAGATAGAATTCGCTAAATGCCAACTTGAGATCCTGTATCTTGCGCGCCGGTACATTCTTCTTGCCCAGCGGCGTTCGCCTCTTCCAGGCCGGCAGCTTCTTAGGATGCCCCATCTCCAGAGCCTCGGTCAGTTCGCTGCGCAGACTGCCATACTTTCGGGTGGCCTCGGCCATCTTTTCCGAATAGAATGTGTTGATCTTGGCCAGCTCCTTGTCGCAGTAGTGAAAGAATTCCTCATCGAACTTAGCAAAGTAACGTGTCACCATCTCCCGCTCCACTAGCTCTGCGGATGGCGACTGTTCGATGGCTGCATAAAGCATGGCTTTCATTTCCTGTAAATTAAAATTAAAAAACTTAAATTAAAATGTATTAAATTAATAAGAACTAATTAATTATTTTGGAGTAAATAGTCAAATTGAAATTTTAGCCATGTTGTGGCTGGAAGCCATGCCCCAAAAAGTAGGCAATGAATTGTAAAATACCAGTTTTGGGAATTATGTTATGTTATTTTTTGTTTCAATAAAAATATAAATTATTAAATCTTCCCATTACAAATTACATTTCAAATTAAAACATTTGTAAAATTAAATAAATTCCATTGAATTATAAATATTAAGTCGCATTAATTATGTTCCTCACTGTAGCGTTAATCGCTTTCCTTCTTTTCTTCACTTGAGCTTTCATCCCACCCTCCTTTTCCGCTCCCTCTTCCACCAAGAAGCCGTTTTATTTACGTTTGAGGAGAGCAAAACAAAAGTGGCACAAGCCCCGGCGGAGTAAAAGGGCGCATGCGCCAACATGGCCGAGCGGAGAAAGCTCCCCAATTTGACAGTTGGCGTTGAACAGCTGATTGCTCACGTGATGCCACAGCTGAGAAAGTGACAGCGCGCAGGCGAAAAGCACACTAACCCATTCGTGTATCTACACGGATACAGATTTTTCCGCACCTTGGAACGGCGATTTTCGTCACTTACCTCATAGTTAATGTACTGCTTTCGCCACTCGGGCGTTATGTGGGCCGTCAAATGCTCGGCGAACTTCATTTTGGGAACTGGGGGGACTCACAACTGGCTGCACTGCATCCGCATCGGACTGAAACGGCGAGGACGTGGTCGCTGCTCCAAACGCACGTTTTCACGTAAACATCACAACTGGGCCGCCACCGCCACTCGGCGGCGAAAGTTCTGGGATGTTGGTCCAAATGGCGGGGATATCGGCTATTTCGGGTTGCAGGGGCAAGAGAAGGGGTCTCTTTCGTGGAGCTTTCGATATGTAAATGGCATCAGTTTTGTTATTGCCTCTCACATCCGTTTTCAATGTCAACAATAACAAAAGCGCAACACACGCATATTGAGTTCAGAAATTGATTAGATTTTATTAAATTATCTATTGCGATATTCCGCAAACTTAATGGAAATAATTTATTATCATTTATATGAAAATATGTGTTGAAATTATGAAACAATTTATTTAAAGTTTGAAAAACTCTATTTGTCGTTTTTATAATATTTTATTTTAATAATATATTATTTGTTATGAAAAATAAATATAGGCGAAAAATGCACTTATCTATACTAAATGCACTTTAAAAAAACGTTTTGTTTGTTTTAATTATAACATTATTTTTAAAACTATTAAAATACTTTATTTCTTAAATTTCTTGACATCTTTTCTGTGCATAAAGTTACAAATTTGATTAGATTTTATTTAATCATTTACCCCAATATTCATCATTTTTAATTGCAATATATTCATGTTGTTAAATGAAATTCAAGCTACATAGTAATTAGCTTGAGTCTTAAAAGCATTCTTATGTAATTTTAATTACCAATTACTTATGAGCATATGTACATACAATGTTTCGTAGTTATTGTCCACGCCCTTAAAAAAGGGTTCAAGTGTATGAATGCATTAAAGAATAATAATAGAAACTTGAACTTTGATAAAGTATCAGGGTAATCAAAAAACAACTTGACAACAAATTAAATTTAGTTTTTTGATTAGATAATATTTGGTATTAAAAATTAGCGCCTGCATAAATATAAAAGCTGATACAGTGTTTACGTTCTGATGATCAGAAACTTTTTTATTTAGGCTAACTTAATGGTAAGGAATTTTTTTAGTGTAAGAACAGTTTTACATATTAATTTTTTATTTGCCTTTACTTGTGAACTATACAATTTAAATAAAACAATATTTTAAAACCTCAAGTGAATTTGATATTGTTTTAGAATAACCTTTAGTCTCTTTATATGAATAATAATTATTAAAACGGAGTGTTGTCATGAGTTTTATAACTTTAAAGAGTTAAATTAAAATAAAATAGCTTGTCATGATGACAGCTAGCTAATAGATTTCCTACCTAAAAGTCCGCATTAGTCATCGGAAATTACAAAACCTTTAAACTACCTATCTGTTTAGTAAACACAAAATTAAATATATCAAACAATAGTTATAAACATATGAAAATAAGTTAACAATAAAATCTAAACCTAATAATAAGCATATGTAAATTTCAAAGCCCAAAATGCCTATGTATTAGTAAGTGCTGTCATGTAAATGTAGCATTAAGAAATAATATAATAATGAATAACAATAAAGATTTCCAGGTCATGCAATAATAATTACCATAACTATTGCAGATCCCTTACTAATTGGATATCTAATTAGTATTTAGTTACAGCCACAGCCCCAACAATCTTCGACTGGGTTTCAAAGGGGAATAACTTGGCTGAGTAGGCTCTGTTAACTATATCCAATTGATTTGAACAAACCACAGAGAATTTTCACCACCCCCTCCTATTTCATATATATATAGAGAAATCAGCAAGTAAAGAAAACCACAGCAAGTCACAAAAAACCAATTCCTGAAGAGTTCACTGCACAAACCATAAACATTGCCCGAGTTCCCGAGTTTACTTCGCTTATCGCAATTGAAGGGGGAGCGGTGCTGGGGCAGTGACAGTCCCCTCCTCGGTGTGCGGGTAATGTGTTTTTCTTTTTGTTGTTTGTTTTCTTTTTATTTTTATATTGATTAAAGAACGGGCGGCAGTGGCGGAGCAGTTGATGCCCCCACCCGCATTGAGTCATTTACATGATCGCACCGAATGCGGAGCACAATTGGAGAACACATACTACATATAGTGCTCTCAGTGATCACAACGTCGAGCGTTTGAGGCTGCGTTTGGCTTCGTCAGTCGTTGATTAGTCCGCTCGCTGGATAGACATTGCTGCCAGATCGACAAACACTTTCAGTTCCCGCTTTCAGATCCCGAAAAACCCCCAGATTTAGAACCGTTTAGATTACCTCAGGAAGCGATAAGTAGCTTTAGCTACTGATATAAATTCCAAGCACTCAGTTGGGGTTCTTCATTGAATTGGAGTTGATCCAAGCAGCAACATGTCCACAGATAAGTATCAGCCCACCGCCGAGCAGATCAGCGAAGTTCGGACGCACATTCTCCAGAGAATGGAGAAAGAGCCGCCAGCAGGTAAGAGTCCCCCTACAAAAAGGAAATTCTACATCTACATCTCTAATTAAACCAATTTATACCAGAACCCTTCCATCCCAATGACCTGAAGCGCCTCAACGACAGCGATGTCTGGATCACCAAACTGCTCGAGATCTACGAACTGGATTTGGAGAAATGCAAGACCCGACTCTGGGACAATCTCGTCTGGCGTCAGAGTTTCGGTGTGAACGATATCACTGAGAATAATGTGAACCAGGAGTATCTCACCGATGGCTCCATCTATGTGCACAACAAGGATAAGGATGGCAAGCCTCTGCTGATCCTCAACATCAAGATGCACTCCAAGAGTAGGAATCAGGAGGACCTTCTGCGAGTCCTTGTCTATTGGGTGGAGCGTTTGGAGCGTGAGAATGGCCTGGGCAAGATCACCATTTTTATGGACATGACTGGCTCTGGACTGAGCAACTTGGACTTGGAGTTTATTAAGGCTATTATCGGTGTGTTCGAGACCAAGTATCCCTATGCACCCAACTACATCCTGGTGCATGAGTTGCCTTTCCTATTGAATGGTACGTTTACCATGAGTTTTCTTCTTAGTTCTTTTCAACATTAATGTATATTTTTCTTTATGATTCAGCTGCCTTTAAGATTGTCAGGGGCTTCCTGCCCGCCGAAGCCCTGAAGATCCTTAAAGTGACCACCAAGAAGGACCTTGAACAGTATGTGGACAAGGAAAACTCCCTTAAGGTCTGGGGCGGAAATGATGAATACGTTTATAAATTTGACTAAAAACCAAACACAAAATTGTGTATGATAGTGTAAATAATACGATATTTATTTTCCTGAACTTGGCGTTCATTTTTCCACTCCATTGAAAGCTTATGCGAGCTTTCCACTCAATTGTTTACGATCTATGTAGTATATATAGTGGTGGCAATGGGTAATTGAAATGCAGGTGGCGCGTCCCACGCGATCACGTTCCATTGCAGCGGCTGTTGGGGGGAGGGGGAGGCAGGCGTTCTGCCCTTTTGGGAGGCGCTTACCTGGCTTACAGGTGCTCCACATACGAACCGCACGCTAGCCGACTGCCAACGATCCCCCGATCGTTAATGGCTTGGCTGATGTCGACACCGTTAGTCGCCCGCCTGTGCCGCCTGGTCAGTTAGTCGCAGGCGCCCGTGGAACGCACTTGGTTGGTGGTAGCTTCGATAGCTGCGATAGCTACTTGTGTACTTGTACCTTGGCACGACAAGCGATTGATTTGTAGCCCAAATCTAATCACAGTGAAAGTGGATTACTGATTAGGCGGTGGCGATAGGAGCACCCGAATTGCCACTAATCATAGTTCAATGTTTAGTCTGCCGACAGTTGTGGTTGTGTTCGATTGTGCGTGGATTACTACGAATAACTAAGTAGCTGGCATTATGGGCATCAAGGTCAAGGAGACGACCCCTCAGCAAATCCAGGAACTGAGAGACAGATTCAACAGCAAATACGAATCGTCGCCGCCATCAGGTGAGATAATTCGCGCCCCCGCCCAATCCAAAGTGCAATGTGCATTAACTGGCGAAAGCAATCAACTCTACATGGTATATAATAGTTGACGGGTTTTTCATTCTTAACCCGGAATATGGCAGTGTTCTGTTAATCGGTTGTGCACCTGCAAATTTCGACTGAGTCAAACTAATAAATAAAGTAAATAAATCCAGCGATTAAGCTGTTTGTCGTGAGTGCACTCAAGTAAAAGCTCTGAACTTGAACTTGGACCCCCTTAGGCTATAGCTACCTCAATATCTATATATAGAAACGCGACTGGATGATTAATGATAAGTACAGGTGGCTTTTATCGCCAAAAGGTTAAGTGGCGAGGGGCTAAAGTTTAAGTGGAAGTACATTATTAAAAAAAATTAGAATATGCTCTCTTATAACAATTTCTATACATAGTCCAAGGTATATTTCCTGTATTTCTCTAAAGAGAAATATACATAAATATGAATCAATATGTTTTATCTGTTCCAAAATGTATACACAAGTACCTCTTAAGTAAACAAAGATACGAAATAACACACCTAAAAATATTCTTTAATCTGAAACGTTGTTCTAAATATGACAAGAAGGTTATGCTGATAGTCCCTAGAAGATAAGAAATAACAACTCCATAACACATCATAAGAACGACATAAATAGTTCCCTAGGTACAGATAAGATTCTAATATTCTCGTTTTACCAATTCAGTGCCCTTTCATGAAATCGATATTGATCGCATTCGCAACGATCATGTCTGGCTGCAGAGATTCCTGGAAATGCATGATCTCGACATGGATACATCCTTCACCAAGCTGTGGGAGACCTGTGCCTGGCGTCAGTCCTACGGAGCCAATGATCTCGAGGAGAGTCAGCTAAACCAAGAATATCTAAAGGAGGGATCGGTGTTTGTGCACAGCAGCGATGTGGATGGAAAGCCTCTGTTGGTATTCCGTGTCAGTTTGCACAATAAGACAAAAATCTGGATGAGCTCATCCGCATCGTTGTCTATTGGGTCGAGAGAACCCAGAGGGAGCAGCACATGACCCAATTGACCATATTTTTTGATATGGCGGGCACGGGATTGGCTACCATGGATCTGGACTTTGTGAAGCGAATCGTCGAGACTTTCAAGCAGTACTATCCCAACTGTTTAAATTACATTTTGGTGTATGAGTTGGCATGGATCCTAAATGGTGAGTAAACTGAGGGAATATGGTAGGTATGTTTTCTTATAATTTCCAATTTCCAAAGAAAGAAAACTCAATTAAAGAGTCAGATCTAAAATCTTTAATGTTCCTGCTTTTACTGCAATTTCCCTTTTTGTTTCAACTTTGAACTTTAACCCTGACCCTGACCCATCGTTTCTATCCCCCTATTTTTAGCTGCCTTTAAGGTCATCAAGGCCCTGCTGCCGCCAAAAGCGGTTGAGATTTTGAAAATGATATCGAAGAAGGACATCAACCAGTATATACCTAAGGACAAATGCCTAACCAGCTGGGGTGGAGGTGATAACTATGAATTTAGCTTCGTGCCGGAGACAAGACAGGCTTCATCCAAGCCAGTGGTCGCCGCCAATGCCGGCGAAGATGAGCAGTTTGGAGACCGCAAGGTGAGTGACTTAGCCGGGCAGGAGATACTACTAGATACCACACACCAAACAATAGACAAAATCTCAAACGGTGTTTGGATGACCAAGTGTCCGGCTGTGGGCGTGTTCCTTGTGCACACGCCAGCTCCCGGAAGAAGTCGGTCTGGGGTCCTCGGTCGTCGGTCGACTAATTGCTTTTTCCGAAACCGCACGCGAGCCACCTCAAAGGACCTCTCTCCATAATTGATTTACATTCTTGGCTTGTATTGATTTAGGGTGCGCGCTGTTCGCGTGTCCTGCGTGAGTTGCCTGTCCCCAAAAGCTGACCACTAAGCTGAGCTAACCAAGACCCTATCCCTGGGCACTGAACGAAGTAAATTTAATACTAAATTTTGCAAATTGAGTAAAAGAATTTATTGATTAGCCTCTAAGATCAGAAGAAAATATTCCTTAAATTAAGAAAAGGAAACTATATTTAAGGTCCATTTTAAGAGACATCTTTGGTGCCCCTGAAAGTATGCTGTGAATAATTACTTACCGTTCAGCATAACCTTTTCCGGTTACAAAAAAAATTATAGCTTACTTTTAAAAACCTTAGCAAGAGTTTTAAAAAGCCAGCGATTAATGATAAATCTACAATTTTTTGTCTAATTAATAGTCTGCCAGAAATGTTTTAAATTAGTACATTTTTTTGTTTTAAATTGCTTTAATGCATTTTTCCAAGTGTATTGTGGGTTTTATTCGCCGCAGTCTGTGGGCAAAACATTACTGCGGCTATTTATAGCCCTTTATTTGACATATTGCTAAACTTTCGGCTTCTGGCTTGGGTCAGTGGTCAGCTTGGGGACTTCAAAGCGTTGACCCGTAAAAAGTAGGACACACATTTTCACTGGGATTAGAACATTTCGTGTTTGTATCGTATGTGTAAATGGTTCCCACAGCGCGTATTATCAAACATTCCACACACACACACACCCCATACACACCCATACACACTTTTTACACCCACGCAACGTCATTGTTTAATGCACTTTCTTTCACTCTCACTCATTTACAGTTTCAGTTCATTTTACGCAAGGCAGCAACAACAACAGCTGGAAGAAGCTGATCGCCGCCAGAGGGAGAGCAAGCATCCGAGAGAGAGAGAGAGAGACGAACAGAACCACCAGCTGTGCTTTCTCAAAAAGCTCATCGCTTTTTGGGTGTGCTTTTCATTGTATTATTCCACACATTTGCGCGACAACAACGAAAGAAACTAGTCACAAATCTCAAACATTCCAACGCAACCTCATTAATCGTTCGATTGTTTCTAAAAACCAGTGCTAAGCGTCATGGACATTTGCAATTTTTAATTGTTATTAACAAACAAGCAAAGAAACAAAAGCGCAAAAAGAAATTAGACGGCGGAAGCTGCATCGTTGCTGTTGTTTTTGTACCTATTGATATTCATTCTTCAATAATACAAAAAAATGCCTAGGGTATGTGTATGTGTGTGTACAGTGAACTCTCGCTAAGTGTCTCAGACAAACTCATTGTAAAGCAACCTGTGTACCTCATTTAAAAAGCAATAAATCATTTAACAAACAACGAAAGCCACTTTAGAATTAAATTAAGTGGATTATAACCACAGTTCACTGTTTACTGATCATGTGTGCCTTACGTGTAACCTAAACAAAACCTTAGCGCTTCGGATCGAATTGATATTATATGCAAGACAGTTTTTTCCACCTTGCCTTTACACAAAAAACGACTGTTGTTTGTTTATTCAGTTAAATTTATAGAAAAGAATGAAAAAAGAATTCTTTTGTTTCAAATGCTTGTCCGTTGAAGTCGACAGTTGCGAACCATTCTTGCGGAAATGAACTAGTTCATTTTCCAAGTTCGGCTTAAAGTGGAAATTAAAGAGAGACTTATAGATAGACAACATAAAGGCTTAAAATTGTATTCATATTTAAAGAAAAGTTTAAATTTGCAATATAATTATTTTAAAGTGGCAAAATACCCTAACGCATAACGATAATGTCCTAGTGCCAGGCGGCTTAATCCACAGATTTAGGGCTGCCAACTTCCTCGTCAGCAGCTGGGCAAAATCCAAATTCCTGAAGTCCGAATTAAACTTTATGTTTTTAAGTTCCAAGTCAAGTTCCGGGCTTGAACTGCGTGCCAGAGGCGAGTGTGACTGATGTCTGAGCCTGGGCGCTTCAACTACGTGAGTTCTCTGGTAGTGTCAGTGCGCAATGATAAGGGCCGAACAAGAAACCCCCATGATGAGGTGGTGCAAATATAAATAGTAAGATCCCCCATTCACCCAGCATCCCCATCCGCATCCGGCTGAGAACCGAATCAAACAAATTTACAGAGCGACCTCCGGTCCAAGTGGAACCTTCGCCAATAATGCGAGCTCAAGGGTGTCCAAGAATAGAGGGCGGCCCTTGTGAAAATGACACATAAAATCACGTTCGACATAGAAAAAGGGTGGAAAATGGGGGCGATGAGGCACAACTAGCATACATAATCGCCTCTCAGATAGCCATTTGAACGAATTCCCTCTAATCGACAGGTCACCTTTGCCAGCCCCGCAACCATGGTACTAAAGGAGTCCAACATCAACGAGATGCACACTCCATCCGAGGGTAAGTTTGACATGAATCAAATAGACAGAGCAGTTCCGTTCGACTCAGGGAGTAATAGATGTAGAATGCATTTTATATCTGTATTTCTCGTCAGATCTAGCAGAATTTTGAGTCTTGAATAAGAAGCTTTCATATACAATTGTTTCAAAATGAAGCCAATCTTGAAAAGTACCTATTGCTTGCGAAATGTCCCTTACTATAACCAGTTACAAATGATAAAACTTTATTTTTATCAAAAACAATGTTCAAGGTTTAGTAGGCCTTCCAAATATGGTCAAATACATACAGAGCAATCAAATGTTAGTTACTTTTTCTCGTTTGCCAAAATTTTTATGTCTTCAAAAAAAATTAAAAATATTTAAATAGTACTGAATCCAAGGGGTGTGTTACGTTGCGTTCGTTAATTAGGCATGTTGCAAGTGAACCCCAAGGAGTTCCTAAACTTTAGCTCGAAGAATGGAGAAGTCACGCTAAACCTCAAATCAATCTCCAAGTGCACGGCCGTCACCTACAAGGTAAGGAGTTTACTCCAGCACTCATAAAAATCACTGATTAATCTGGATTTCCGGTCTCTTTGCAGATCCAAACCACATCGCCAGAGAAGTTCCGAGTGCGACCGCGATGTGGCGTTATACAGCCCAATCAGACTGCGGCAATCAACATATGGTTGAAGTCCGAGCATCAGTTAAGCGGCGATAACAAGGACAAGTTCCTGGTGATGGCCATGGAGATGCCAAATGGAAATTGCGAAGTGGCCGATGTGTGGCGTAACAAATCTCCAAATGCGTCGGACGTGGAGCAGCATCGCCTGATCTGTTCTCAAGACGAGAGGAGCAGTGGAAATGGATCGGATTGTCAAGGCAAGGCAAATAAGCCGAAAGTAGACTGCAAGAAGAATAGTACTGTGAGTAGTAAATATAAATATAAATATTGAGTATGTAGTAATTATGAACAATACCATCAGGCCCCATCTTCGGATGTGATAGCGCGGCAGCTCGCTTTCACACAGAACCTGCAGTATGTCACTTTGGCGCTGATGGTGTTGCTCTTCGCCGGCTTCAGTTTCCTCATGTACCAACAGTTGGGTCACGCTCACCCCGGAGCTGGTACCTGCCCCAAGGCGACAGCGTACTCCTGCAAGAACAAATAATATTTACTGTCACCATGTAATCTGACCAGGCAGGAGCTGAGCGATGTCAACTGCGACGACCACAACACTAAAAAGCACGACCGCAACTGCCAAGACATAGACAACTACTGCGCCTGTGCTTTGGATTTAATGGATCTGGGACTGGACTGGGGCGATGCCGATGGCGACTGCCTGGAGGCGCTTATTCAGGCACAGCTGCAGTTATGCCGCAGATGTTACGATTACGGCACCTACGACCGACAGCTGGGTGGCGTTGCAGCTGGCGGCCATCTGCTTGGGCTCATTGCCTTTGCCCGGAAGCTGGTGCGCGTCGTGCTCTCAGTGTCGCTTCTATTTGGAATCCTGTTCGTGAGCTTCTACCTGGGAAGCAACTATGGCGGCAATAGCATTACGACCACAACCACCTCTCTAGCCACAGTCGATTCAGCACCCAGAGGCATCCGCCATCCGTGTTACTACTCATAGTCAAGCCAAAACCAACTCCTGTTTAAAAGCCCGATTTGCTAATCAGATTTAATGTTTTACTTGGCAAACTGAACGCATATTAGAAAAAGTATTTTATTACAAATCCAGGTGAAAATATTACAATCCTCTTCCGTTCTTACCTGCTGTGGGCCATCTATAAGGGTACCTGGCTCAGTGTGGTCTTAAGTTTCTAAAATTTCTACAGTTCGACCAACCCCGAAATACATACATACATATATCCTCGTATATGATGCCAGAAGTAGTGATTTTGTGTTTCTTGATATTATTCCTGGTTTCCCTACTGCCCTTATATTATGTAGCTCGCGTCAATGTTAATCGCCTCTCCCATTCCTTTCTGTCTGGGCCTCTAATCATTAATAATAAACTGTATGTGTAGGATGTCTTTTGTATAATATAAAAAATAGAAACCGATAATGTTGGATCAAAGTTGATTAGTTTGTAAATAAATCTCAATTTAGTTTCATTTTGCGTTCAAATACAAATTTATTACGGTTTCGTATTCAAAACGTATTTATTTAATAAACAATTATTGATTGAAATAGTGTGTTGTAACTTAAAAGCGGAATTCTCAGGATAATGTAAACGAAAAATCAAAAGTCTCAACGGATAACGTAAGGGGGTAAGCGTAAATGAAAAGCCGCTACAATGCGACCGAAAAAAGTCAACGTTTGTTGTTAAATTGTAAGTCTATGTCTTTTTGGAACCCCGCTTGGTTGCCGGCTTCTTGGCCTTCTCATCCTTCTCCGGCTGCTCGGCCTTGTTGCTCTTATCGCTACTCTTAGGCGTTGGCTGTGTCGTCTTATCCTCTTCAGCCTTCTTGTCGTCAGCTTCCTTTGAAGGTGACTTTTCTTTCTTGCCGTTGCTGGTGCTCGCCTTTTCTTGCTTCGCCTGCGGCTCCTGCTCATCTGCCTCAACCAGGCAGATGGCATGCTGTCCACCTCCGGCTGCGAGCAGTATGCGCTTGTTTTGTGTGTTCTTGCTAGCTACCAGGACTGGCTCCACCTCATCTTCGCCATCACCCACGCCCAGTTGGTTGTTCGAGCCCAAGCCCCAAGAGTAGAGTTTACCCTCATCGGTGATGGCATACGAACAGATTTCGCCGCAGCCCACGTAAACGATTTTGTCCTTTAACTTAGTTACGGGCGTCAATTTGGCCACGACATCCTTTATGTCTGGGCCCAGACCCAGGCGTCCGTAGTCCGGACGACCGACAACGGAACATTTTAGGTCTGTCGTTAGCACTATAGTGTGATGAATGCCGCCAGCAATCTGTTTAACGTCCTTTAAATCTGTTTTAATGGGAATTAACACGCGCTCGATCTCCTTTTGGTGAGCCAGCTGCTTGAAGTTGTTGAGGCCCACGCCCCAGATGATCTGCGTACTCGACTCGCGCATAAATGTACAGAAATTGGTGGCCCAAATGGCCTCCATCGGTTTGGTGCGCTTGACGATCACCTGGGCGGGCAGCAGTAGATCACGCTTGCCACGACGGCCTGCAAAATGGTCGTTTAATTACAACAGCTAAGATATTGTTTTTGGCGTTGCGTGACTCACCCTCTCCGCCGACCGAACGCTCTGAGATACGGCCCAGTTGTCCCTGTTCGGCGCAGCCCACGGTGTACACCTTTCCAGTTGTAGTTAGGATCACCAAGTGATCGGCGCCCGAGGCGATGCTGTTGCACAATTGACCATTCAGCAGATTGATAGGCGTTCGCTTGTTACCATCGATGGTGAGGCCCATGTTGCCGTGCGAGTCGCGGAAAGAGCCCCAAGCGTAGACACTTCCGTCCTCCAGGATGCACGCCGAGTGCGAGTCTCCCGCCGAAATGCGCAGTGCCTTGCCCGGCAATTCGACCAACGCCGGCCTCGATTCGCTGCCCTCCTCGCTAGTGTCTCGACCTAGAGCGCCCTCGTCGTTGCAGCCGAACGAGTATATGTCTCCGGTGTTGGTCAGCACCAGGTTGTGCACACCGCCAGCACAGATATCCACGGCATCCGGTATGTCTTCCAACAGGGCCAAACGCTTGCGCTCCATTACATCTTCGCCGAGACCAAGCTGGCCGATGTCACCCATGCCGCAGACCAGCACTTTGCCCAGCGTCGTCCGCCGGGTGGGCAGCTCCAAGTGGAACGCGATCCGGAGGCGCTTGGCCGGCGTGGGCTTCGCATCCGACTCTCCATCATTATTGTTGTTCGGCTGGGCCTTTCGACGCGGCATTTTGTTTCTTTTGTGTCGGTGGGAGGATCACGATGTTAGGCTCCGAAACTGTATCAAATGTATAAGGTTATGGACGCCGACAACGGAGCGCGGTTACTGGAACTTACAAGGGAATTAATACCGGAGCAGGATTTCACGTTTTATTGCTACGGCGGTTTTTAAACGAGTGAAAACCGAGTAGCAAGCCGAAAAGATGTTGGTTTATCTTTAAGAAATGCGCGGGAAGCGGCAGATGGTGGGAAATGCCGGCATGGAATCGATAGTATCGGTGCTGTCGATATAACCAGTTTACCCAAAATGGTAAATTATTATTAAATTGTCACGTGGCGAAAACAAATAAATTTTAAATTTACAATTATGTACTTTAGTTAAAGGATGCTGTTGGCACGTAATATTTAAGAATTTTATTTTTTTATTTTATTTTTATTTTTTTATTTTAATACCTCTAAAGGACAGTCAGAAATTTGTATTTCTAAAACTATAAAGTAAATATATACTATAAAGTAAATATATTCTTGGCAAGAAAATCAGAGGTCAACTATGTCCGCTAGAAAAACCTAAACGATTTTTTTTCAAAATGTAATTGTTTTAAATTAGAAAAAAAAAAATGAAAAAATGTACATGAATTTAAATTTTAAATTTTAAATTCAATATACTGCAAAGAGTTATATTTTTATACTTTCATTTACACAAAAAAAAATCATATCAATATATCGATTTAAATTCCATAGAATGCTTAGTTCTTCTTGGAGACATATAAAGGCAAAAATTGAAAACGTTATTTATTTTTTTAAATTTAAAGTCATATTTTCTTAAAAATTCCTTTTTTGTTATTATTATTGTTATGTAGAAAGCCAATTTGCTAAATTATTATTTTTTTGTTTAATAAACTAAGAGATCCACCTCCGATAACAAATGAAAATTTGTTTGAATTCTGTAATGCCCCAAAGATGCCACAAATAACATATTTTTTAATGTATTATGTTTTAATACTGTACAGGATCTATGTAATTTTTAAAACATTTACGGCAGCTAAAACAAATTAAAATAATTTTACAACAAGGCTGCTTTGCGTGTACATATGTCATTCGATAGTGTCATCTCAACCGATAGCTGGCGGGAACGATGCTATTGTCGCCATCTTTTATTAGAAATACGCAGCTGTCACGACGGAAAATAATTGCACTACAAAGAACGCGTAAATTTAACAATTAAAAATAAGCGTGTCAGGAACGTAACTAAATTTATTTTTCTATTGGGATACTCGCAGTAAGTGTTAAGTTACCAGAGCACCTTAAAAAGGGCGTTTTTAGGCTTGAGAAATCAATAAACGCCACCTCTTGGGGGCTCACAACGCCCGCTGTGTGTCGCCACCAAACACTGCCCTCAAAAAGTTCGTTACCCAAAACAAAACAACTATTTATCCGTACAGGAATGCCGAGGAAAGCCAAAAAAGCGGAGGATCCAGAGAACCTGAAGTCGTTCTTCAATAATTTTCACAAGGAAATCGGTGAGAGCAGCGATGACAAGGTGGTGAACAAGATCATGAAGGCCATTGATGCGGAAGACGGCGACTTGACCTTAGAGGATGACACGGATCAGGAGGAAGAGAAGCCGGAGGAAGGCGAAGATGAAGACGAGGAGGAGGAGTTTGATGAGGACAAGTACTTTATAGACGACGAGGGAAATTGCTACATCAAAACGACGCCCAAAAAGCAAAAAGAGCTGCAGAAGAAGCTCAAAGAGAGAGAGGCGGACAAACCCGGAAGAAACACACGGTCTGCGACCAACAAGGCCACCAACAAAGGTAGGTATTTCATGGTTTATCCATAGGATGTGTTACATTCTCAAAACCCTTTCCGTAGCCATTAATCTACGCCCTGCGAAATCGCCACCAAAAAGCACCGCTTCCAAGACCACACCAGAACCAAAGCCTATCAGCGTCCGTCCGGCGCGAGCAGCAGCAGCAGCTAGGCCAAAGCCATTGGATATGCCTCCGCCTCCGCCTCCAGTGCCTAAACTTGCGTCCACACCACTAATCACACCTAAAAGAGGCAGGCCCAGAAAAACAACTATCGTACCAAAATCAGAAATCATCGATTTGGAGCGAGAGATTGAGGGGCTAGTGGATGACCCCAATATCAGTGCAGCCGGTTTGGATGATCTCGCAAACTATACTGTGGACAGCGCTGCCGTTGAGGCGGACAACTCGGTGCTAAGACCCAATGAGAATGAGGTATACGAGTTCGAGGACAATGCCGCAGTGGAGTCAGCTGAAGAGACGGATGACAAGAAGGACTTAGACTTTGTGCTGACCGGCAAGCAGTTGAAGCTAAAGTCGAATGCGACTCCAGCCAAAAAAGCGGGAGTTAAGCAATACTCCTGCTCGCAGTGCTCGTACACGTCCAACAAGAAGTTTCTCATCACCCGCCACTGTCGGACTCACGACGTAGAGCCGGCCTTCAAGTGTTCTATATGCGAGAGATCGTTCCGATCGAACGTCGGTCTGGTCAATCACACGAACACGCATCTGGGCAAGAAGCCGCACAAATGCAAGTTCTGCGAAAACGCCTTCACCACCAGCGGCGAGCTGATCCGTCATACGCGCTACAAGCACACCAAGGAGAAGCCGCACAAGTGCTCGGAGTGCAGCTACGCCAGCGTTGAGCTGACCAAGCTACGCCGTCACATGACCTGCCACACAGGCGAGCGGCCATTCCAGTGCCCGCACTGCACCTATGCCTCACAGGACATGTTCAAGCTAAAGCGTCACCTGGTGATCCATACAGGCGAGAAGAAATACCAGTGCGACATATGCAAGTCACGGTTCACGCAGTCCAACTCCCTAAAAGCACACAAGCTCATCCACAGCGTGGTGGACAAGCCCGTCTTTCAGTGCACCCTCTGTCCCACGACCTGTGGACGCAAGGCGGATCTCCGCATCCACATCAAGCACATGCACACCTCTGCTCAGCCTCTGACGTGCCGTCGTTGTGGCCAGGAGCTGCCCGATCGGTACCAGTACAAGCTGCACGTGAAATCGCACGAGGGCGAGAAATGCTATCGCTGCAGCCTCTGCAGCTACGCCTCGGTGACCCAGCGTCATTTAGACTCGCACATGCTAGTCCACCTGGACGAGAAGCCGTTCCAGTGTGAGCACTGTCCAATGGCCTTCCGCCAGCGCCAGCTTCTGCGGCGCCACATAAATCTAATGCACGACGCGTCTTACCAGCCGCCGGAGCCCCGCGCAAAGGTTCACAAGTGCCCCAGCTGTCCGAGGAGCTTTACGCACAAGGGTAATCTTATGCGACACATGGAGCTGCACGACAATTCAGTGGACATCCGCGAAAGGCAGTTGCGACTAAAGATGGGAAGGAATCTTCGCATAAAAAAGGACGGAACTATCGTCAAGCAGTCGGATCTCCAAAACACTGAAGAGCATGTTGAGGAAGACAACCCGGAGAGTTATGACCTGGCAGAAATTGTCAACTCTGACGAGGAGGACGGTGGCGTGGAGATCGTTCCCAGCAATTTCATCAAGCAGATGGCGGCCAAGCCGAATCCAAAGCCTAAGCCCGTTATCATCAACAAGCAGGCCATGCAGTCGGACGCCGACAAGGGGCCTGTGATCATCAATAAACGACTTCGGACGCAAACCGGCACGAAGACGTTCCACATTAAGGAGGAGCCAAACAACGCAGACTTCACTCTTGAACTACAAGGCGATGATGGCCAGCTGATGGTCGTGGAGCTAGTTAATGGCGACGAGGAAGTTGTAGTCAAGCGTGAGCCGAGTGCAGCCAATAAAATAAGTGCCACCAACTGCTTTGGTTTTGAGGTGAGTACAGTATTTATAACTTTTTAAGATATATCTACTATTATATAAGACTCTACTTGAATATTCAGGAGGATGATGACTACGAGGAGTTTGTTCCGGTGGATGAGGTAGATGACACTTCGCAGGAGTTTCTGCAGCTGATGGATATGATTGAGCAGGATACTTAGTCTCTTGCGCAACAGATATAACTTAAGACTAATAATAAAGTAATATAATTATATATAATATATATAATAACGTAAAAAGGTAATATTGTTAATTTTCTATTTAAATAAATGTGTAAAGAATATAAAATGTTCAGTAAAGCCACAAAAAGTCAGAACTGCGAGCTGCAATATATCAACTCCAACTTTGGATAAACAAATCAATCATCTGACAACTTGGCATAAATATTTATTTAAATACATTTACAATATGCTTTTCAATGCTTCTTCAATAGTTGGTATGTGGGCAAAATGTTAGGTGCGCTTGCTGGTGCTCTTCCCTGGGCGTGCACTGTAAATTCTCGGCTAATAGTTGTCCTCGTTCCTACCGTAAAATGTTTTTTGCATAGTTTACAATTTGTTTTCATGATCTCTTCAGCAATCTGGTTACTCTCCGCTTGTTCTCTAGTTTTTTTTTATGTTTTCTCAGTGTATAACTACAATAAAAATATATATATATTTATATATAATATATAATATACTCGTACGTGTATATTTTGTAGGTGGTGCAATGTGCAAAAATCTGCTGTGCAGTGCATCATTATCATTACTTCCATATATATGTATTTATATAGTTGATTTTTGTAGTTGTTGTTTCATAAAACGTTAACAATTTGTTTTTCGTTAATAGTACGTAAGTATGTGTATACGAATTGCCTTTTTTGTTGCATAACAATTAAAATATGGAACAACGTTGATAAAGGAAGTGCACATTATAGAGTTCCGAGTTGGATTAGAGAAAAACGACACTTAGAAGTCGAAAATTGCTTGCAGAATCGACGAAACACACACACATATAGAAATATAAGAGTGTAAAAAATTGCATATATCCTATGATTAAGTTAATGCTCTGCGAGATTTCGCTTTGGGGAGGGTGAACTATTAACGTAACTATAAAGTGAAACTAAATTAAACGTAAACATAAACAAATTCTTGGAACGCTGTGTGCTATGGCTTTTTGCCCGCTCACGGATAAGCTTGGCTTATATATCAATTTACTTTTGGCTTAACATTTTTTTGTGTAAGGCTGCTGTTGGTTTTGTCGTCCTTTCCATTCCTTATCCATCTCCCATCCTTTCCTTTTCATTTTTTCAGTTGATATCCGTTCTCTTATCGCTTGTGGTTTTTGGTAAAACTTAAAAATGGGCTTTGTAGGTTGGCAAAGGGGGGACGTACTTAGGTAAATCTTAGAATATCTTCAGTTTCTGCAGAAAAAGCAACAGGGCCGCACTGAGGCATGCCTGCGGCTGTTGCTGCTGCTGCTGTCTCGCATTTGCGGCAAAAGAGGCTCTGCCGTTCGCAATTCACGACTGCTCCCTCTTTTGCCTCTTTGGCTGCTAATTGCAATTGAGCGTGTTCTGGTTGGGGCTGCTGCGCGAGACGTTATTGTGATTGATCTGGTTTGACTGCGTGATGCTATTGCTATCGCTGGTCTTCCACGAGAGCAGTTTGTTCAGCAGTCGGTCCATGTAAGGATTGCTTCCCAGTCGTGCCACCTGTGGGTAGGTTAAGAGAAGAGAAGGCCATTAGTATGAAGTGAGTGTGGGACCAGTGATGATATAGGTTTAACCAACAACACTTCCTATGACCTTTTTCTTTACTTTTCCTCCAATACTTTTACTCTGCCCATTTAGTTAAGCTAACAAAGGTCATAAAAGGCATGCAATGCCAGACACTAGGTTAATACCCTTGTCACCCCTGGTCCTCCTCCTTCTGAAGTACTAACCTCCGCCCGCGCCTCCGCATCGAGCGTCTCCAGAACCTTGCGTGTATACTGAAAGCTGCCTAGCTTTTCCAACAAGGTGATGCAGTACTTCTTGACCTCAATGTCGTGCGTGCGCTGGCGTAATATGTCTGTGGATTTAAGCCCCAAGTTGATGAGTTGTGAGAACGAGCCTTTTGGCTGGGGTCAAGACGTTGGACTTACGTAAAACCTGTTTATCCTGCTTCTGGCTGCGCACCGCATGGATTACCGGGAAGCCGAACTTGCCCTCCGTCAGATCCTCGGCAAAGCTCTTGTTTTCCGTGTACTGTGAAGGCGGAATGTCATTGTTAAAACCATTAAACCATGCTTGCCAGTGGCGCCCTTACCTCCTTGAGACTGAGATTGCAGTAATCGTCTCGTATTTGAAAATACAGGCCCAGAATAGCCGTCAGCTTGGAGTAGTCCTCCTTATTGGAGCTGAACAGCTGCATGAGACGAATGGCGAGCATGAATAGGCCGCCAGTTTTGCGCACGGTCATCAGCTTGTAATCGAACTCCGAGGGACAGGTAAAGCTGTCGCGCCAGTAGATCTCCATGCCCTGGCCCCGATGCAGTTCCAGCAACTGTTCCGTATACACCTTGGTGGCCTGCAATAAGAAATGCATATTACTGGACATTCCATGGAAACATGCATGCGAACATGATGATCTTGTCATGCGTGCGCCATACCTCCGGGTGTCCCAGCTGCTGCACCTTCTCCAGTGACAGGAACAAGACGTAGTTGGCCGCATTTATAGTGCTGGCCACGCCGTAAATAGAATGCGCCACCGGCACACCTCTGCGAAGTATCGAATTGTCTTCAATATCATCAATGCTGTAAGTTAGTATCAAAGAACACACATGTTGAAGAGCTCTGTCAGTTAACCGATCGTGTCCAAGGCAGTTATGTCTAGTTTTAAGTCTAGTTGGGATCGCTTCTGGGGGTTAGTGGGATAGTGCAGCCATATAATAATTTTTAGGAGGGTTAGGAAGGTTCCCACAAAATTATATTTTTTGAAATATGTTCTAATAAAGCTTTACCTATCAACATTTATGTGCGTATCCTTAAATTTAAGTTCTTTTTTCATTGCTTTATTCATTTTAAAGTGTCTTTTTATAAAGAAATATTTTCATATTGGAATAAAAAATCTCTTAAATAAAGTTATTTAATTGTTCATCTTTTATTATTAAGTAAATATTTATAAAGAGAGCTTCTAGAAGAACGGAAACCGATTAGTCATGCCTTTGCTAATCACCTCAACAAATTAATTATAAACAAGAAATAAGCTTTAGCAAGCCACAACTAAAGCACGTACCATATGTGGTAATTTTACGTATTTAAAGCGAATTTCATAAATCACATTTCGAGTGTGAATGAACCGTGCCGTCACGTGTCCATCTCTGACTTCCCTCAGACAACTGGGCAACCCAATAGGTGTCCGTCCCCCTGCTCGTGTTGTCAGGCTGGCTAGCAGCATACATATTTATGAACATAACATACGCTGGCCCCATAATAGATGTGTAAATTTAAGCCCCGCTTTAAGGCCGGGCGGCGTCGCTTCAATAACTATGATGCCCTGGGCAGCCCAACATTTGCGTAATTAAAAAATGTTTGCGCTCCGCCAAAGCTGGCAAAGCCATTGGCAGGGAATGGGCATTGGGATGGGGCAGGGCCAGGATTGGATGGTGTGTTATAAAGGCGTGGGCGTTGAAGCGACAACGCACAAAGGAGCGGAGAGGGAGAGGCTGCTGGAGGACGCCTGGATGGTGACGAGGAGGAGGATATTAAGGAAAATGGGGAAAACAGTGGGCGTGCTGCTGATGGTGATGGTGCTGCTGCGTGGCAAGAGTTGTGACAATGCCTGTCGACTAACGACGGCCTGACTAACTGACAATGGGCATAAGTGCATGAATGACGGACGGATGAATGGAGAGAGGGATGCAGGGCCTGGCGTCGTTGTAAAACTAAGTTTTTGCCAATATGAAAATGCATTACGAAAAGACATCAAGAACACTTGGGAGGCCACTCGGGAGAATGGGAATACTGGGCGCTATGAAGGAATGCTGCTCCTGCTGCTGTCAAGGAACAATGCTGGGGATTTTAAGCAGAATTAAGGCCATTTCTGAGTGTTTGCCTTTGAATGCGAGGCGGCGACGGCGACAGGTGGCCCGAGGCTTGGCGGTATTAGCTTCGCTGCCTGATTAAACCTATAGAGAGGAGCTACTTGCTGGCTGCTTACAGATAGGGAAAAATCCCTGGACTCTGCCGGAGGCTTTAATTGAAAAGCGGCAGACACTTCAATTGGCTCGGTTCAAAGATTAATTGTAACGTTCCAACTCATCTCCTTCGCCACATTCCACATCTCTCTGGGCTCTGCCCTCTACCCTACACTCTCGACTGGAGAAAAATCTAAATAATTTATGCAATTTCGAGGCGAGCAATGAAATGCAAAGAAATTCAATTGTAAACAGAAAAAGCTGCGGGCTCATGATGAAATTTTAGGAATTGATTTGGGGGCCAGCAAACACACGCGAGCCAACAAATAGCCGAGAACATTACTCAATATGGCCAAATCAGGTCGCCAGTTGGGCGGGAGAGGTGTGACTCACACTCCGCATGATAATGTGCGTTATGGAAATGAACTGCGGATGATAAGGGCTTCTCCAGCAGCGCCCATATGTGGCCAATTCGGATAATCTTCCTCTCGCTGGAGGAGTGTCCATTTGCTATACATTCTAGACACACACACAAGCAGCACTCTTGCTCGAAAAAGTTCACACTCGATTAGGCATTTTATTTGGAATCCATCTAAACAAAAGCAAATAAACCAAATGTATACAAAACTACAGGCAGACCAGGCCGTGTGCAAGTGCGAACAGAGATGAAACAAGCGCCTGGAGGAGGGCAAGGGTAGCGTAGCCGCCTTTGGAGGGGTTTTTGGGGTCGGGGTGGGGAGAACAAACAAAGGTAAACAAGAGCCAAACAATGCATAAAGAAAAAAAAGCAGGCCACGAGGCAAAAGTCGACATTTAAAATAAAAACACACCACAAGCATGATTAGTTTCGCCTGCAATATCGACAGGTATTCAAAAATAACTGCAATAGCGGTTATAATAATAGTTCCAGGTACTAAATTTATAAGATTTTTAAGTGTTTGTTTTTTGCTGACTAAAATAGTTATTTTATGGCGTCATTTAAGAAAATAATTTGTGAATTTCAGTCAAACAGGTCATTTACTTTTTACTCTACTTTTGAAAATAATATTTAAATTAACAAATACTTTGGTTTTTATACCTTAGCCCTAAAAGTGACATGGGTTTCATAAATACATATACATACATTGATTGATTCTATAATATTCACTTTTTTGTAAGTACAAAATCTGCTTAAAGCATAAACTTTAAGCCATGCCAGTGCTATTACTCAATAAAATATTAAACAAAATGCGCAAGGCAATGATTTTTTTATGTATTTATAAATAACTTCTCCCCGGATGCTATTATTTCGACCGCATCTGTATAAATAGTAAATGATATACTCACAGCAAACTGGAATTGTGCAGCATCTGCACAATGTCCCCGATCTGCGCCAACTTTTCGGCCGGTATGAGCAACCAGTGATTGAAGGCCAAGGCCAACTCGGAGCGGAATTGTTTGCCAGGAATCTGTTGTATGTATGTGAAGGGCTGCAGCAGAATCTGGATAACCAGCCACCGTCGTCATGTCGTGGGCGGAGTGAGCAGGGGCATTTGTGCGTGGGCCACATGTAAATAAACCCCAAAGAAGGTGGAGCAAAGAGAAGAAGGCCAAAAGTGAGCTGGTTAGTTAGTGTTTTTTTTGGGAAGGGTGCCGAGGGCGAATTTGGCCTGGTGTGTCGGCTCGCCACTTTCAAATGTCAGAGTTCAGGGGTCCGGAAGGATTAAGCCGTAGGATACGTACCTCATCCTGCTCCTTTTGCGTTGACTTATCTTTGGTTTTTTGCAATATGCTATTCAGTTCTTCCATTGTTGTGTTGTTTGTTGCTTCTGCTGCTCAAGTGTCGCGTCTGCCTTTTGTTGTTTGTTGATTGCGCGAAGAGCAGTGTGCCCGCCAGTTGTTTCACTTAAAATGACGAAACTTAAAAGCTTGCGCCAGCTGGTCACACCGGTCCATTGTCCAGATATCGATACCGATATCGATAAATAAAAAATATTTCGGTCTAAATATTAGAACAGCTGTTTTGGTCATTGCCTGCGTGGAAAATAAACGTTCCAGTTTTTTGTTTCTTAAATACAGACGAACAACAAATAAACCAACAACAAAAATGGCTGCTGCAGCTCCTACGCGGAACAACTGGAACCCGGGGATGAAGCACAACGACATGGAGCGGTAGGAAACAGCCTGCCAGAACTGGCAATGCAAAGCCCAGCCTCACATGTCTTATTGTTATTTGGCACAGGTGGATCTGCATTTATCCCGCCTACATCAACAGCAAAAAGACGCGCCAGGAGGGTCGCCGGCTGCCCAAGGAGAACTGCGTGGAGAATCCCACATACATCGAGATCCGGGACGTGCTGTCTGTGACAAATCTACAGTTCCTGGTGGAGAACATGAAGTACTGCCGCGAGAAGAGCAGCGAGCTCCACTTCCGTGGCCGTGTGCGCGTCCAGCTGCGCAACGCGGACGGCACGCTGTTCAACAGTGACTTTGCCTCCCGGGAGGACATCATGCGTCACATTGCCAGCAAGATTCCGCAGCTGAAGACGCGCCAGAACAAAACGGGCGACTCGTTCCACCACCAATCGCAGCCACAGACTAGTGGCACCTCCAGCGGTGGTGGTGGCGGCGGCGGCGGCGGCAAAAAGGGCAAGGGCAAACGTCGTTAGATCAAGTGCTTCTCGTTAGTTGGTTTCTTTTGTAATAAATGCTGTAAACAGAGGTTTGGTTGTTCTGTGCCAAGTTCAAGTGCGGGAATCCGGCCTTGGCACGCCGAAGTGTGCCAAAAAAAGCATGCTATGGAAATGGAATCAGCCCATTGAAGCGTACAGAGAGAGCGGGAGAGAACCCAGTTCGGAAATGTATCAAGATCACACGAAGTCAGCGAAAATTCCGGCGAACAGGTATATAGAGAATCAACTGTCAGTCACGAACATCTACGATTTCACCTGGTCAGCGTTATAAAATCGGTTGTGCACAGCAAATGCCCAGCCACAAGACAGTTTCACTTGGAGCACCCACCTACCTATCGATGATGCCGGCAAAGATACGGACGTCCAGCCTCTGCGGCTATACAATGGCTCTTCTACTCGTTTGGCTGGCGGTCATTATTCATCTGCAGCTGGCCAGTGCTGGTCCTGGCAATGCAGTTACAACTATGGCAGCGCCATCCACTGTGGCCACCACTTCCTTGCCGACTAGCCGGCGAGTCAATCCCCTGACGGAGTCGAAGCTGGAGAAGAATTGCAGGGCCCTGTGCGAGCATTGCGGCTGCTTGGGCTTCTACTGTGGCGAGGAGTGCCTGTGCGAGTGCAATGACGACAACTCGGACACGGAGTGCATCCGCACCATGCAGACTAATGCCAAGACGCTGGACATGCCCTTCGAGATCGTTATTCAGGGACCGAGCAGCAATCGCTTTGTCCGGAATGCCCAGCAGTTTGAGCAGAAGCGGGAATTGGTGGCCAGGAGTGCCTCTCCATCCGGTAAAGCACCTCGGAACCGCCGCTCCAACATTACCATCTATAAGCCCACAAGCCAGAAAGTGTCAGGCCAATTCGCGGCCAATGCTTTAGAGACGGAGTCGAAGGAGGTGGATTTGACAAGGCGACACAAGCGGTCCGTGGATCACCTGGAATGGTTCAATGACTTTGCCGGCTCTCTGGTTCGCCCCTCCCCGCTGGGCACTCGTGCGCAAAAGTCCAAGCCGTCGGGTTTTAAGCGCCAGGCGGTTGAGGAAGAGCCTGCTCCGCTGATAGGCCGTCAGCCGTGGTTCCTGGAACACAGCCCTCCGCGTCTGACACGCCCTGCTCCGTTGAACAAGGCTCAGGGTTTCCGGAAGAACAAGAAGGCCAGCTCTCGCAGGATCGTCAAAAGTAAGCCAGCCGAAAAGGAAAAGTTGCGTCGAGAGCCAGAGCGTGAGATTCGGCCGCTGCGGGATGCTCTGCAAGTGGTTGAGCGCATTCCTCGAGTCCTGCAGGATACAGTGAGCCACCTGTCGTCCGATCCCCGCAGCGGCGACGTGTTCAGCCTGAACATCAGGAACGAGGCCAAGAGCCTCGAGGAAGATGAGGAGGAGGAAAAGGAGAAGGTACCCCGCAGGTCAAATGCCAAATTCCGTGACATGCGGCGTAATGAGATCGTTCCGGAGGCCGTTACCCTGGCTGCTCCAATGGCCCCAGCTCCAGCTATCCTACCTGCCCAGCGGGTTGGTCTGCTGCCCTGGCTGCGTCAGCAGCGGCTGAAGCGTCTGCAGCAGGCAAGGGTCAATTTTTAGAGGAGCCCTAAGGTCTAAAGCAATACCTTTTCATAATATCTATTTTTGTCGTCACTTTTTGTTGTATATTTTTAAGGAATCTTTGAATTTTACTTATTAAATTTTTAATTATCAGACAGTAATGTCTGTTTTAACACAATTTCTTTAAATAATTAATAATCACGGTACTTTAATGTAAGCTATATTTAAGTAGCATACTTTCAAGCTGGACTGTAAAATGTGAGCTCACTGCTTCTCTCTCACTCTCTCTACCCGTTTGAACTTCTTTGCACTGTGGTGTCATTTCTCCTGAAAATTGCCGATTTTTTGTTAACTATTCCAAATAATTTTTATAAAAAAATGTTGTTTAACTGAACAGAAAAGGCAGGAGTTTGTATTTGTTTCAATATATATATATTTTTTCAGTGTCTGGTTTAGTATTTTGGGAATGCAAAACTTTAGTTGGCTTCATTAAACCTTAATATTGCCCAAACCGCTTATACATACTTATTTATTAATAATTTAAGCATTATTAATTTAAAACTCAAAATTTTGTTGTAGTAGAAAATAGATATATTTTTTTATTCAAAAATATTCACCACTTTTGGGGCTGCGCACCCCACTGTGCCTCACACGATTTGTTGGCAAGAAGCGTCTTTTCGTTCGGTTCAGTCTGCTGCGATCGTTCATCCACCATAGCTGTGCCGTTCCCGTTCCGCCGCAACAGGTCGTTCCAGTTCCAACCTCGCGTTTCATTGGTAATAAGTGCATGTACATCGTCATCTATGACCCCTCTCAGCGGGGGACAATTTACTTCTCCTTGCTGGAAAGATGGGTAAAGCATCGTGAGAGAGAAAGGGAGAGTCTTAACGGTCAAAAACAAAAAGAGCGCGAGAGAGAGAGTAACAACAGTCCCCCATTTTGTTGTTGCTGCTCCTCAAAAAACAACAAAGTATATGCTTTATTTACACACACTTTTGGATAGTACAAAAACAAAGTAATGAATTCTGTACGGGCCAAATAATTATTTAAATGCGGTTTTAATTTGAAATCAAACAAAAAGAGTATAAGAAAAAAGAGATCAACGGTCGCCACTTGATATCTAGTACTCTCTGAATGAGTGTGTGTACGTGTGTGTGCTTGGAGTGTGAACCAGAATATCTTTCTCTCAGCAAACAACAATTGCATCAATTGGAAATCAATATCAAATCTGAATTTGATTTTGTAGTAAAAAAAAACCATACAAAGTCACAATTCTAATCGCCTGCCAATGAACTATCAGAAACACTTCAAAAAAAACACTTGTTGAATTAAACTACAACAAAGTGTTTTTTGTCCAACTGTTGAACCTTTCAGGCTAGCAAAAAAGCAAAGCAAAAACAAAAAACCCATAGCACGATCAACGATAAATTCATGTAATAAAATGGCAGGTCCCATTTGTGCGTTATCAAGCCATATAAACAAAGGCAACCTCACAGTGATAGTGACTTTAACTAAAGCATATATACACCCGCACTTGGTAACATACATACATACATATGTATATCGCGCGCGCCGTGAAGGCGTAACAGCTGGACGGATTCCGCTCCCTGATTGGCTTTATCTTCCCTAATTATTCAGATAAGGCTTAACCCAACTGTTTTTCATATTCTTCAACTTTGGCGACATGCCGGCAGATAATCCATTCAAGATTTGGGGCTTCGGGGAAACCAATTCCGTCTATTTTCTGTAAATAATCAATTCAAATTATAGTCACACTGCAATAATTCACTATATAGTTAATCCTAATAATGATAACATAATGGGATGAAATTAATTTATTAATAAACAATATTTCCTGATAAACAAAAAAATTATTTAGATTAAAAATTAATTGGAATAATGATCAACAAGCATGGAAGTTGATTTCCGGAAGTTGAAGTACCCTTAAAGTTTGAAACATATATATTTAATATACCAAGCTAAAAAAATGTACATTAATATACATACCTTTCCCCTTTCTTTTAAAAAAAGAATCAAAGATAAGTGTACCTGGTTTTAATAAGTTGACAATCATTTTCACTTTTATTTCACAAACAAAAGTATTTACATCCGATTCGAATCAGGTTACAGAATGACTCATCGGCATTGATATCTAACCGAGAGAGCCACCACATCCGGACCCACCCTCGAAGAAACAAAGAAGCCAACCGACCATGGAGTATGCGCGCCGTGTGTCCGCTCGCTTTGAAACAAAAAGACTGCCCGAGGACGTGGACGATGGCCTGGAGACGCTGGAAGAGTACAAGCAGCGATGGCGGTCCGTCCGCATCATTTACTATACCATGTTCCTGATGGCGCTCGGTTTCAGCATCATCCTTACCGGCATATGGCCCTTTCTCAACAAGGTTCGTTTACTCATAGATGGTTTATCCATTGGCGTTTCATCAGAATCTCTTTTCAGCTAGATCCCGATGCGGGCAAGGAGTTTATGGGTCTTATTGTGGCCGCCAATCCTCTTGGCCAGATGATCTTTAGCCCAATCTTTGGCTGGTGGGGCAACAGGCTGGGCAAAATCCGTCTGCCACTGCTCCTCTCACTGTCCCTGTTCACGTTAGCCAGTGCGGTGTACTCCTCGCTGGAACTGCGTCCGGATAATGTCAAGTACTGGATGCTTGGCTCGCGATTCCTTATCGGAGTTAGCTCGGCGAATATAGCTCTGTGCCGGTCCTATTTGTCAGCTGCCACGAGGATTAGTGAACGCACCCACGCCGTTTCCATGGTGTCTTTGGCTCAGGTCCTCGGATTTATTATTGGCCCAACCCTGCAGGCGGCAGTTACTCCTCTGGGGGATAAAGGTTATGTCTGGCTGGGGGGCTATATGCACGTCAACATGTATACTGCCTCAGGCTGGATCAACGTCGTGATGAGCATCGGCAACTTTATGATGTTCCTTCCTGGTGTATTTGAGGTAAGTCGAAAGGACACTTTGGTTGGATTCACTTCGTAACAATATAATCTTTAGGAGCACAAAATAGCTGCAAGAGAGGTGATGGTCATGCAAGGCGGCATTTCGGAGCGAGAGACTTGGAAGGGCATCAAACCGAACTATCTCTCCGCCTGGACTTTGATCGTTGCATTCTTTATTCTCGTCTTCAATTTTGTACTTCTCGAAACGTGAGTTGGCGGAAGTGACAAGGAATCAACGGCGTTTTGAAATGGCTTCTCTTTTCGTTTCCAGCCTGGGTACTTCCCTGACCATGGATATGTTTGCCTGGTCCAAGGCCGAGTCACTCTGGTATATGGGCATAATGATGACAACGGCAGCCATCGTGTCCCTGGTAACGTTCGTCTTGATCTCGCCCCTGTGCAAGTTTTTTGCGGAACGCTACTTGCTCATTTGGGGAGGATTCTCACTCATGTTCCTCGGCCGAGTTCTCTTCGTGCCTTGGGGTCCTGATCCACCGAAGCTGGCGCAGGCCTTCAATGCCAGCCTCAACTTGCCCGACGACGATCCCATTTACTTGGGTTGCCCGCCCACGCAAGAGTGGTGTGGCGAGCTGCCAGCCCTAACGCTGACGCAGTTCATTATTGGTTTTGCCTTCACTTCGGTGGGATATCCCATTGGGGTGACCCTCATTCAAACCATATTCTCCAAGGTGCTGGGACCACGACCGCAGGGCGTCTGGATGGGCTGGATGACGGGCTCTGGCTGTCTCTCACGAGTCCTGGGTCCCGTGTTTGTGGGCTCCATCTACACCAGACTGGGCACATTTTGGACTTTCGGGGTAACCTCCGGCATGATGCTCGTCTCTATGTTTTGGCTTCAATGCAGCAAGTGAGTTGGCAGTCTTCTTTGCAAGAGATTTCCGTATTTAATTGCATTTATTCAATTTCCACAGTCGATTGCTTATCCCACCGACTTTTGAGAAGGCAACACCTGTGGAACTTCAAGAACTGAGCAAGCACAATGGTGGCAACAAACTGGATGACGACGACGACGCTGGGGACTCACCTGAGGAATTAATTTCCAAAGACCACGGCAGCCATCACTCCATTTCCCGGGCGTAGTGGCTGGAGGGACTCTATCTTTAAGACAAAGTTGCAATACTGGCTAGCTTTAAAATACAGGTTTATTTTTTGCATATTTCCGACTGAACGCGGCTATGCTTTTATTGGTACTCGCAAAGTCCACAACATTGAACTGAACTATGTTACTGATGAATCGAATCGAATGTGGGTATGAGTGTATGAGGGACGAGCACGTCGTTGTCTAGTCTTGGAGGCTTTTATGTTTGCTGCAGCATGCATGGAGGATGCTTCGACGAGTGTTTCCATTTTCTTGTGTTTTAAGTATAGGATTTACGGTTTATGTTTAGTAGAATACGCGTGGTTACCAAGGCGGCAGCCACAGTTGTGAAAATGTCGTCGGCAGCAGCATGGGTTCGTGTTGCTGCTGGTTTTGCGGCTGATGGTAGTAGGTCTGTGGCGACCAGTAAAACAACCAGCAATCCTGTCCCGACCCTCTCCTCGAGCCATGTGTCGCTGTGTGGTACAAAGTGTGGGCCATGGGAAGGGTTAGGGGCAGTGCGACCGCAACTCAGCTGCTGCCGTGATAGTAAAACTCATCTCAGTAGGGCGCATAGCGGCGACCCGGAGGTGAGGGACCACGCATTCCGCGCGACGATATCATCCGATCGTCAAAGGAGTCACGGCTAAAGTCCTCATAGCCATGAGGAGTTGGAGAGCTGTTGGGGAATTAAACAAAACCATTAGTAACTTATCAAAGAGGGGTAATTGTGGCAAGATAGACCTAGAATTTTCATCATATTACATTCCCTATCAATAATAATGATAACAATGAACTTCAAGGTTTAATGCCTCCATTATCAACTTGCACTCCTGGGAGTCCCCTATTTTACATTCCCATATCAAGGTTTATAGGATCATATCACTTACCCGTAGCGACTCATTCCATTGCTGCTACGCGGCGGAGGCGGCGAACGTCGACTAAACATTGTGTCATATCCACGCGAGACGCTGCAGGAGCGCAAGCTGCCACTTAGCGGGGGTGGAAGTGGCATGGGTTCACGGCGTGAAATCGGCGGCGGCGGGAAGTCGCGCATACGCGATGTCTGGTAGCGGCGCTCATACAGATCACGTGACTCTTCAAAGCGGCGGTCATAGTAATCATATTCCTGTGGAACGGAAATGAGGCATTACATTAGTATCGTCAAATATGTGTTTCAGGGAGGAAGGGGGACGACATGGAGATGCAGAAGGGTGATGTGTCTACGGGATATGGATGCTGTGAAATTACCCTAAAGCCATCCATGATGCGGTCACGCAGGAATGGCGGCGGCGGTGGTGGCGGCGGATACGGGTCACGACCGTACATGCGATCTCTGTAGCCGCCAGCGCTGAGCGGTGAGGGCGGCTCACGTCCGCCTCCAGCGCTGCCATAGAGGCGCGGACACTCTTTCGACCAATGACCGGAACGTCCGCAACGATAACACTGCTCCGGATCGCCCATGCCCGGCTTTGGGCGGACACGACTAGTCGACACTTGAACCTTGAGTGGCTGGCCATCGACGACGCGACCGTTCAGCTCCTTGATGGCGTCCTGCACGTCCCCGACACAGTCCAGATGGACGAATCCATAGTTTCGCACAATGTCGCACTCGACGACGGTGCCGTATTTCTGAAACAGTTCCCGCACCTCCGGCGCCCGCGTTTTGTCGGTCAAATTTCCCACGAAGATTTTCGTTGTCGGCGTGTTGGGGGCCCGACGACTCTTGGCGGCCTCCACCTTGATGGCGAACTCATTCAACACGTAACCGTTCAGATTCTGTATGGCATCGCGACCCTGCTGCTCGGTCTCCATGTGCACGAAACCATAGTTCTTGACCACGTCGCACTCGACGACGGTACCGTACTTCTCAAAGAGCGCCCGCAACTCGGTGGCCTGCGTCTTCTCATCAAGATTCCCGATGAACAACTTGAACGTGCCGGCTCCGGGCATGGCGGCAACGGGTTCCGCTACGTGGTCGTCCACGGTTCTTTTGTTTCTTGCACTTGTTGTGGGGAGGTCCCGAAATTTGATTATATACGCGGCGGCGGCTTCACGGGCAGCGGCAGCGGCGTTCTTCGGATATATCGCGTTAGGGCGACGGGCGGGCTTGATACTAAGGCAAGACGACTACGGGTCCCGGACAAACGCGACCTCAAGAGGGGATAAAAGAAAACAGGGCAGTTTTTCAGGCTGGTACGAACCAAGATGCAGTGCAGCAGCAACAGCGGCTGCCAGCCGGTAGCAATAAAAACAGCGCGGTGCGTGGCAAATTACCAATTCTTTTCTCTTTACAAATATCTCGAGTCCTCGGTCGGTTTTTCGATTGCTACCACATACACAAAAAAAGATGGCGACGGCCAGTGCGCATTTTTTCTCACGGGTTTCTGTATTCGCCGCTTGCGGTGGCGTGGCTTCGGAATGCGGTAAATGGATGTGGGGGACTCACCTGATTTTTCAGCTGCTTAAATTATAAAACTATAGCGCACAAACGCTTTTATTTTTTTTTACTTTCTGCTCAAATGACACTTAATTTCCACGATTTCGATTCCAGTGTGACCTTGATTGGCAGGGATCCAGAACAAGGCAAGGCGACCAGTGTGACCGGGTAACGTTACTTTGAGACTGTAATCGATAACGATATCGAAAGTGTTGGTAAATGCTTTCGGAAGCGGCCGATGGTCACTCGCAACACTTGGCAGCCAAAAAAAGCGGGAGGATTTGGACAAAGTTAATGCGAATTAAAAATTGCCAGCGATTATGGAGACGCCGACGGGTAGTGGGTGCCCCTCACGCCCCGATCGCACGGCTACCCCACGCCTCTCCGAGCGGAAGCGACGACTGTTCGGCAGTCCTGTAACCCAAATAGTCAAGATCAATGACGAGGAAGATGAGGACGTCGACATTCTTGGCGTTTCGCCCTTAAAGCCCCATGTGGCGACCAACAATCCGAACGGGGGCAGACTCTTCACAGGGCAAGCCACCCCTGGCAGAAGAAGAATGTTACGCGGCAGCCCAAATAGCAGCCCCGAAACCAACAAGGAAAACAAGACGGGGCGCAAAAAAAAGGTTGCCGTGGAGGCGGCTGCTACCGAGGAGCAGCTGCCGCACTTATTCACCACCACGATGCGATTGAATAGCAACAGCAGCAGCCAAGCCAGCAGCCCCCGTACGCCCAGGCAAGGACGTCGACGTCGGCCGGATTCATCTATGTCTTCACCAGACTCTGAGATGGGATCACCAGGAGTACGGCGTGAACGTGCAAAGCCAAAGCCCAGGCAGGAGGTCAGCGCAAGCAACACCAGACGCAGTCCACGCAACGCCAAAGCGACGGAGACTATCGAGCCCAGTCAAGCGACAAGTAGTAAGCAAAGTAGGATCAGTCCCAGAAGCCATAGAAAATATACAAAAGCTGTGAACAATACCATGGCTGCTTCTTCAGGACCTGTTCACAAAACCACAGAACTTGCCCAGGAAAGCAGTAGAAATAGACAAAAGTCCCCAGTACCTATTCTAAAGCACACTGCAAAAAGCAATGAAGACAGCTTGAAGACCGTAATAGCCTCTGTGCCCATTCTGAAGCCCCAAACTCTGAGCCAGGAAAAGGAAAAAATCACAAAATCTCCTATGACTCAAAAAACCATCGATTCTTCGGATGATGAAGAAAAATTCGATCCTAAAGCTGCTCCTCGACAGGCCCAAAAGCGCCTACACCCGGTCACGCCATCTGCTACTGCTGCCTCTTCGACGGAATCCGACTCTGGATCGCCGCAGAATAAGCTGCGCAGGATGAACCCGGAGAGCAGCATACCCACCATGGCCTTCTATTCGCACAGTGGAACTGGAACGGTGCGAGTGAAGGGAGTGCAAGGCAACGCGGCAAGGAACGCGCAGCCGAGCAAGGCAAAGTCCCCGCAGAAACGTCGAGAGCGGGTGGGAATCAACAACGGGGTGCGTCACAAGATTCGAAAGCGGGCGAGATTTTCTCAACACCTTCAACCAACCAACTTAAATCACATCCTGAGCTGCTTGAGCAACGAGAGGCTTAAAAACTTGATCACCACCAAGCGTGAGGAACGTGCCAAGGTAGAAGAGGTGCATGAGATTCTGCGCACGGCCCGGGATCCCATCAAAATGGCAAAACCACTAAGCGTGCTGGATTCCGACGACGCCAACAACAACAACAATGTCCAAGCAGGAGCCATGTGGCAGGAGACAGATAAAGACTTTAGCGACCTGAGTGAGGACGATGAGAAGGGAGTAATCATGGATCCCGTAATGGAGCTGGAGCCCATCATACCACTGATACGGCACGAGACTACGGTCCACACTTCACCGCCAAGCGAGACTGTGGACCTCAGCAAGCGAAAGTTCTTCAAGTCGGGGCGCAGGAGCAGCACCTGCATGGAGGTTCGGATAACGGACAACATTAAGGCCAGTGTCAGCCAGGGAAAGATTGCCCTGGTCCAAAAGCCTCGCCGGAAGCCTCGATCCGTTCGCGTAAAATCAGCAACTTTATTCTCCGCCGAGCAAGCCACTGTGGATGCAATCCTGAAGAACCTGGACGACTCTGTGTTGGATGAGATCGTTGAATCAGAGCCCAAGGTGGATGTCACTCCCATGGAGACCGAATCCTTGCCGGAAATTATCGAATATGCGCCCGAGCCTGAGGCAAATACAGACGACGATCCCTTTGCCGTCTTCCGACAACGATTGCCATACCAAACGGATGATCCGGAGCTCATAGAGCAACAGCAAATCCTGCTGGAGTTCCTCATCAGCAACAACATCTGCACTGAGCAGAACTTTGAGATCTTCATTGCCGATCCGGACAATCACAAGGAGGAGGCTAATCGGATTGTTGACGACCTATACATGGTGGTAAACAGCGAGGAGGCGGCGCAGGTGGTTCAAATGGAAGACGTGCCAGAACCAGTAGTGGAGCCTCCTCCTCCTCATCCACCTGCCCCAGAAGAAGACCAGCCAAGGCTTTTTCCCATATTCACGCAGCGCTTACAGCCTGTTGCTCATAAATCGTCGCGTCGGCGACCGAGCACTTCAATGAGACTACTGTCCGAGGCAGCGGGAGGATCCAATCAGTACCAGATCGATGCCGGTCAGAAGGCCTTTGGCGCCCGACAGTGCCAGCAGTGCGGATTGGTGTACACTGTCCACGAACCGGAGGAGGAGCAGCTTCATCGCGAGTACCACAACTCGATCCATGTGTTGCGCTTCAAGGGCTGGATCGACGAGGATATTGTGGCCGTGTACCCGGAATGGGGCAGCGACGGCCGTATCGTGAGGCTCAACGAACGGGCGCCTGCCGCACGACTCGAGCGACTCAAGGACCTCATCCGTGTGGTGGACAAGGAGCTGGGTTACTCTTCGTATATTGTGCCAAAGATATTCGTGGCCTTCATGGCGGTGCGGAAGCAACAGATTGTGGGTTTCTGCCTGGTGCAGCCCCTGTCGCAGGCCCATCGGTTCATCCAGGTCGATGGTACGGACTATTTCAGCGAGGAGACCTACAAGGCCAGGTGAATAACTACTTCGTTTTTGTATAAATCTTTTAAATGCCATTCCTTCCCTTTGCCAGTTGCGGTGTATCCCGGATCTGGGTTTCACCTCTTCACCGTCGTGGCGGAATCGCCAGCAAGTTGATACGGGCTGTCCAGTGCCACACGATAATTGGCCAGGAGATTGCCATGGAGTCCATCGCTTTTAGCACGCCCACCGATGATGGACGAGCTCTGGCGCGGCGGCTCACCGGGTTAGATAACTTCTTGACCTACGATCAGTGACCTAGCCAAACTTGGCCAAGGAGAGCAGGAGAGACAGCTATTGAATAGCTGGATTAGTTTGGATTGCTTCGGAACCTGTTCTAATTAGTTGATAATCGCGTTCATTATGTTTCAAGCGGCGAGTTGTGCGCCATTTTATTGGTTTTTAAGGGTAGAGCGAAATGTCCCCGTGATCATGCAATAAACATTGGTTTAATAAATTTAAGGAAACATTTCTGCATTTAATATGATTTAATTTAAAGTTAAAAAAGACTACGTTTTGATGTAGTGTAAATTGAAGCATACAATTAATTTGTGCATTTTCGGACCTAAAAACAGGTTTTGTTGTTTTTTTTTAGGTTTTATGTATCAGAATTTAAGGGTGGATTTTGAAGTAAATTCCTCTACAGTTGCGACTTCAAAAAAATAGTTGTTTGTCCTGAAATAAACTTATGGGATTCAAGTATACAATATTATAGAATTATAAACATACAAAATAATAATTAATATTATTTACCCCAAACTAATTTGCTTTCGTTCAAAGATATTACCTTTCAAGGATATATAATAATATCCCTAAAAATATGCAACAAATAAGTTTCTACACGTGCACCTGCGATCGATAAGAATCAGTCGAACTGCTTGCAACCCTGAGCCGAACCAGCCAGTGTCATCACTAACTTCTGAGCCAGGCTTTTGGGCGTTGTTTTCGTTGCTGCAAAGTGGATGAAATTAAGAACTTTGAAGAATCTAAACAGTTCTTACATCTGAATGGGAGTTGTACCAATCCTGGAGATCACCAATAGCGCGCAGATGGTAAGTTCGAAAGGAATAATCGAGAAGTGAAGTCGGAAACTCCAAGAGCTACTTGCCACGCCCAATGTGTGTTTAATTGGAAGTGCTGGCAATTGGTTTCGGGGTTGCACAGCAGCGTGGTGGTTGAGCTTAAGCAGCACTTCTCCCTGCTCCATTCTTAACTCAACGCTTTATTCGTTGCAGACAATTGAGCGTTGTGCAGCAGGCAGCCTTCAAGTACCACACCCATAAAAGACTATGTCCACAATCGAAGAGGAACGCAAGGCGTACGAAAAGAATCCCTACTTCACCGGTCACATCTACGGCAACTTCTCGCCGTTTTATGTGACTATTGCCATCTGCACGGTTGTCCTTGGCTCGATCATCATATTAAACATCATCTTGGGCTGCTGCTCTAAGCACCGCAAGTACTGGCAGGACAGACACACGGGTAATCGCTGGCTGGTTTCCATTTGGTCAGCCACTCCGCATAAGCAGCCTCCATTGGACTTTACTGAACTGAAGGACGCATCCTATTTCCAGCGCTTCCATGTAAGTTATCATAGCTTCAGCTTAATGTGTCTAATAAGTTGCTAACTTGGGTTTTTTCAGCCCACCACTCATCAGCAAGTGTTCCCCGACGACGTCGTGATTGGCGTTGACGACTTAGAGCCCGTGCATCAGTCACCGCCGCATCAGCAGCAGCGTCCACCGCGCCCCGAAGGACGCACCCTGCACCAGCAGCGACAGCGCGAAGAGTACGTGGAGCTGCAGAAGCGCGAGAGCGACATCTAAGCGAAAAGGAAGATGGCTCTTTACTTTCTCTATCCCGCCGTGGCCGCCTTGGCTCTGTTCATCGTTGGCGTGATCATTGTCATGCTACGCTACGGTCCCCGTTTGTGCGGCCTGCGCCACCATGCGCTTCCGGACAACGACGACCTGCGGGAGAAGACGTACGAGCACGAGATTAGCTATGCCTAATCTTCAATTTACACTCTCATTCTTATACATGCCTTCTTTTTATATATGAATCTTACCCACTAACCCTTATCTATCCCGTAAGCTCCCCAACTAACCCATCTGCACCCAGGATAATTATTTTGCATGCAGTACAAACAGATTATTGTTCATTTCCCATCTATCACAATCAGACAATGTGCCTTAATCTCACGTGAAAAATTATGCCGTCCAAGTGTCTTTTTAGTGCCGTAAGATTGAAATAACTAAAAATAATCGTATACATTTACCCCTTTGGGTAGTCGACAGATGCTGCATTTAATGTAACAAATTGAATATTCTATATACATATTTCAACAACATATCAGTATCAGTATATTTTGCATCTGCTTATATCTATGCAAACTCTATACATTTGTATTTGTCCGTTTATTTCTCCCCAATATTGTGTACTGAAATCACTTTGAATAAAGCTCGAGTTTACATTCCCGAAAAATATATAAATGTGCATTTTATGGTCTTCAAAAATATTATAATACAAAATTCGTTAATAATTTTCCTTACAATAAATTTACAATGTGAAAAATAACAATATACAATTCTATAATCAATTCTTAATAATATACAATCAATACAATGCATTCGGAATAGGTATTAGGTGGAATAGACTCCAATAAATCGAGATTAAGTGATGACTATAAATCTAAGTTCGTTTAGTCGGCTTCTTGGGCATCTTCCGAACATGACGCGCCGTCTGCTTGGCGGGAGCGGCCAGCTCATAGCGAAAGATGATGCATCTACGGTCCATGAAGCCCCTCAACTCCTTGGGATCATAGCGATGACCCATATGCTTCAGATACAAATAGACCTCCTGCAGATCGATGGGCTCATACATGAGCACGCTCTCGTGCAAGCGAGGATTGGCGCAAAGCAGATTGTGCCAGGCTATGTGCAGGGGCACCAGCGGCTGCGGAGTCTTCTTGGAAACGTTTGTTTGCAGAATATAGAATTCAAAGTCATCGCACAGGCTTGGCGGCAGAGATTGAGAGAAGCGCAACAGCTCATCTCCAGAGGCATCCTTGAATTTGAAATCCTTTTTCGGTTCAGTTGGCGTCAGGCAGTCTTCAGTATGGATGGACTTGACCAGCTGGGAACGTGGTTTTGCAGACAGCACGGGAGTGGATTTGGAGCGAACGATGGGCTCTGGTTGAGGAGACAACGTTTGCATAATGGGATGAGTTTGATTGTAGATAAACTCTAGCATTTTCACGGCCTGCTTTCGTTTTAGGGGTTTGATTCCGTAATTATAGAGCAGCTGGAGAATCTCCGATTCCGGAAGGCTTGCAAAGTCCGGCTTGGGTTCGTTGCACACACTTATGGTGTACACATTTCCCGCAACTTCCAATTGATCCGGCACATTTTTGGGGACGCTCACCTCTGCTGGTTCTACTGCTGGCATTTTTATCTCCGCATTCAACAATAGATCCAGGCCACTGGGCATAGCCTCCGTTTCTGAACTAGCCATGGTGGAATCCTTTTTGGTTTTAAAAACCAACTGATCAAATTCATCTAAATCGTTGTCAGAATTGTGCTCCTTCGGGTTAGGTTTGATTGCCAGCAGGTCATCAAATTTGTGGCTGCTTTTGCAAGCCAAAGGCTTAACTGGTGCATCCAAAAACGAAGCTTCTGCCCAATTGATATCAATACCCGAAGGCGAGTCATGCCTGCAGACCAGACTCTGCAGCTGGGAAAAGCTAAATGGCTGAGATGGAGCCGCATCCAAGATGCCGAACTCTGCCCGCTCCTTGCTGAGCATGCTCTTGTTGGGCGAACGTGAACTTCCAGCCATCAGGAAGGCGTCTAGATCCTCCTCGGTCTGAAAATGGGGTACAGCGCGCTTTTTGGCCACTGGAGAAGATAAACTGCTGTTGTCAGAGCTTTCGTCCTCGAAATTGGGAGCTGCCTTAGTTGACTTGTTGGCCTTCCAAATGGAGTAATTGATCTCCTCATCGGACAGCAAAATGACATCGTTGTCATCATCGCTGTTTTGCGTCAAATCCACACTTACATCCGAGTGTCGGCAGGGGGAAGGAGTTGGTATTGGTTCCCTCTTCTCAGCGGAGCTCTCAATCTTCCAGTTGAACGGACTTTTGAAGCTGTTATCGGTAGACAAGCTAACACTCCTTTGCAATGATTTCCTGGAGAAGTTGAGCTCACTAAAGATAGAACTTCCTTTGTTTTGGCTTGGAGGGGTTTCTATGTCTAGGTGGAATGAGTTTTCGAAAGTCTCCGAGTCCCTGTCCATGCCAAAAGAAATTTCATTCAAATTCTCCTGTTCTTTTTCTGCTGTAGGCTTATCCTGTACGGCATATTTAAGGAACAGCTCCCGGGGAATAGGACAGCTTTCTGCCTGAGAACAGGAGTCCAACGCTGAAGTGATATTGAAATTATCTATATCGGAGTCAGATTCAAATACAGCACTCATATTAAATATTTTCTGAGATAATCTAGATGAATTTGGCTCCAGCAGTTTCTGGGAATCATTGTTTAAGTCAGTTTTATCTTCTTCATCACTAGAGAAGACTTCGTAGGTGGTTATCTGAGTAGGTTCTTCGCTGCTGCTTATTATTTCCACTTCTTTAACAGGACTTTTATTCTTATAGACCTTAAGAGAGAAATCTCTCAGCTCTGCCGGTTCGTTAGAGATAGAAATCGTGGGAATATCCATCTCCTCGTCGGAGTCACCAAAGAGATCGGGTGAAGTGCAACGCGTCAGCTGTGTGGGAACGCTTAAGATAGTTACAGAAAGCGGCTGTTTATTTTCCTTTTCATCATTGGCCATTTTTGGTCGCTTATCGGGCGGCTCCTTCGATGGACTGCTTTTAGTGGAGGATGCATCCTTCTCAACCGTCTTTGAGTCATCCTCGATCATATTGTCCGCCACTAGCTTTTCCAGTTCATCCAATTCGTCCACCACTTGCTGATCCATTTCCTGTGTATCTCCAAAATGCTTTTCCAACTCCGCGTATACAATTTCAAGTTGCTGTTTTAGTTGACGGCTTTTTGAAGTCTCACGTTCTGGGGATAAATCCCTCCCCTGAATTGCAGCCCAATTTTTGAGAAGATGGTCGGCTGGCGTCTGGCTTACCTCAATTAAGTCGGTTACATAGTACAGACCCAAATTTTCTAAGGCACCTTCACTAGGTTCGTGAATGATTTGAGAATTCCTTGAGGCTCTGAGTGCATGAAGATTGGAGCTGATTAGTTCGTAGGGTGGCATCAACCGGTCTTTCTCCAGCAGCTCCTTTGTGCGCACTTGCTGAGCCATCATTGTGGACACCTTTTCCTCCAACTTCTTTTGTTGCACTTTGGGATTTCGTAGGGTTAAAGCAGTGAATTTATTGGCCCATTTGCCGCGTCTGGTACCTTTTCCAGCAACCACAGGCAATACTGCCAAGGATTTGTAATCTTAAAAGGCAATAAATACCAACATTTCAATGAAAGCATTAAAATCTTTGTCTGGATTTTACATACCTTCTTTGGCCGCTGTGCGAAAACCATACTTCTGCAGCTTGCGCCTTATATTCTCAGAGGACTCCACAGTATCGTCCATTAGCTCCACCACGGCCTCCTCCTCGTTTTCGTCGTTCAAGCGCAGGCATCCACGTTTCTCAGCCTCCGACTTGGACAGCGCCAGCGCCATCTCGATGTCGTCGGGACTGAAATTATCCGCCAGGCAGTGCTGGGCAGTGACCTCGGAGAAGAGCTGTTCATTCCGCAGGAAATTGCTGATGGTCGGTTGTTGTTTACTCCTTCCACGACCTCGACGGGAAGTAGCCGTGGATGAGCTGCTGCTACCTTTAAGCTTGGGAGCCTTTTTGGGCTTCGGACCCGGTTTTTCGAACACATTACTGGCGCGTATGGGTTTTATTTTGGGTGAAGGAAGTTCGGTTTCTACTGAAGGGGCAGGTGCAGCAGGGGCAATTTTTGCAGTTTCTTCTGGAGTGCAAAAGAAGTCGGTCAGTGATAATGGAGTAGTGCTGCGCGTAGATCTTTGAAAGGAAAGAAAACAGGGATTTTGGTTAATAAACTACATTTTATTCTTCAACAAATAAGTATGTTTTAATAAGAATTACCGGAGCTTGTTGGACGTCTGCTGCAGGTTCTTGAAGTTCGCCCGCCGCGTCTGGCGATCCATTATTTAATTCTCTGCTCCTCGCTTTCCTCGATGGCCTCCTTGATGAATCTCGCTGTTCGCGGAGCGGGAAAATCGAAGAGTCCCTTCCTATCCCTCTCCTGCTCTGTTTGGACCAACGCCGTTGACAGCCTCTCGTTGGAAATACGCTGAATGGGCGTCAGGCTGAAGAGAATCATTTAAAAACGTGTTTGCTTGGATATTTCTTTTCCGAATGTTTACCTCCAGATCCCAAAGAGGACAGTTCCAGCGGCCAGCAGGGCGTAGGCGAAGCGATTGCGGTACGTATACGATGGTGTGCCGAGGGTGCGTCTGGGCTTGCGCTTGGTAGTATCAATGGGATCCATTACTGCCTGTTTCTTATATAATTACAAGCATTTTACAAGCGCCGGCTACAAATTATGAAAACATTTAGCAATTCCAAGTGTGACCAGACCAAGCGGTGCGCGAAAGCCATGGGAATAGGGCTGCCACATCTCGTCTGCTCTAGGGTTGCCAGCGCAGGCCGATAAACAGCTGGCCAGGCGATAGCAAATTTTTTATTTTTATTGCAAATTTCTTTGTTAAATTTAGATAAATGTTAATATAACAAGAAACTATCATGGAAACAGCGGAGGCAGCTAGGCCGGCTAATGCAGAGAGTCAAGCGAAGACGGAAAACGGGAATTCAGACCGGGAAAACCACAATTCTGAGGAGAAATCAAGTGAAGACGTGGAACTGAAGGCGGATTTAGTGGAGCAGCAGCTGGAAGAAAGCGATGTGAAATCCGAAACTGCTGCAAGCGAACCGGAATTCAAGGATGCGACGAAAATGGAAGATAATCTGAAGATGGCCGTCCTTGACCAAGTGCCAGTCGAAGAAGGAACTGCAGAACTCACCCTGCGATTCAAGGATCTGCAGGCGCAGGAAAAGGAGGAGGAACTGGACGCCAATCACTCGAAACCTAGGCAGAACGACATCCTCTCCCACGTTCACTGCCTTGCCCAACTGGAAGAGCAGCGTCGCAGCTACGAGCAGCAGTTGGAGCAACTTCGGACATCCAATAGCCAAAAGGACAACATGATAACCCTTATCCAGCGGGAGAACGCCATTCTGGACAAGGAGAAGCAGGCGTGCCGCAAGGAAATGGACATGGCAAACAAGGAGAAAGAAGCGACCGTCATCAAGTTTGCCATGAAGGAGAAGCTTCTTATTGATGCCAAGAAGGCAAAGGAGGCTGTGGAGAAGCAGTTGGCCGAGGCCAAAAAGGAGGTTAAGAACATGACCACCAGATTCCAGGCCGTAAACGAGGAGAAGTCCCGAATGACATACGTGATCGATGAGAAGGTACGTTAGATCGCTGCTTTAACCAACATTTATATTTATTTTTCCCTTTATCAGTGCAACGAAGTAAGGAAGTATCAGCGGGAGTGCGAAAAGTACAAAACCGAAATGGGTCACTTGGAGTCAAAGCTGAAGTACCACATCAATAAGCTAGGCTATGAGACAGAGGCCAAAGCGGTAAGTTCAGATTTCTCAAGAAGTTTATCTCTTTTGTTTAATCTTATTTAATTTTTAGGTTCTTGAACGCAAGCTGGAGGAGGAACGGAATGCTCCCAATAAACTGGAGGAGAAGGCAAATGGTGGGCTCGATTTCTACTTAATAAAATTTAAGTCTCTAATGCAATTCTTGCTGTTAACAGAGAAACTCAAAGTGGAATTTGAAGCCAACACAATACTCCTAAAACATGAGATCACTAGCAAGACTGAGGCTCTGGATAAAGTCACTAAGGAGCAGCAGAAACTAAGCGAAGCCAACAGGGAATTCCAGCAGCAGCTTCAGGAGATTACAACATCGCATAACCAACTCACTGAAGAACTAAACCAATTAAGGGAGCAACACAATTCCGTGGAGGCTTCCTACAGCGATGAGCTGCTCAACTCCGCTAAACTGAGAGGGCAGCTCGAAGAGCTTCAGCTCTTGCGCACGCAGAATACCATGTAAGATTTAATTACACATTTAAAAATTTTTTAAATAATATATATGCTTTAATTACCATTTAAAGCAACGAGGAAAAGTTAGCAGATGAGCAATCGCGAGTCCAACAACTGGAAGCCTTGGTCCAAGACAACGAATCCGATTTGGAACAGCTGAAAGTTAAGAATAAAGAGCTGCTCAGCATTAACAAGGAAATGAGTGAGCTGATTGTGCGTCTGCAGAACGATATTTGTCTGGCAGAGTCCAAGGTAAGTAAAAACAAAAATAAAAATAATAGCAGAAAAAAAAATTACATGCCCCGGGTGAGGCTCGAACTCACGACCTTAAGATTATGAGACTTACGCGCTGCCAACTGCGCCACCGAGGCCTTGGATATCATTGGGGCTACCTAATAAACATTAATTTTACGTGTATTTCCTTTTACTTTGCAGGCCCTTGGCTTGGAAGCGGAAAATAAGCTACTGAAGCAGGAGAAGCTCAGCTACGACTCCAAATACAATCAACTGGAGCAACAGCTTAGTTCGGAGGCGGCAGAGAAGAACGAGGAGCGTCTGCTGTTGGCCAAGCACTTATCCGAGAAAACTAAGCTCTATGAGCTGACCAAGCAGAAGCTGGAGAATGTCCAGGGAGACTACGAGGCCACCCAGCACAAGCATGCAACCTTGGTGAAGGAGCTGCAGCGGGAGCTGAACAAGTACAAAAGGGGAATTCCTGAACCCAAAACCATGCCCATTAGTTACTGTAGCAATTGCCAGCAGGCGATAAATGGCGGCTACCCAACCGAGAATCCTCAACAGCAGCGTAGCCATAGTCGGTCCAGTAGCCACGGCAGCCTGCACAGCAGCAGCCGGCGGGCTAGCGAGTCTTCCGAATCTGAAACCGTAGCCAGTAGCGCCACCACAGTACAACCTCCGCCAGCTCCACAGCAGGATCTGCAGGCAGTGCCGTCCAAGAAAGTGCTCGTTGAGCGGATACTGCGACTCCAACAGGCCACCGCTCGCCAAACAGAGCGCATAGAGTTTCTGGAGAACCACACGGCTGCGCTCGTGGCCGAAGTGCAAAAGAAGTCTAAGGTGGTGCAGCACTACATGCTCAGGGACCAGACCGCCGGCGCTCTCACCACCTCCCGCAGCGATCAGAACAAGAGCGAGCTGGTCAAGTACGGAAACGGCATCATGGCGGCCATATACGGAGGATCCTCGAAAGCGGGTGGCGAAAGCAAAGCCATGTCCCTCGAACTTTCGCTGGAGATTAACAAGAAGCTACAGACAGTGCTGGAGGACACACTGCTGAAGAATATCACGCTCAAGGAGAACCTGGACGTGCTGGGCCTCGAGGTGGACAACCTGACGCGGAAGTTGCGCACCATGGAGGCCTGCAGCAGCAAGTGATGCCAGTATTCCCATTCATTGTATTCCATTCCAGAGTCTAACCCTTGTACATATACTTTTCGTATACCTTTTGTGCTTAAGTTTATGTGTAAATTAAATGTATTTAATATTTTAACAGCTTCTCAGTCCTATAACAATCCCTCGTAAAGCTTGGTGCTAACGGGTTTCGGCTGTCCCAGGCTCACGCCAAAGCTCACAGAGGGTTTCTCGCCTTCCTGCGCCAATCTGGCCAGTTTGTTGTGGGTTAGCTTGAAGTGAACCTTCATCTGGGGATTGCGTTCGCCAGTCTCCTCGGTCACGTACTCGCGTAGCAGTGGCGGCAGGTCGATTTTTGTGGGCAACACCACCGGCTCCAGTTTCTTGGTGTTGTTCAGATACTTTGCCTCCTGGTCTTCCGGCACCAGTTCGTAGTCTGCCTTGTAACTGGTGCTGTAGATCTCCACCGGCTTTGCCTGCTTGACGCCCCGCCAGGTCTTCTCCACGGTAACCCGTACCTTCCTCACCTCGCCCGGCTGCTCATCCACGGCCTGCACCTTCAGGATCCGCATGTAGCACGGCTCCGGATAGCGCTGGAACATGTTACGTATGAGCATGCGGCCCACTCCCCAGTTCGGCAGGTCCGACACCAGCTCCCAAAGAGTGTTGCCGCGGAAATCCGTGGTTCGGCCGATGAACTTAATAACTTTTTGGGCCATTTTTGCCGGTTACTTAACGTGTTTTAATTAAATTTAATGGAAAATTGCACAAAAAAACAAAAATAGTTACAGCGGCAAGCACATCGATGTTATTATCGATAACACCGATAATACGTCAGCTGATGAGATGTGAGCTCAGGAACAGTGCTCCCAGAATTTTGAAATTTAACGTTGCGCGCCAAACTGGAGGTGTATATTCAAATTTAAAAACAAATTATATTTTGAAAATTTTATATAGAACAGCTTCTTCATAGAGGCGATCTGTTAATTTAGCCCTGGCTTCTCGAAATTGGCTCAATAACTCTCCCTCTCATTCTCACTCTATCATTATCTCTGCCTGTGCCTCTATCTCTCTCTGAACTCTCTATCTCTCCCTGTCTAACTCTCGATCAATCTCTGCTCCTCTCTACGCATTCTGGAGACTATAAAAAGGAGGTCCTATCGTCGAGCTGGCCTCATTCCGTCCGCGGTTTCCCTCTCGTTCAGATCAATTGTGATAGTGGTGTTATTGGTAGTGATGGATCACCCGGAGGAGTCTCGCTTCACTGGAACTGTGGACAGCCTTATGGAAGTCCTGGAAACATTAAGATAACTATGCGCTCGAGGGAATTAACCAACGATTCTTTTCGAATGCTGAGAAGGAGGAAAACTGTTTGTCATCTAAAGCGGTAAGTCTCAGTAAATCCTATTTGATATATCTTATTGTATTTTATTTGAGGTTTAAATAAATGTATATAACCCACATTAAGTGTATACAGAAAATACAATGTAAATTTTAAATCTGAAATTTACCGGCAAGTCACAGCCACGTAAGTCTGACTTGGATGTTTACCATTTATTAACATAAATAAAATATAAACTATTCTTAGCCTTATATATTCGAGTGTAGGCAAAGTGTAATCCCTTACTGGTAGGGAGTCCTCACATGTTCCCCTAGATCCTCACCACCGGCCGAGTGACCCACTCCTACGCCACTGGTATCCAAATGCTCGTCATAAGATTCCTCCTCGTGGCCACCGGACTCCTGACCCTCGTGTCCCTGGTTAGTACTTTCGTGCAGTCCAATTGTGGCATGTTGAGCCGCCTTGGAAGCATTCACTTGAGCAGCAGCAGCGGAATTGGATGCCTTGATGGCTGACTCCTTGGTGGCCGCGTAATCAACTCTCGCCTGATGCAACTGCTCCTCCACCTGCTCCAGCCGGTTCTTGGCCTGACCTACCATAGTAGATTGGGAGGCTAGCTGGTTGTTAACCTCCGTGGACGTTTGCTCCGCCTGTTCAGCCACGGACTTGGCATTGTTAACGGCTGCCGTGAGTACGGAGATGTGGTGATGGGCTGCTTGGGCTGTTTGTTGGGCCAATTTGGCAGAGATCTTGGCCGCCTTTAGCTGCTCCAGTTCCCGGGATAGGGAGCGCTGCGCCTCGGCCGCCTGCTGTTCCAGCTCCTGCAGGACCACTTGTTTACCCACCAACGCCGCTTGAGCTGTGGCTGCCGCCTGAGATGCTGCCTGGGCTAATGTGTTCTGGGCTATGTAGGCAGCCTGCTTGGCAGCTGCATGCTGGTTGGCCACGGCGCTGTGAGCCTGATCAGCCGATCCCTGGGCAATGGATCGAAGACCACTACCAATGCTATAGCCACCGGATGATCCCTTGTAGCCACTTGAGCCACTGCCACCACCTCCAGATTGGCTGTAATAGCTTTTGGGACTGTGCTGGGTCTTTTCCGGCTCCGGAGGCTCCACAGCCGGATGATGGGGCTCGAAATATCCACTCTGGTGCAGTGGTGGTGGTTGCTGGGGTCTGTAATGGTAGCCATTCCTCTTATGCAGGCGTCCCATGATCTGGGCCAAAAGGAGCACTGAAAGGATTTGGATAATGAATGAATATGTTTTTCACAAGTACTATGAACTTAATATTTTCATAAAGAGAGTGTGGTTTAGATTTAGAATATCCAGTAATCACATCTTCCGGAGAGTTTACAAATATCGGATATGATTATTCCACTTTTCGTTTGCACCTTGCTCCGGCTTACCCATCACCAGCTGGCCGAGGAGAGACCGTAATCCTTTGTCGTACATCTCGCTGGCACTGCTGGAACTGCATTGAGCTTCTGCATCGATGGCGGTGCCCAATTTATAAGTCTCTCAAAGACGTCAGCCGAGCAGAAAGTTTTTCAAGTTGCGGAAAGTCGGTTGCGGTTTTTAAATTTAACTGACGATGGGCATGTTATGATTTTCATACTTTTGGGCTATTTGAATGGGTCTGCCCACGTCGTGGAGTTGGGTCCACATCAGACACACACCTTTCCAGTGCGGTCATCGCATCCATTGCATAGAGGAAGCCCGGCGACCGCCTTTGGGTCCAACATATTCGGTGGCGTCTTTTAATGCTTCGTTGGCACGCTTGTTTTTTTTTTCTCTACCAAAACGGACATAATGTAAAGTGGTCGGCCTCCTCAGGTTAGTTAATGTTTAAAATTTAATTTACATTTTATGTGCTGCACTAGTTTGTAATTGAACTTAAAGTGGCGCCTTTGACGCGCTCAGAGCAGTGCAACGATGCAGGGAAAGCTTTTTTTACGGGGATTATGCTTTCTGACAGATTAACTGGCAGGCGCAATTTTGTAATTTACGAACAGGGGAAGTATGGGTTTCTTCAATTAAAATTTAAATACTATTTTAATTGGAATATTGTATAAGGCAAGTAAAAAAATATGATTAAAGTTGGTAATTAAAAAGGGAAATACTTATCAAGAAAATTTCTGCAGTTTCCTATGAGACTTTTTATTTTTCAGGTACTGTTAGTCATGTTTTAACTTACTATTTCTTGATAAGCATCAGCAGGCGAATTAATTTAGCCTTGTATAAGATTATAAGAACAGGAGTTAAAATTTGGTGAAGATATTCTCATTGGTTGCATACATCTTTAGCTAATTTCCGACAAAGATTATTAAAAATGAAACAATGTAGCCTTAACTTTGTAATAAAGTATATTATAAAATAACAAAAGCTGTCCTATACACACTTGTGTGATCAATTCTTATTAAAATTTTAAAAATGATTCAATTATTATTATTATTTATATTTTTGTGCATGCCATGACCTTTGCAAGATATAAATGTTGCCAACAGCAATGAGTGTGGCTCAACATGTTCTTCGCAACATCTCCTTAATATAAACATCGTAGCAACATATTCTTCTGCGTTCTGTAATCTTACGTTTCCGTTTTCTTTTTTTACCTTTTCTCCATTAGCTTTATACTGATTTTATTTCAGTAGGGAATAATAATCACTCAACAATGTATTTTTTATAAATTATTTTATTTAAATACATAATTATTAATTTACAAATATATAAATAAATTAATTATGACAAACACTATTTTACAAAGACAAAATCGGAACTCGAATGTACAAAATACAAGCTACAATTGATATCAACAAAGGCAGAAGCCGGGACAAGAGCTTGTGCGTCTCCGTCGCCAATTAAAATAGGTAACAATCGTGGGACGGTAATGAGTGGGCAACAATTGAGGTGAAGTGACGTGAGGGCGCGTAATATATATAACAAGGTAGGTAGCATAACGGGTAATCAAAGAAACAGTCGTAATAAATAAAAGTGACGGCGCTGATAAATACGATGACGAATGCGATACAATCGATGTTGTGATTCGAGAGTTGCACAAGTGTGTGGGGTGTTTGAGCGATGGCTTCGGTTAGAAGTGGAAAACGAACTCATCGGAGTCATCATCCGGTATTGCTTCAATGGTGTCTGCCGCATGGTAGGCAGTCATCTCTGGCCGCCTCTCCTGTTCCTCCTGCTGCTCCGTTAATCATTGGTAGCTCTGGGTTATCTGCTGGATCCAGGGCAGGTAAGCCGATACCTTCACGTAGACACCGGGCACGTTAACCTGGCCGCATCCAATGCCCCAGGACACCACGCCCACCACATTCCAGACTCCGTTCCTCTCGCAGACCAAAGGACCGCCGCCATCACCCTTGCAGGCATCCTTGCCCTCCTCACCGCCGGCGCAAACGAAGCCGGGATTTAGCTTGTAGCTATATCCCAGACGGGTGTTCCTCAGCTGGGCCTCACACTGGTGATGCGACAGGATTGGCACATCCACCTCCTTGAGGATGTTCTGGTACTTTCCATGCTCACCGAAGGCATCCTTGCCCCAACCGGTGGTCCAGCAACGAGCGCCGGTGAAGTCGGAGTACTTATCGGGCAGACAGGCGGGACTGATGTGCGGGTTCTTGGTGAAGTCAACGGGTTGGTCCAGTTTTAGGATGGCCAGATCATTGTCCAAGGTGCCGGCATAGTACTCGGGATGGATGTGCACAGAGACCACGTCACGTTCAATGTAGGGGAAGAACTCCACATCGTGGTTGACATCCCATTCGCCCAGACGCACACGAAGATCGAAACCATTTTGACTAAAAGGAGAGAAAGAGGTTAATTTTCTGACTGGATTCTCATCAAGGAATTTTGAAACTTACGACTTAATGCAATGAGCCGCCGAGATAATGTGCTGGGCATCGATGAGGGTGCCGCCGCAGGCGTAGATCGACTCCTTGGGATCCTTCTTCAGAATGGCCACATGCCAGGGATACTCGCCGAACTCACTGTCTCCATCCACATACACGGGATTCTTGATACGACCAGTGATGCCGGCCGCGTTCCTTACTCCACAGCGACCCAGCTGCTGCTGGGGAGGAGCCTGAGGACGAAGGGGACGACGGCAGCAGACCTCGTTGATGCGACAGGTCTTCTCCACTGGACGGTTGCCATAGTAAGCGCGCTAAAAGTATCAAAGTGGAGGCGAGACATTAGCAAAATATTAAAAGGGAGAAGAGTGACTAGGATATTCTCGCGATTTGCCTTGATCAACACATGGTTACCTGCTCCTCTGGAGCTGCTCCCGCCCACACACCATCATCCGAGACGCTTCTGCGCCTGCGATCCCTGGGAAAGGTGATCCGATCACTGCCAGCCGCCTCGCCAGGAGCCGGCGTGGGAATGTTGTAGAGGGGTCCCAGGTTCAACTGCTTGCCTCGACGACTGGAACTGGGAGATTCACCAATGCCGCTCACATTGGCACTTCGCTCCACATGCTGCGAGTACTCTCCGAAGCCACCAAAGTCGGGGCCAGGACCAGATCCGGGATAAACTGAGTTGAAGGAGCTCTCATATGGGGACGATGACTCGTGGTGATGGTGATATTGAGTCGGAACCGATGGGCCACTGTGGTACTCAAAGATCGGAGTGCTCGGCACCATTTCCACACTGTAGTGGGGACCAGGAGCAGAGCTCCCATAGTAGGGTTTATAAGAGTGATGATCGTGGTGGTCATGGTGGTCATGGTGATCGTAGTCGTGATGCTCATAGCCACTGTAGTGGTCGTGGTGGTGGTAATGGGTGCTATACTGCTCAGTGGGCTTCCGCTTGAAGAAGTCTCCCACCTTCTGGATGAGATTTGCATTGGGGGTGACATGGAGATTGACCAGAGGCTTTACCACCTTCTCTCCATAGTCGGTCTTGGCCACCTGCACCGACACCAGCGGATTCACATTCACCAAACCGAGATTGAGGCCATTCGGACCCACAGAACCAAAGTAGGGGTTCTGAGCGGGATAGTGATCGCCCAGGACATTCGAGGGATAGCCTCCATAGCCACCGGAGGGATAGGGCAAACCAAAGCTCACACCATAGGTGGGCAGCACTTTCCGTTGGATCAGCTCGATGGCCTGGAGGGCGGGCAATGCCAATGGAGATCCTCCGAGCGGTGCCTGTCTCTTTTTTTTTGTAAGAGGGAAATACAGAAGAACAGACGCTACAGGAGTAGTTTGGGTTTCCGGTTTCACGATGCAGGTTGCAGGTTGCAGGCGTGCGATCACAAAGGTCGTGCTTGGTTAGCTGGTTTAGTTCTGGGATTAGTGACTGATCTGATCCGATTTGAACTCTGGAGCCAGCTAGGGTTTTTTAGTTGAGCTTGGAGCGTTGAACGATGGGTGCAGTTGTCAGATTGGTTGATTGATTGATTGATTGTTTGGTTGATTGATTGGATGTGTGTGTGTGGGAGGTGGAGCAGCTTTGCAGCTTTTGCTAGAACTCGATTAGTGGTCCGTGTGAACCATGTGTGATTTGGCATTAGTCGGGCTCTACCTAAAACTAAAGCTATTGGATCCTCCGGAGAGGTACTAATACTAAGACACTTACCCCTTGGGCATCGAGCGACAAATCGCTGGCATCGTCTTCCTTCTGTTCACCATTGGCCTGGCGGCGAGAGCGCTTCTTGTCATCTTTGTCCGACTTCTCCTCGGCCTTCTTACCATCAGCAGGGGCGGTGGCATTGCTGCTGGCAGCAACATCATCACTTAGAGCCTCGATATCCTTGCCCAGGTTACGGGGATCAATAGGCAAAATGAGGTCATCCTTGCGTCCAATACGATCGGCGGCCGGACACTGAGAGATGGGCACACACTGGCAGTCCACGATTTGCTGGCGAGAGGTGTCATAGCCACCCTGGTATTGTCCTTGTCCCTGGTAGCCACCGGAGATGCCATTATACTGGTTAGAGGCTCCACCCTGCAGTTCCTTCTTGTAGTAGTCCGGATTCTGGCTGTGATAGCTGGAGCTGGGCGATCCACTGAAGCCACCCGATCCGCTGCTGCCAAAGCTGCCTAGGCCAGAGTTCGGCTTGTAGAGATCACCAGAGTTGGGCTTGTACAGATCTCCGGTGTTGGGCTTGTACAGATCACTGGGTTTCTGGGACAGACCGAAGCCGTTCTGCGAGAGGAGTCCGCCCTGAGAGGCGCCATTGAAGCCAGCGTTGAAGGCGTTCGACTGAGAGTAGCTGGATCCGGAAGAGGACTGAACCGAGGGTGTGTAGGTGGCCGAGGACTGGGCCAAGGCACTGAAGTCCGTGTTGATGGTCTGGCCAGCACCGATGGGAATGGGCACACTGGGCACCTTGGCTCCCTCACCACCTTCAACATGGTGGTAGTGATGATGCACATGCTGCTGGAGTCCAGCATCGAGGGGTGCTCCCACCACCACCTTGGTGCTGGAGGAAGTGGCCGAAGATGAGGAGGCGGAGGACTGCTGGGAGTAGAAGCCATTGGGAGCAGAGCTGGCACCCTGGATGCCACCCTCGGGATTCTCAAAGTTGTATGGGGGAACTCCGTTGGAAGCACCAGTGAAAACGGGTCCGGCACCCACCGATGGACCGCCGGTGTAAATCGGACCTGGTGGCTTGCTGTCGTAGATCAGAGCGCCGGGTGGCGGCTTCGTATAGGTGATGCCATCAGAGCTGCCATCAATGGCGGACGGTGGAGGATGCTCCAGGTAGCCACCGGGTCCAGTGGGGCGATAAGGTCCAGACATTGGCTTGTAGGGTCCCTCATAGCCAACCTTGCGTGGCGGTCCAAAGGAGTTCAGGGAGCTGGGTGGGGGACCGAAGGAGTTCAGAGGGCCAGGAGGACCACCCATGGGCGGGCGACCACTGAAATAACTTGGTGGCGGCATGGGCTTGGCAGGACCATAAGGACCTCCACCAAAGCCAGACGGTGGCGGGGGACCCTGGGCATAAATGGTCGAGTAGAAGGGGCGCTTCTCCTCCACATCGCAGCTCATCAGACCCAGACCGCACAGCTTGTCCCGGATAAGATTGCGGGCCTGCAGATCATTTCCCTGCTGGAGAGCTTGATCAATGTTGCCATCAGCATAGACTGCGTCGTATTCGCCAAGATTGCGACCCTCGCGACGGGAGTTGATGAGCTGCTCGATGACCTCATCGATCTGGCTAGTAGTGCTGTTGCTCTGGATGGACTCGTGGACCAGGTACCGTCCCTGGATGTCAGCTGTGTCTGCAGGCTTGGTGTCCACCGAACGGCGGTTGGGCTTGGCATCCTCCATGGGAGCCCACTCGTTGCCCCAGTTTGAATCATCGGCCAGAGAGGCGGTGGCCAGCAGGACAACTGCCAACAGGCTTGCTCTTATTCTCATTGTGGAGATCTGCAAGGATTAGATAAAATTATGATTGATTAGATTTATTATTGATAATATTAAAATTTTGCAACAAATTGTTCATGATTTTTCCACATTTTGTTTCGAGTAAAAATAAACTAATATAAATGGCTTTAAGTCATGATCATGATCGGTTATGACATAACAGCGGGCAAGCTTGACACCATTACCCCGAGAGTCATTGTGCCAGTTTACATTTCTCCACCTATCCACCTATCCCTCTTGCCAGCTTTGGCTTAACCAATCCATAATGGAGCCAAGAAACCGGTCCGCATCACGAAATCTTCACCGTGACTCAGACGCGGTGCCTCCGTATAAGACTTTTACTTTCGTTGGAGGTCGCAGACCGTCGTCGCACTTAATTGCTTACTTTTCTTTCAAAATGCGAGAAAGAGAGGTCTCTCGCCGTGCTCCCTGTAATTTATGAGGTAATTTTCCTTTTGGATTTGGCAAGCCTACGCGGACTACAATCGAGCTAAAGCGACCATCGCTCAAGTTGATCTCTCGCCTTGACAGCCGCTTTCCGCTTCGTGTATCTTTTCTTGTAAAAAATAAAACTCACTTTTCTTTTTTGCTTTTCTGCGCTTTTTTTATGCTCGTTTGCATTGCAGTTATGTCACCGGAGTCGGGATCGTATGGGATCGTAGCGGGGGCGGATTTAGTCCAAAGATCGCTACACTTTAATAAAAACTTGGATCTATGTATTATCTAACTTAAGGTTAAGCTTTTTTCTTTAAGATGTTTTTTTTTTTAAATTAAAACACGAATTTCCCTATGTGAACATAAAATCTTCACATGCTTCAAATTTCTCTGTTATCTTTAAATCTTGACAGGTTTCAAGTTTCCTCTGTTCTCTTAAAATCTTCACATCTTTCAGTTACCTTTGGTTATTGTAAATTTTCTGAATTGGCTTGGCTAAAAGGGATATGATTTTTTTAATATTTCTATACTCTTGAATGTTATACTTAGAGTTTAAATTATTAAACCTGATTTCAAACCTTTTTTTTCTGACTGTAAAACTATTCAAAACTGTTTTTTTTTCGAGTGTTTTAACAAATTTATCTTCATGTTATGTAAATGAATTTTGGAACTGCGAAATGCTCAAGTCTTGCAGCCCTGCTTTTCGAGCGGAAGTTGTGTGCAGCGTTGCATTGCAAATTGCCGGCAAGGCATTTTCTTTGGCGAGAAATGATCGTAAGCGATCCTAAACGCTGATCGCTGGGTGTGGAAAATTAAAGTTTTTCCTTTGTTTTCGCAGTGAAAGTTTTGCCTTTTCAATTGGCTTTGTGATCGCGGAGGAGGAGGCATTGGCTCTTGACCAACCAAAGTCTTTTATTATTATATATTATGTAGTATCCATAATTTGAAGCGCAACTAATTGTAATTAGTTCGCGATCTCGGTTCACTTGAGTTCACTTCACTTACTACTCACCTCTTTGTGTTTTAAATAAAATTAATCCAAATTGTGTTGGGTTTAGTTTCTTTTCGATAATCCTTATGCAATTTGCAGAGTCTGTATTCCTTGGATATATCCTTTCACTTCACTCACTTTCTGCACTGATTGTTGTGCCTCTCGTTTGTCTGCAGATCGTTGACTGATTTCGCTTTCGTTCGCCGCGCACATTTTATACAAAAGCTGCGCATGCGCAGCAAGCTCCAACGTTGTCCCATCTCTTTCTCAAAAGCTATATCCATCTCTATCTCGCGTAGGTATAAGTTTTGCGAATCGAGGGCCCAAAACAAAAGGCATAAAAGCGGCAGCGACAATGTTTGGCAACCACCTCTCCTTCTCTTACCATTGGCGTTGGATTTTTTGGGTAATAACTTCTCAGTTTGGGTTTTTTCTCAAATCCCCGATTCTGCTAACTCTTGGAGGTCAACAAAAAGCGTGGCTCTATCCGGAAAAGTCTTCGTTATCATTATTAAAAAACACCCTGCCTGCAGCTATCACTGCGAGTCATAAAACAAATATTTCCCCATTTAAAAATTAGTGTTAATGTGTAAATGTCCAAATTAGTTTGTTGTTTTCAAGCGGGGGCTTTGACCAAAAATATATTTTGAATAACCAAAACAGAGAGCTTTCCCGGAAAGGTGCGTTGCTTGAGAAACCGGGATTATGCAATTCCGCAATTATGAATTGGGTCAGAGAGGAGTAAAGCCGCTGAAAAATAAAGAAATAAAATCATCATGAAAGGGGGTAAAATTGGGCATTGCCACAAACCGGATCTTTTGGCATACATTCGTCTTTAGCTGTCTCAAGCCCCTTTACTGGTGCATTTCGGTTAATATCGTCTGGTTTTTAACCCATGGTCAATGCAAACGTCATCAGCGTAGCTTGTTTTATTTTTATTTTCGCTTCAGCCAAAAGCCTGGCTCATTGTGAATCAAGAGTGCTACGCGGAATTACCCGAAGTTCATAAAAATTAGAGACATTCCCCCCCTAACACTTATTCACGATGATCACGTTCGCGTGCCGCCGCTTGATAATCACGATCATTATTTAGCCCGTGTTGTGTGTGGTCAGTGTTGTTCGAGTGACTCTCGTTGGGATCCACTGGATCCACTGACTTCGATTTGTGTGTTACTGACCTTGGTTCGATAGCCCCTTCCCCCTCCCCCCCCCACAATTAAGTGGGGTTTTATGTTAAACACTCTTGACTTCCAAGAAAGTTGATAATGAACAGATCTTCGGAAATTATGCTAATCACTGTGATTAACTCGAACTGTTATTGTTGGCTGTTTGGCAAACACCTTTCGTTTATTTGTTCGTTCATGATTAATTCGTGGAGTTTTATCAATCGCAGGTAGTGTCGTAGTTTTTGACCATCGGGTTTTTTATGACTCACCGGAGTTATCGGCCTGGTTGGAGAGACCTTTGGGCTTTTCGAGCATTGTTTGAAGGAGGTGCGTCGAACCTGATTCGCATCGATTTTGAATTCCGCTAACGATAGTTTTGAAGTTTACTCTTTCTTTAAGTATATTCATTTATTTGATCATTACAATATTTATTTATTTAACAAATTTAGATTTGCATATAGGGTTTAATTCGATAGTAAAATAATAGTGACTGCAGTGGCCTTTAATTTTTAGATAAATACTTATCAGTAACTAATTTTTTTTTTACTTGTATTTTATTTAGAATTGTTCTCATTTATTAAACTTAATTTCTGCGTATTTATTTACCTAAGAATATTATTATTAAACTTATGGTCATAAACTACAGCTCTCTTAAGGCCTTTTCCAGTTTTCATTTCCAAAAAGTCCTTACATCCTTATAACGGTATCAATTTCTAAGCAAAACCTTACAGAAACGTAAGGTCTACAATTATTATTTACAGGCCTGCTAAGGAATATTTATCAAATATACATAGGTATTTTAATAGTATCTTTAACTGCTTTCTTATTCAATATATTAATAATAAATTAATAGATAAAGTGTATTGTACTCTTCGTCTTACTTTCCTCTAAAACTATTTTCCTGCTAAAAGCAATTTTGTCAGTTGGCTGAAGTTCAACTAATATTGGTAAATCCCAACAGTAGCTGAAGCTGATGAACTGAACTTGAACTTGGACCTCGGCTAGTGACAGCTAATGACAGCTTAAGGAGAGTGTGTAATCTCCGGATGGGGTTACAGGTTCAGGGGCTCGGTATTGGAACTTCAATCAAGCTATCCAGATACTCGTATCTTTTTCCCAGCCATTTATTTCTATTTATGGTAAGCTTGAACTTTTTTTGCACACATTTTGGGATCGGGTATTACAACATAGTGTATGTTAATTATGGCCAACTTGTTAATGGTTTGCCCAAATGGTTTTGAGTGGGAATCGTGTTTGCTCCACTTGGTTAGCTTCCTCTGGGCGAAGCTCACATGCCTTTACACTACCTTTCTCTGTTGCTCTTACTCACATCCAGTCCAATTGGCAGCAGTTCAAGTATAAAGCGAACAAAGTCTTCGAACCTAAAAGAAACAAATACAAATAAAAATTGTCACTGGCTCAAGGTTGGCCTGGCGACTCCCCGGCTTAGATTTGTGTCAATTGCTCAACAAGTTGAGGTCTTCCACCCACACGAAGCACCATTTGGCCAAAAGCAATTTGGCAATCTCTTTAAGCCAAGTTTAACTCGATTATGTGTGGCTTAAAGAGATTAGTTTTGAATAAGAAAATAATTAAAATGTGATGTTGTTTATGCTGAATAAAAAGAAAACAAGTTAAATTACTGGAGAAAACTTTAGTTTATGTATTATAATACATATTTGAAATAGTTTATAAATACTCTTAGATATGTTAAGTAGAAAAAATAAATTATAAAAAATAAGAAAGAAAATTGTCAACATTTTTATTGTAAAGTTATTTGTTATTGTACATTTTAAATAATATATTTACGACGGTTGAGTAAAATTTTGTGTAACATTTTTGATTCATTCGATAATAAGACTTTTCTTAAGACATTTATAATTTAAAAACCACCCTTAATAGAGTTATTTTCCGAATTTCGCAGCTTTAGTTTTTGGGAAAATTCAAGCTCTTCAATTAGACAATTTAAATTATACAATTCCTCCCAATTTATCTTCAATTTCCATTTATATCCTGCTTCATGCCTGCTATGGCATTTCGCCTCTTGAATGCAACCCCAAACTGTGCCATGGATTTGCCCGAAAATTCGCCAATACTGGGGGGAAAATCCCAAGAAAACCCAATTGCAATTGAAGTTTTCAGTCCCGCTGTCTGTGTGTTGGCCTTTTCAATTCTTGCCTGTTTGCCGGCTCAATTGGCTTTAACCGCTTTTTGGTGGGCCTTGGGGAAACCCCAGACGAGTTTGAGTTTTCTGGTGGGGTTGTATAGCATCGCTTGGCTGGCTTTGCTTTGGGGCTTACATAATAATAATAATAATAAAAGTAACAACAATGCACTCGTGTGCAGCGGCAGCTTGTGATTCATATGATTCATACGAGTAGTACTCGGAGTCGATTTGAATTATTCGTTTGTATTCGAAACGCGCTTATGCGTTGGGCATTTGAATGAGTTTTTCGCTTTTGTTTTCGTCGCGACTTCGTTGTGTTTTATATTTGCGAAATTGGTTGTAATAAAATCGATGCGTTTTATTTGTTGAAATCATCATAGCATATTCAAGGTCGTTCACCCATAGAGTAGCAAGTAGCTAATTTAGTTTTTTAAGGAAAGAGCGGTAGATAAGTGAGTCATGTCTTGAGCAGACAGCAGCTGTTTCCCCCTCGGGTTATTACATAATAACCCGAATTATTTCACCCGCATCAAATACCCTTTCACTGCTCTTACACTACCTGGGCTCATTTAACACGGCTTATTGTCTTCATCGCTTTGGGCCCAGACAGATTTACCTACGCGCCGTGTTGAACATTTGTAAATTAATTTGAAAACTGCTGCTTGCCACACCGGAAAAATGGGGCGGGGGTTTTACAGCCGCAAAACTTCCGTTCTCTGCCCCCTTCCCCCAAATTGGCTTTAAGTGAAAGCCTCCTCCATAAAGTTTGTTTACTGTCTGTTTTTTTAATATTTTTTTTGTAAATAATTACGCTTTAAGCCGAAACTTTTGGATTACATCAAATATTTAATATGTTTCGGTTCTCGATTCTTGGAAAACTTGGGGAACTTCTTAGCCAATTTTGTGTGTTAGCCACTTATGCTAAGTGGGTCTTGCCTTTTGATTTTAACAGTGCTGCCAAGAGGCAATTTTTTAAGTAAAAGATATTTAATTATTTAGGCAATTAAATGGGGATTATATATATGTAGAATTTATTTTATTTATATATTTTTTAAATATTTGAACAAGGTGGATTTAAATAGTAAATATATTTATTGTGATATTGATTGATTACATTCTCTTTTTTTTCATTTACCTAAAATATTTCCTGCTAATATAGTAAAGAAAATGTTTCAATTAAAGAGTTCACAAAAAGTATAATGTATTAAAAATTATTATTATGGTTTTAATAAGATAATTCTTTTTCGTATAAAATATACAATAGAGCTAAACTAAACTAAACTAATTTTTAAGAAATTTGTATACATTTTTTAAACTTCCTCTTGTCAAATATTAACTATAAATTAAGCATAAATTGCCATCACTGAAACAGACTAGCATTTCAGAGCCTTTTTCTCCTAGATTTAAGTTATTAAATTTACTGGGAGGACCACCCATAGACAGGAGTGTCTATGGTGAGAGGGGGCACCGAGATGACAGCATAACGATGCATTCAAATGGCGTTTGTGGTAGACAAACAAACCGATTACCCAGCAGTCGAGCCATCCAGGTCACCCACTGGGCCGGGACCAATTGAGAGTGGCCATAAACCCCCAATCAGAGTCCCAGACCCAGACCCAGACCCGGACCCGGACCCGGACTCAGGGAGATGCAATGAACCCGAGAGCCCAAGGAGGGAGGAGAGAACCGAACTCAATGGGAGACGGAGGCCAAGATGGGAGACTTTCATTTTCCAATTCTTGGGAGCAGCCTTTTGGGAGGCCGTTCGGCTTTAAGGGGTTTGAGCCCAAAAGACTGCTGTTAAACACACTGAAACACACACATCCAATAATGATGATGATGATGATGAGGTAGTGGAGAAGTGGAAGCTACGCCTCTATGGCATTGCATCATTGGGATAGCTGGGTTTCCTGCAAATGACAGGTATTGAATGCATGGCAAAGACAATGCAATTGTACGGCAATCGATGGGTTGTCCTGACCAAAGCTTGATGCTTTAACCTTAATGCAACCTCGGCCACTGCGACTGCAGTCTTGTGCAACCCAATCCGGGGGAATTATAACCCATTCAGGACCCAATCAGCTTAGCTTTCTGCGTCATTTTGCGACCGGTTAAGTGGCATCAATAAATCCTCCATCCGCTGATTGCATAACCGCCGTTGGACTTAACCCCGACGGGACTTGACCTTTGGCCCTTTCGCGCCGTTCAAGGTTTCAGTTTCAGAAAATTGCATTGGGTCATTTGAAACTTCTTGTTAAGCTGCTCCATTATCTCTGCCAATTGTTAATATATTTTTTTGTTGTAATATTTTGATGAGACTTGAATCCGAGGCAATGTCACACTCTTGGGTGAAAGTCCTGCTTCAGTTCATACATCCCGCATCCTTCGTTCTGCGTGGAAAAGCAGCTCCATAGGTTTTCGGCTACTGACCCGGGGTCATTCCTATGGAAAATGCCGGCATTCTTGGCATTTCTTTTTTGTTTGTGGAGAACAACGGCCTGTGGGCCCACGGAATAATACCGAAACATTTGCGTACGGTGTGTCAATCATCTTTGCACCGCTGCACCCAAAAATATACGAACTCTGAGAGCATTTGGGTCTTTATGTACCGCGTAATAAAACGTAATTATTATTGATAAATCTTTTCACTTAAGAAATATTAAAAACGGTTTAAGAAAGTTAGTATTTAAATATTTGCAGATCAATTATTTAAGTTGTAATATTATGTATCACTTTCTTTTTGCAGCATTTTATGAGATTTTATATGTTAAACACAACTCAAAGATACATCAAATCATACATTTAACTCACTTTGCAAGCGTAATCGGTCTTAAATTGTTGTATCCCCTTTTCTTAAATTCAATAAACAATAACAAAAACCCCCTCAAATACAGGATACCAAAGCAATGCCGATTTCGTGCGTTTGTTTGCATATCTGGTGACGTCAGTCGAATCATACTCGTATCCAGCCACCCAACACTCAATCAGAAGTGCAACGTAGCGCGAAATCTAATTGGCAGTCGTCTCCCTTTTGGGAAATCTGGGATTAGCCCTAACAGAGGACGGCAACAAGTACAAGTACCTTCGATAATCCCTAATGCCATTCTCTCGGAGGTTCTTGAATTTATTTTCCTTTTTTGAATAATACCTAAATATTATACAATTTAAAGATGAGTTACGAATGAGTTGAATTCCATTTTAAAACTGAATAAACTCCGATTTAAGGATTCCTGCTGTTCAGAACCATTACTTTCTGTACAGGGTGTTGGCTCCCTCGTAGAGTGGATAACTCCAGCTAGGATAGTGAAGGTAAGTAGTCCGCAGAGCAGGAGTCAGCAGTGGTGTAATCCTGGGAACACTTCGATGGACAATGGTGGAGCTCTGGTGGGAAACAGCAGTGGGAACATGATCCACTAGGTGACCCACCTTGGCCAGCGTGGGCTGCTGATGCAGGGTCAACAAAGGATGGTACAGACGCAGCTCAGCTTGACCCACAGCCACAAGGCAAAAGATGAGGAGAAGGGAAATATTCTGTAATAAAAACAAGGATTAAGTTAATTAATTTATTTGATTTGAAGTTCTTTAAATTTTAGGAGCGGTTCTTTCTGTTTCATAAGCTTCTCTATTTCTTAGTTAAGATTCTTTTAAAGCTCACCATTCTTTGTGACATCTTCTTGGCTCAGTTCACTTCAGTTGACTGTTGTTTGTTGGCCAGACAATCCTCAGCTTTTATAGTCCAGCAAAAGAACGCCAGATTGGAGAATGGACAAAACATTCTAAATGAGTGGCCCCAGAGCCCTTGAACATGAGAAGAGACTTGGGCGTTAACCCAGTCCCTGCATCTGCCTAATCCTCCAGAGATCTTGATTGCACACAATCGGAGTGCTCAATGGGAGCTGCGGGGCGGAGAAGGCATATTTATTATATTCGTGGGCAGGCACTGTGTGTTAACTTTATTGATTTCCTGTCCCAGCGTCAACGCCCCAAGAATTCAAGCCAACAAAGTGCAAATGCAAGATGCAGGACAATAATTTTACACACACTCTGGGCAGGTAATCAGGTTTGGTAAGGCAGTTATAATATATAGGAAAAAAAATAAGGGCCAATAATTAATAGATATTTATATAGGAAATATTGAAATTTATACCATGTAATTTAAGAAATTAATAAGCTACTTCTTTTTGCATTATTAAATAATGAACAAGAAAGGAAGCTAACTTCGGCACGCCGAAGTTTATATACCCTTGCAGATAGAACTTCTATGAATAGGAATCCATACAATATAAATTATATATATTTGTGTTAAGAAACAATGAAGTAATACCTGCTTTCATTTCATTCACCTATACATATTATATTTGCAGTTTTACATTCACAGATTTGCATTTTTCTTCTACATCAAACGATCGTTTGTATGGCACCTTTATGATATAGTCGTCAGATTTTTATGAAATTTGCCACAAAATTTAAGACTTATATAAAATGGCTATACCTCAAATTTGATGAAAATCAGCTGAAAACTAATAAAGTTATAAATTTAATTGTATTAATTTCTCGATCGCTCCTATGGGAGCTATATGATGTAGTAATCCGATTTTCATAAAATTTTACACAAAATTTTAGAATAATATGAAATGGCTATATCTCAAATTTGATGAAAATCTGTTGAAAACTGAAAATGTTATACTTATTAATTGAATTAATTTCTCGATCGTTCCTATGGGAGCTATATGATATAGCCGTCCGATTTTCATAAAATTTTACACAAAATTGTAGAATAATATAAAATGGCTATATCTCAAATTTGATTAAATTCTGTTGAAAACTAAAAATTTTATAATTTTTTTTGTAAAACTTTTCCGATCATTCCTATGACAGCTATATGATATAGTAGTCCGATCCGGCCCGTTCCGACATATATACGAGTGAGAGTATATAGAAGACTAACTGCAAAGTTTCATTCAGATAGCTTCAAAACTGAGAGACTAGTTTGCGTAGAAACGGACAGACGGACAGACGGACAGACGGACAGACGGACATGGCTAGATCGACTCGGCTGTTGATCCTGATCAAGAATATATATACTTTATATAGTCGGAGGTGCCTCCTTCACTGCGTTGCAAACTTCTGACTGAAATTATAATACCCTGCAAGGGTATAAAAATCCATATGTTAAAATGCGAAATCTTTATTAAAAGCACACTACAAAAGAAGAATTCTACAGAAAATGGCAGAAGAAAGAAGACAGAAGACAGAAGACAGAAGAAGCGTAGAGACAGAGTTTTGTGGGTTAGCAAGACCAGAAAAGAAAATTAGAAATATAATTAAGAAATGACGAAGCATAGATTTGGCTAGTTCATCTTGTTGATCTTTGGCTTCCAGTTATCCTTAGTTGCGGATCAGAACCAGGCGAGGATCGGAGGCGACGGTCCACACAAGTGGCGGCTGCTGACGAATCACTTGGGTGGTGCGCACGGCAGGAGCCACAATGGGTGTAACCAATCGCTTGTGGTCATGCACCACCGTCTGGCTCTGATGGGACACAGCGGTGGGCACATGCTGCACCACCTCACCCACCTTGGCCACAGCCGGCTCCTGGATGGTCAGCACCGTTCGCAGTCCATTGCGGGCAGCCAGAATTAGGGGCAGAGGCACAGAGATGGGAATGCTGGAGGAAATCAGACGTGAATCAATGGCATCCGAACTTCCAATGACGGACTGAGCCAGTGGCTCTTCCTCCTCCTCCTCCTGGGACTGCTCCTCCGGCTGCTGCTGGCCAGCAGATGAGATAATGGATCCGGCACCGCTCTCGGAAAGCTCAACGGAATCCTCGCTGGCAATGGGCAGCAGCTGGGAGGATTTTCCTGTGCTGAGAGCCAGCAGGTTTGAGGGCCACTCCAAGCTAGCAGCCTGGGAGGTTCCAGCCAGGGCAAGCACAAGGGCCAAGACGAACAGGCACTGAAAGGATGCCAAGAGTTATGTTTTTAATATGATTATCCTTGATATTTTCAAGGATTATCCTTACCAATCTAGACATGATGATAGACTTCCTCAAAATCCGTAAGCTAACGAATGAATGATGCTGGTCGAGATTAGAACATTGGCTTTTATAGCCCTTGGACCTAGACCCACTCTCCTCGCTTCACTGACCAGGGAAATGCATCGTTAACTGAACTCAACACCGCGCCATAAACATTTATTTAATCATCTGATAATTTGAAATTTGATTGAAATGGAACACTGGACATCGATCAGAGTATATTCTTTGGCAGATCAATGTCACACTTGTGCTTTTTCTGGAGCCAGAACTTCTCCAGATAGCCGATGGGATCGCGTGGCATCTCGCGGGCCAGTCCTAGCATGCCTTCCATCAGAATGGGCACCACCTCGTTCTCCAGATACTGCCGCTTCTCAGCCGGGGATCTGTAGCTATTGGGTCGTTGACAATCTGGGGCATGCGATATCTCTTCCTTGGCTTCCTTCTTGGGCTTGACGATTTCGGGACAGATGCTGGCTTTAATGGCTGAGGGGCTCGGCTTGGCCTTTTCTTTGATTTTGCGTTTTTTGGGAGGATTCACATTTCGTTTGGTTGACATTTTGAACTGAATGTAGTTCAGGTCAACCTTTATATTAAAATATAAGTCAATGGTTACTTTGTTAAAAAGGTTAAAATTTATGAAATCAAAAGCAGCTATGACGTGATGTCAAGTTTTTAAGTATACTAATAGAGGGATTTATTCCTATACATAAATTTCTCAGTACATCTGGAGGCAGACCCGCGAAGGGGCAGCCACTAACCCGTGGCCGTAACCTGGCACTCGGCACCAGCGTTCCATTGCTCTAGGGCTCTGCTCTGCTCCGGTCTGGTCTGTCCACTCCCGTGGATCTTTCTAAGCTGATTAGCATACGTAACCCGATCAAGCGAGGCATCTGCCGCCGTTCCTCCATCGGTTGGCTGGGCGAGGAGGTAACCTAAGCCGCTTACCTCGTCACCCAACCATCCACACCCTTTCCCCATTGAAGTCTGGAGGGGATTTGAAGGGTTGGTTGAATTGCGCAATCCCAGTGACAGCTTCAATCATATTCCGAGTGCATCCACCCTTGCCGGATATGGGCCTTGCGCTGGTGTTTGAAGAACTTTCTCAAATCCCCTGAAAGGCCGCCGAAAAATGTGTAACACAATCGGTGCTCCATAAGCCAGATGAAGTGCTCCATGCGATAGGCCAGCGACAGGAACTTGAAGGTCATGGTCATCACCAGTGAGTAGACCAGCAGCTGATGACGTGTGAGTCCTAGGATCAGGGGACTCTTATAGATCTCCAGTACATAGAGTATGGAGAGGAACAGGGCCAGCTTGGAGTTGCTTGTTATAGAAAATAATTAGAATAAAGAAAATATTATTATTTAAATCTCCACTCACTTGCTCATCTTAATGTAAGCCAATTGGTTCTGCTGACATCTGTTGATTAGGATCCCAGCCATTGGCTTTAGAACCTCTGCTCCACTGCCCATGACAGTGCCCACAATTAACATGGGAACAATGGCATTGTTGTACACCTGACCAGCCTGGTGGACGCCTCGCTCGATGAGCTGCAACTGACTGATCGTGGACATGGTGGTGGCCAGGAAGCGAAAGCCTATCGAGTTGGCCAAGTCGTGGCCCAAGTCAAAGGGACAGTAAAATATGCAGTACCTGTTTGGAGTCGAAAATTTCTATTTCTGTGAAATTTACATCATAAAAAGAATCATCTTACCAGATAAGTGAACTAAGCAGGACATCGGAGACATCGCAAAGCGGCTCAAGGGGGAGAAGGCCCAGCAGCAGATTACCCATGATGTCGCCGGCGTAGTTCAGTAGGATATTGGATAGCCATAGGGCGAAGGGCTGCCACTCCAGTGCCTTGGAGAAGTCCTCCTTCGTCCTGACCTCACCACCTCCTGCACGCCCTCCCAGCTCGTCCCGCAACTGCTGGGAGATCAGGGAGAAGTGCAGGATACGAAAGATCAGATGTTTCGGGAGCTGCTTCAAGATAGACCGGTCATTCATCGCCTCCCAACTTCCACCCTACACTCTGTGTCTTTCTTGTGACCTTCTCTGGTTGGGAAGTCCTTTTCTGGTTGACTCAGAATTTGGTCTTCCTTAAACTACTTTTTTTTCTTAAATTTTCATTAAATGTTGGTGTAAAAATAATTGGTGAATAAAAAGTTAATAATAATAAACGTAATTTGCGTACACGAAAATGTTGACAAGCGAAACTCAGGTGTCTACATGTTAGAATGTGGAATTTATGCTTAAAAACTTCGGATAGTCTTCAGTCCTTAGGAAAATTAAATATATTAATTTTATTTTTAAAGACTTTTCATTAAAAACTAAGTTAACATAAAGTATAAAGTTCTCTTTCCCAAAGGTAGCTTCTTCTTAGATTGATTTGCACTTTAAACTGGTGACAGATTCCTTTGAGTGGCCAGGCTACGAGGTCCAGGAATTAGCGAGGCAAAGCTGATGTTTCGCACAGGCTTAATCCGGGGCAGCATCTGATGCACCACCGGACGAGCGGAGTATGTGAGGTGGGCGGGTGTCTGGTGGTGGGAGATGGATGTCACCTGCTGCTGCTGCTCCTCCTCCTGGGAAAACCGTTCAACCTGCTGCTGCTCCCCAATGGCTCTGTGTTGGCTGTTGACAATCCTTGGAGCAGGAACAAGCAGATGATGCTGATACTGATGTGGCTGCTGTTGCTGCTCGTGATGCTGGAGGATTAGCGGCTGCGCTGACGACAATCGAGTGAAGCTCTGGTGGGAAATGGCACTGGAATCCGCTCCGTTGCCATGCAGGATTGTTGTGGCTGCTCGGCTGTGGTCTAGGCCCAAAGTGATTAGGAGACAAACAACCTGTGGGTATAGGATTTGGAGATAGGGAATTAGGAGAAGCACTTAGGCACTGCCCCCGGAGATTACCCACGGCGATGTGCATGATGGTCACTTGAGTGGGCAACTAATTACCGTTAGACGTGTGCCGCTGCCATTTATAGCCAGTCGTCGTCCACAGTCCAAGAGGACTCCTTGACCAAGAGGTCACCCAGTCTTGCAGCTAATTAATTAATCAAAAAGTACTCCAATCCGACAGCCTCTCAGGGGCCGTGTGCACTTCCATTAGAGCTTCCATTACGCGCCTCCGGCTAATCACCAAATAATACGGCCGCCGGTTGGCTGACTCAACATCGGAGAGCCGGAGAGACTGTAAGAAGCCACGATGGCAGTTTTATTCATTTATTGTTTTTTTTTTTCTTTATTTTAACTATTGAAACGTCAAGCGAAAAATAAATATTTGCCTAGAATCGAAGATAGGGATACCCTAACTCTAAAAAGAAAATTAAAATCTGTAAGAACTTAGGAAAACTAAGAGCTGTTTTGTAGGTTAATTATGTGATGAGGTATTTGAGATAATTAGCAGAGATATCGAGGCTTAAAGGGTTTTATTACAAGGTATATACATTATTTGGAATATATTTTATAAATACTATAAAAACCTAGGAAATGTTTGCATAGGTATGATCCGGATGAGCTATTTTCTGGAGATCCGTATACTTTCTTAGGGCACAAGATATACTTAAAGGTGTTTCCAATTAATAGTTATTAGTTCTTAGATTCATAGAGTTTATATATCCCGTTAGATAGAGTATATCTGTATATAAGTATATATAAATTATGCCCAAGCATACATGCCTGCTGCGGTTGGAGCGACGGAGGTGCGAAGTGGAGTGGATCAACCTTCAGAGCGAGTTGCGCAGACGCCGTACCGTCGCATGTTGTAGGTTTTGTTGCTGCGATCACTGTTCGCTGCTGAGTTGTTGTTGCCAACTATTACTACAATATTTGCGGCGTTCGGTATTTATTTATATTTGATTTTTGTTGTACTATTTTTTTTTTTATTATTATTTTTCGGTTTATTTCTTTACGTAAAGCTGCGTCCAAGTTGAGACACTCCCACAATTGCAAGATAACCGCGACTGCGCGCGCGTGTTTCCATCGCTTCGATCGCAGATCGTGCTGTTTTCTCAGGGGCTGCGTACTGGGGGGTGCATCGAGTGGATCACCCCCCTGGCATGCTCCACGGCCGCCCCTGTTCTGGCCAGCAACTGCTCCACCGCGATTTCATGGCACAGCAATTCACATAGCACTTCAGTTTGACTTTGCCACTCGCTCCGCCGTGAGTTTGCTGCTCAGAAGGGGGAACTTGGCTCCACAACAACCGACTTTTGATCCGCCCACCTCAGCTCGTCGTCATCGTTGTCGGTGGTGTTCTCAGTGTTTATTGCCTATTATATTGACTGTCTCCGTAATTGCCACATTAGGCTTGGATTGTTACCATGCGGCATCTGGTGAGTGGGTTGGGGATGATGCTCCTCAATTAAGGTGGCTCGATATCAAGGAAAGCGATAAAATATAGAGAGGGATATATGTGGGACTTATATTCATTTGACCTAGGATAACTTTCTTTTAAAGGAATTAATTTGCGATCTACTTTAGATATGTTCTAGATTCATTTTACTTATTAAACTTACTTTCAATCGTTTTATTTTTCCTTTCAACATTTACTTTTCTTTTATTATTAATCTTTTAAGAGGCTTTAACAATGTTGTGCTCTGTATGATAATAAATTTCTTTTAAAATCATCCACCAAAAATACCTACATGTATCGCTGTCAATGAATATAGAACAACTTCTCTTTTTACCCAGTTTTAACTTGTTTCTGTTTCCCTTTCAGATTTTTCTGACCCTTATATCGTTGGTTTTGGTTTTAGCCAAGCCGGCAACGGAGGCACCACGTCTGCTCATCGACTCGGCTCCATCGGTGGTCTCCTACCAGGGTTCATCGCAGACTCAGACGCGATTCGTCATTGCGCCCATGGGCAGGGCTCTGGGCTATGTGGAGCCCACAAATCTAAATAGGACTTTTCACACAAAGGCCACCCAGGAGGGCGGCAGTACGGGCTACGAACTGCTTAATCTAAGTCCGGTCTATGTGCCCGGCAGTTAGGCAATGGATATGCTTAGTATTAGTTAGTCAAATGTGTGAATAAATAATGATTGTATTACTGTATAACAGTTTGCGGAAAGTTTTTTTTTTTGTATTTTGTATAAACATTTTCTAACATATTAAGAAATATATAAAAACAGATTGTTTAAACAGTGTAAAGGCCAGTTTACACTTTATATGAGATTTGTATATTTGAAAATTACTAACCCAGATAGGATTTTTCTTGAAATTCTTGGTGTATACCAGTATAATAGCTTATAGAACAATGAATTCCGATACTATATTAGATAAAATAATTGCTTTCGAAGTGTATAAGAAAATTAATAATGTCGTCTATTTTAAAGCTGCAATTTTTCTTATCGAAAGATATATGTAAGTTTCATGAGTGTTGTATTTCACAGTTTTAATTTAGGAAGTAGAGTAAAAAGACGTATCCTATAATAGTTTAACGAAATAAATTTAAATACATTTATAGCCGCTTTTCTAAAATTTTTCTTTAAGAAATATGCATAGGAAAGGATTAGGATACATAGGTAACCCTTCTGTACATCCTAACAGTCTTACTTCTTTTCTAACTTAGTAATCTTTGGCATGTCCTTCAATACTGTTCATGGCAAAGTAAATAGAAAATAAGCGAAGCTCCAATTATCGGAAGTATGTCGGAAATGGTGAGCATCGGCTGCCGCCAAGGACGTGTGCCCAGTGCTTCCATGATGCTCAGCAAGCTGCGAACCGCCGAGGAGATAGCTGATATGGCGGCGCTGGATTACCATGAGAGCTTGATTAGGGAAAGGCGCACTTTCCACAAGCCGAAAGATGCTAACGGTGTGGTTATAGAGGATAATGAAGGTAATTCCACCATTTGTTAGGTCGTCAGGTTCACAACGTCGCTGTCCTTACTCCAAATTGTAGATTTAAATGACGTGAATCTTATAGAAAGTTATCTGTCCCATCTAATCTACATTTTCGTTCTCTTAATCGTAGAAAAACCAAAACGTCGGCCCCATCGCTTTCGCATCTAAACTCTGGACACTGATTTCGGACCGAATCCGCGCCGGCAAGTGGTTGGATCTTTATATAGCTAGCCACTGTTTGGTCACTTTATTCGTGGAATAAAATGCATTTCATCTTTGCTTTTTGCTGACATAAATCGGTGAGACCTTCAGTGCTGAACTGGGGCCTGACAATAGGTTCGTTCGATCGATTTTGGTTATCAATCTGCGGGCCTTTGTTGGAGATTCGCGACCTTTTCGGGCCTAAACATAATCGATTGTGCCTGATTTGTCTAATGAGGGTTCGAGCTTAGTTCAAGTTCAATGCAAAGCAAACAAGTTTGCCAATTGCTCGTTAGTTGGTTTTTACTGAAGGACAGTCTATAGTTTTGCCCATATAAAGCCGTGGTCGTAACTCCGAATCAGCATCAGTCACTTCGTCGACTTCAAAGCACCAAAAACTACCAATCCCAACATGTTCCGCTTCGTGAGTATCCAAGGAGCTTCAGAGGGATCAGGATCCTAATAATTCTAGAATTCCCCTATAGATTGCCATCTGTGCCCTGGCCACCATTGCCGCCGCTGCTCCGGGATTCGTTGAGGAGCATCATGTGGCCGTGGCTACCCCAGTTGTGGCCAAGGTTGGCGCTGTGGTTCACTCAGCTCCCGTGGCCACTTCCCACCAGAGCTTCACTCAGTTCCATAACCAGGCTGTGCTCACTCCCGTGGTGAAGCATGTGGTTCCTGCCGTTCCCGTGATCAAGACTGTGGCTCCAGTGGTTCCTGTGGTCAAGCATGTGGCTCCAGTGTTTCCTGTGATCAAGACTGTGGCTCCCGTTGTTCCTGTGGTCAAGCATGTGACTCCCGTTGTCCACCATGTGGCTGCCGCCCCCATTGTGCCCGTTGTCAAGCATGTGGCTCCCGTTGTGCACCACCAGACCTATGTGGCTCCCGCTGTCCACCATGTGGCCGCTGTGCCCGTGGTGAAGACCCTGCCCCATGCCGTCTCCCACCAGAGCCACACCCAGATTCACCAGAAGGCCTTCATTGCCACCCCAGTGGTCAAGACCATTGCCACTCCAGTGGTGCCTCTGGTCAAGACCGTCGCTGTGGCTGCTCCCCTCGCCCATGTCTACCACCACTAAGGAACTTGTTGTTTTCCCTCCAACGGATTGTTATATGGTTGCTTCTGTGAATAAACTCAATTGTTGACATTAGAAATTGTGCAATATTTGTCATTTTAAGGGGAGGGGAATTCGTCCAGTTTTGAGTCAAAACTTGCACATTCAGTAATTTGAATAGGTGATCGATTCGATCACACTCAATTAGCATCTAAATAATCAATTTGAATGACTTTTATTTGGGCGCGACTCATTAGTATTCATAGTCTTGGCCAAATCGGTAGCTCAGCGCCGATTCGCCAAATAAAATAAAAGGGAAATATAACAAAAACCGCAACAGATGCTTGCGGCTATGTTCAAAATAAATTATGCAAACTAATAATCAGTTTTATTTTTATTTACATCTCTGGGTGTCTCTAGCTTTGAAAATCCCAAATGTGATGATCATGTTCGATGTATCTTTATGCGCTTTTTATGCTAAATTTAAATAGCTAATATCTGGAGTTTTTGTATAGATTTATTACTCTGCTTGTTAATTTCGTTAAAATATTTTATTTAAAATTTTATTTTAAACATAGTTTAGTTGTCGAGTTGTTTCTAAATGCTAGATGGCAGGCGGTGAATATTTGCAGCTTTGGTTTCAAATATGAAATGTTAAAAATCTGATGAAATAGGTTTTATATTTGTACTATTGCTAAATATTTTTCTGGATTGCGTCTAATATAAAAGTTTGACATTATAAATAATTAAATCCACACAAACGTGAAGACTTTGAATATATAACATGGGGATCTTGTTTTTGAAAACTACTATACGGCAACAATTTATATTTTTGAGAATTTAAATAATCTTCAAGTAATGTGCTGTTATTCAAAAATACATTTTTAATGCTTTGAAATTGATATTTAACTTTTGATAATCACCCATCAAAAGATAAAATCACCCCATAAGAAAAGTATTAGCATTATTTCCTTTTAATTTTTTAATTTTATTGATTGTCTTTTAATTATATATATCGCAGGAAGAAGTGTCAGCATGCTTTCAATCGATTCACTTGTGGTAGGCGGAGTACACGACGGGAGCACTGGGCAGGACAGTGTGGACCAGCGGGGCGGCAGGGATCACAGTCTTGACAATCGGGGCAGCTGGGATGACGCTGTGGACCACAGGAGCGGGGGCAGCCACCACGGTCTTGTAGAGGGGAGCAGCCGGGATCACAGTCTTGACAATGGGAGCAGCTGGCACCACCAGAGGAGCGGGGGCAGCGACCACGGTCTTGACCAGAGGAGCAGCATGGACAACTGGAGCAGCATGGACCACAGGAGCGGCATGGACCACGGGAGCGGCATAGGTCACCGGAACCTTACGCACCAGATTCACGTTGCTCTGGTGGGTGATGGCCGAGGAGGCACTGGTGTCCACGTAGGCGGTCTTGGCCAGAACCGCTGGCTGCACATAAGAGTGGGTCTCGGCAATCAGGCCAGGAGCAGCGGCGGCCACGGCCAGGCAGGCGAAGAAGGCGACCTATGGAAGGAGCACTTGGTTAAGGATATATCTTTGGGTAATTTCCACTTTGACACTCACGAATTTGAACATTTTTGGTGTTTGGGTTTGGGGTTTGCTGTGATTGCTGAATCGATTGCAACTGCTGATGATGACAGGCCAAGCTGGCGGCTTTTATAGTTGCCTAGTTTGGTCCCAGCCTCAATTGTTTGTCGCTCTAAGTACTTGGCTGAACTTGAGCCCCAAAACTGGTTTGGGTTTTGGGTTTGAAATAAAAATATAATTCGGGTTTCCAGCTGCCGCTTGAGAGCGGCTTCTAAGCGCTTATCAAAGACGCAGTTCGTCAACTGACCTAGGTTCCGACCGCCTCTTTTGTGTGTGGGTGAGGAAGTGGAAGTGGAGGCAGTGGAGCTAAGCCGAGCTGAGCTGGGCTGGGACAACAAGCCAGGCCAATCAATCGACAATGGGCCAAGTAATTGGCCTTAGATGCGGTCGCTTACGCAAATGAGGGGCTCCTTGGAATCCACGATGCGTGGGTTATCCTTCGGATGCCACATCTTCAGCGTAATTGAGTTGCATTCAAGTCTTGTCTTCGATGCATGCCCCCGCAGCGGAGGCATCATGTGGATGTGCATCTCCCAGTTTTGCCTGAACAAGTTATGTGATGCAGAGGAGACCTTTAAGTACATAACATTTTATTAGATTCCTTGATTAATGAATCACTGTTGCCTCATGTGGAAGTGTAAATGTCAGCGATGGAAATTGGACAAGGAGCGATCACTTAATATGAGATATATCGTCAGCAGATGGCGAGATAATTAAAGGTTGGCACGAAGACAGGTGTGTAGATATTCTTGTGGTATAGGTCAGGACCTTGTTATGGTTATAAACTGAGCACAAGAGCTAAGAATAGAGAGGAGTCTTATAAATCATTGCTACAGAGCATCTCTAGAATCTATTTAAGTCTGACATTTAAAGGGATTTTTAAATTAAAAATGTTGAGAGTTAAATTAAAGTAAATATACCTTCATAAAGATATGAAGTTTAGAAGTTAATTGGAGTTAATGTTTAGTATAAATAAAATCATCTTAAGTTAGTGGTAAAATACTTATAAGATTTTAGGACATAAATCATCGCTCTTCACTCTGAAAACTTGACCCCAATCAGAACCCCTGAATATCTCCGATAATTGATATAGTTTGCCCTTCATTAAACGGGTCACAAAACAAAAGCTCAATAAATTATATCTGCTGCCCTGCATTCAAATCGAAGCTACAGCTGGAGCTGGAGCTGGCCAAGAGCAAGAGTGATTGCAACATCGACGGGTCCAGTTGATGGACGCAGTGCGCGGTTGCTCCTCAAGTGATTCATGGCCATAAAGCCAAGCCAAGCTACCGACTGCAGCAGTCAGCAGCTGTTAAGTGCCCACTTCGAGTGACAGATAAAGACCCCTCCTGCCCTGAGACCAAGATACGGTCCCAGTTTCAAGATTCAGTCCCCCAGACTCAGACTCTTGCCCAGACTCAGATTCATTCCCTATGTCAAGGTTACCCGCCGGACAAGCCCCACGCGTACTTAACCCACAATTTCAAGCGGGACGGCGACTGTGTCATTGTTTTTTGTTTTTTCGGGTTTTTGGGGCTCGACTTTGTATCGAGCGACAGTTACACGTACTTAAGATAAACATCTGTTGGTCGTAATGTGGAAAATGAATACCCAGAAAAATTATGCACAAATCGAGATGCGGTTTCAGCTTCAACGTAAATCCTAATTTGTGCTTGTGTCATGTAATTTTATGAAGTGTTGCTTGCTGATTATTATTGTTTCTTTTTGTTTACGTTACGTAGAATTCAATCAGACATTGAAGGAAGAGATACTCGGGCAGGACGACGTTGAAAACTGATATATACATGATTGATTTTGTAATATATTTCTCAGTTTGAATACTTAATAATTAAGATTCGTTCTTATTCACACATATATTCACACATATAATTTATTTAATATTATTTAACCCTATTTTACTTATATATTTTATAGATCAATGATCTAACAACCAGGTCAAAAACTGTTATTCAATCACATTTGCTAAGTAGGCTCGTTGTTAGACCTTCGCCTAACTGAGCGTGTCATTTGTCATTTGGCCAAAAATCTATTGACAATTTGGCTATATAAACACTGAGTAGGCCTCATTGGGTCATGAGTTCTTACTGGAGTTTCGCAGTGGCAAATTCAAACTAAGACTAGATCCAGATTTCAGCTGCCTCAACATGCATCGAATGGTAAGTTCTTTAAAAATACATATTTTATGATTTTTCTAATAAGTTTTAAAAAATCAAACCATAGTTGCTCTACACTTTGGTAATCGTTGTTGCCCTTGCATTGGTTCAGGCCTCCGAAATCCATCATAATCTGACATTTCCTGCTGCCAGCCAAGTTTTCAAATGTTCTGCCAAAAGCCAACGCCTTGGGTACTCGCACAGCAATCGGAGTTTGACAAGGGATCTGCCCACATTAACCCCGGACATGGATATAGACACGCGGCACACAGCGATGTCGTCTCGGTTGGAACTTTGCTGCTATGGGAAACCTTTTACATTAAGGCACTAGTCGTGTTGCATTGTTGTTGCTTTTGTTATTTGAATAAACTGTTATAAATTATTTATCAAACAAACTGAAGTGGAAGGAGCTTATGCTTCAGACAACCATTGAAGGGTTTTCTAAATTTAGATTCGTGGTTTAACATTTAACTTAAAGTTTGAAGTGGTTGCCTGAGCTTCATTCGGGTTGAAATTACTTAAATTGGTTGTCTTGAATTTGATTTAATTTGTATTGTTTAAAAGCTTGTAAACAATTAATTAAGAGAATATAAAGGCAGCTCTTTTCCTTTTATGAAATCTCATATTCTGTATTTTTTAAAGAATTAATATTATACATAAACTAAGAATAGTATTAATGAAAATTTTTCCAGCTGCTTAATAGTTGGGCCCTGTTTTTCAAGTATGGTGTGTACTAATAAATTTTTATTCCTTAAGAAATTCCCAAGTATTTTAAAATTGTAGACTTGTTTACCATTGTTCAGTTATAAACAGATATATTCTTAGTTTTGATTTTTTATGTACAGTTTAAATATTAGGAACCGCAAAAATGTGTTTCCCAATGAAATGTCATTTAATATTTGAATATTATTATTTTTTTGAAGGTTATTGATATCCGGAATTGCTATTATTTTGTTTTCTGGTTTCTGATATGAATCAATACAACACGATTACTTTTAAGGGATCAATAATACTTTTTGGAATTTTATTTAATTTTCTTGTGAAATTTTTAACAAACAAACAATCAAAGGTTCTTAATGGTGCAGGGTGTAGGCCAGAGGAGCAGCATGCACCACAGACTTGACAACGGGAACAGAGTGCACCACTGGCACGGAGTGAACCACAGGCACGGAGTGGTGGACAACTGGAGCAGCGTGGACAACGGGAACGGAGTGAACCACTGGAGCAGAGTGGACAGCCACGGTCTTCAGGACGGGAGCCACAATGGGCTGGACGACGGCCTTGCTGTGCACCTGGGTGATGCTCTGGTGGGACACAGCCGAAGGAGCAGAGTGCACCACAGTTCCAACCTTGGCCAGGACAGGCTCATGGACCACATGGTGCGTCTCAATTAGACCAGCGCTGGCGGTGGCAACCAGGAGGGCAACAACGGCGATCTGTTCCAGGATTTAATGGTTAAATGCTGGTCTACAGGATAAGTATTCCTTGAGTTACTCACGAATTTGAACATTTTTGGTAATTGTTGGCTGAAGCGACTGAAGCTGCTTGTTGGTTTGAGAAGATTCGAGGGTTAACTGATGATGTCTGGAGACCATCAGCCAAGTTTATATAGAACCTGGGATACTTCAGACCAAACCGCTGACCTTCAGTACGCCCCTGCATGACCCGACTTTGATCGGATCGAGGGCCGAATCCGAGGCGAACTCGGCTCATTATGATTTCTGGTTGCAGCAGCAGCGACAGCGGCAGCCGAGTGCCAAAAGCTCAGGTCGTGAGTCCAAAATCGGAGATCTGAGAGATCCGAAATCCAAAATCAAAAGCCGAAGTTTGAAGTATCTCGGCTCTTATCAAAAGCCCCTCAAGGTGGACAGCTTCGCGCACGAAGTTGGTCACTGTTTGAGCCCTTAGCCCGGTTGGTTAGTTGCTATAAAAGCCACATTTGCGGACTCCACCAGCATCAGTTATCTTTCTGAGCTTATCCAAAAAACAACCCATTTCAAGATGTTCAAGTTTGTAAGTTGGAAGGATTCCAGGAGTTACCAGAGGATTGGAAATTAACTCACTGTCTTCCCCAGGTCGCCATCGTTGCCCTCCTGGTTGCCACTGCCAGCGCTGGTCTGATCGAGACCCACCATGTGGTCCATGAGCCCGTCCTGGCCAAGGTAGGAACTGTGGTGCACTCTGCTCCTTCGGCTGTGTCCCACCAGAGCATCACCCAGGTGCACAGCAAGGCCGTCGTCCAGCCCGTTGTGGCTCCAGTCCTGAAGACCGTGGCTGTCCACTCTGCTCCAGTGGTTCACTCCGTTCCCGTTGTCCACGCTGCTCCAGTTGTCCACCACTCCGTGCCTGTGGTTCACTCCGTGCCAGTGGTGCACTCTGTTCCCGTTGTCAAGTCTGTGGTGCATGCTGCTCCTCTGGCCTACACCCTGCACCATTAAGGATACAAGGATACAAAATGTGATACAGTTTTTATAATTTTTTGTTTAAATAAATGTTTTTTCGTTTCGCCATAACAAGATAATCATTGGGTTTTACTGAGCTTTCAATTTAATGTAGTTTAAAATATTACTGATTTTTTGGAAAGAATAAGGTAGAAACATATACATATATATATATTTTTTTATGAGATTTTAGTATATTATTTCACTCTTTTAAAAATATATTATTTAGTACCCTTATTTTGAACTGAAAGAGTGGAATACATGGCTTACAGCTTCTTATTTTTTACAACTAAAGGGAAAAAGTCGGAAAATAATTAAATACAATTCAAAATGTATAAGAAATATTCTTTTCTTGCTAAATTTTAAATAAATTGTATTTAAAAACAAGAATTCCTTTTAAGTCAACCATCTTATACAAGTCTTATACAGACTTTCGGCAGCTCTTTGTGCTGCCTACTTGTAGGCTGCTCATAAAACCCGTAGCTTTAATTTAAACAGTAATATAAAAAATATAAAAACTAATACAACATTTTCGCTCGCTATAACAAGTATGGTAGGTATTTTATTGCTTGGAATGTATTTTAGTGTCTAAACATTTTTTTTGTGTATTTTTCGTTCTCATTGCTGGATTTGCTTGCTTCATAAACAGGGCACGACGGAAGACAGGATGTGTGATTTCCCAGAAATGCTGGAGAGTTGAACAGGAGTTGCATATGGCGTGGCGTGTGTGGGTGAGATGTATTCCTGGTAGCGATTTAAATCTCCTGGAGATTAACCAATCACAACGGGTCCCAGGCCATGGATGCTCTTGACCAGCAGCGGGGAAGGATGCACCTGGGTGATGGCAGAGTGAGAGATGGCGCTGGGGACAACGCTCACCACATGGGGAGCAGCGACCAGATGGGGTCCGGCGACAACAGCAGGTCCCCAGAGTCCAGGTGCCACGAGTCCAGGTGCAGCGATCAGTCCTGGAGCGGGAGCAGGAGCGGGCACGGGCGCAGGCGCAGGAGCGGCAGCAGCCAGGCAGAAGAGAGCAACGAAGATGCACTGGAAAGGATATGGAAATTATGAGTATCCTCCTATTGTATCCTTTTTATGTGGATAATTCTGTCGACTTTGTTGTAAATATTCTTACCAGCTTGAACATTTTGTTTTGTCGATGGTTTAGAACGATTTGACATAGAATTGCATACTGGACTGGCCTATTTATACAAAATTGTCGTGATCAGAACTGCAGTTGTCGCTCTCTAAATGGGTCGCCAACACGCCTCTGCACTCTGCACTCACTTAACCTGGCAACAAACACACATATTTTCCCCAAGCCAATCAGCCTTTTGAGCCAAGTTAAGCCGCATAGAAGGAAACCAAATCAAACCAAATGCAAACCCTTCCGGGGGCAGGTTCTCGTCTTACACATGTGCACTGCTCGAATGTTTAAAAAACTTTACATTTAATTAATTTACATTTATTATTTATGCAAAGTATTGAGCTTTATATAAAATATGAGAATTACTGAAGGTCTATATTGTTTACTTAAGGAAATAGTAATATAAAATACATATCTGTAAATATTTAAAAATTCCTGGTGGTTGTAAATTCATAGGAAAATGCCATTAAAATGGATATCATTTGTAGAATTTCTTTGGTACTTTGTAATCTAATTTTCTTTGTAGTTTTCCTATACACAATTATGTAAGTAAACAACAACATTTTTATGACGTTTTCCCAGTGCATTGGCACAGGTTCTCCCTCACTTGACTGGCCACTTTGCAGCGATCTGATTCGTTTCTATTCGATTTCGCCGCCTTATGATTTATGCAATGCGAGACATGTTCTAAGTGGATTGCTTCGCTATATTCCCAATCCCCTGTCCCAGTCCCATTCCACAGACCCACGGACTATGCGGCGTATACTTGACACTGTTGCATGCGTCGCACAATTAAGCAGACAAAATAAATAGAATCATGTGAGGGGGAAAATATGTAATGTGAGAGCTCAGCTTAGCTCACAGCTTCACAAAAGAATCAACTCAGGCGACTTGAGAGGGGGTTGCTCTTTGCACTTTTGGCTTGCATAAATTACGTCCCCAACTTGGCGAAACGTTGATTAATGTGACTTGCCAATAACGTCAGCGGCCAGCGGTCAGTTGGTAGTTCAGTTGGTTAACTTCATCTAACTTGCCTCGGGGCTCGGCCAATCGACAAAACTCAAACGATTTTGTCTTGTGCAATAGTGCGACACTTGCACATCAGACACATTTTAACAGATTTATTATTGTGATCAGGAAATGTGTATATTATTGTGGGATATTGAGCTAAATTTAGGCACAGCTTTAAGGAATATTTTGGGCTTAAATCAAAAGATTAAGTAGCTAAAGTAGTTTGATATAACTTTAAATACAAATATTGTATTAAGTTAATATAACAAAACTTATATTTACAACTTTTCAAGGCTGCAGAAAGTGATAGAGTTATTGTCTACTGAATCTTGATTACTTTCCCCAAAGTAATATTTAATTTATATATACTTAAAAGTGTAAGTATGATATTCATTCAAAATGCTCCCAATCCTATCGATTCCACACCTTTTTTCTTAAACTTCGTCGCTTGCTCATTGCTCGTTTTGTTTACCTTTAATGAGCTACCGAATCACGTGCCTCTAAAATAATACAAAAAACCGCAGTTACCTTGCCGAAATCTATTTACTATTTATTTTTGTATTTTATTTGTTTGCCTCGTTTGCCGGTCGCTGACCACACTCTGAAATGTTGGCTTAAAGCATAACCGATTTGCGGCTAAATTGGCCGATGAAAAGGCTGGCCAAAACAAAAAGGCAAAAACTTTTCAGGGTTAACGCTGATTGATATTGATTTTGATTTGTTTTTAATGCATCAAACAAGGAAGTTCGAAGTTAGTTTGTTTGCCAGAGAAACCAAGAAGCAAATCACACTAGACTACGCCCAACACTCTCCCTCCCTCGTATTCATTGCAAATTGGCCATAATAAATACATCAATTAGATGTTTATGTCACATTAAATGCTCGAATATATCCCATTTGCCTGACTTTATGGCAATGTTCGCCGATTAAGCTAATTCTGAATGTGAATAATTCCGACTGAATATGTGTGTGAGTGTGGGGGGCAAATTTGCATTCCGGCTTATGCAAAGAGCCAGGCCAATTGCAAAGGCAAAACAGACTTGAACTTGAAATAGACTGGGATCCCTTCTGGCTTACAATGGGCTGAAAAATTGGATGTAACACAGCAGTGACTATTTATCACCTCGCTTGGCTAAGACCAGAGAGGCAGCTCCTCAACCTCTTCATCCGAAAACATACAGACATTCATCATGCTGCTTATGCACTGATTTGCATAACGCTGCGAATATGCATTTGGTTGCCACATGGAGAGACAACGTGTGTTGTCACCATGGGAAATGTGCCATCCCATCCTCCGACGATGAACCGAATACCGAACTGAATGTATCGAATGATTTTTTCGGTTAATTATGATTACGCGCCAATTATGTCACTTGGTGCGGTTGGCAAAAGCGAATTGTTACGACACAAACAGAGATCAGACCTCATTTGACGTCACCTCCCGTATCCATTTCCTATTTGCCACAAAGTAGGAGGAAGCACAGAAATAATTAATTATTACAGACAGTATGCTACAATAGATACCAGTAAGGTATATGGTTTTCTTCGGTGTTATAGGGGATAAATATATCATGAATATGCATTAGAAAAAGGATGATACTTTCTACATTCTTACATTATCCCTAAAATAGTCTTCCTAATAGAGAACTTAAATTCTCCACTACCAAAATAAATCTAAACTTTACTTTTTCTAAGATATAAAAGCCCCAATTTAGTCACAAAAAGAAAACCATTCTTTCAGATATTGTATCTTTTTTTATGTACAGTATATTAAGGTTAGGCGGAATATATATCCAGCAGCTTACAGCGAAACATCCTTTACGACTCAACAGTTCGGCTATTGACACACACGCATACATACACAGCATACATAGGTATGCATCATCATCATCATTATCCTCGTAGTCAGTTTTCGTTATCGCTATCGATCATCATCATCAGTCAGGTCAGCATTATTCATCAATCAATCGATTAATAGTGATGGAAATCATGGAATCATGATGATGGTGGTGCAGGTGGAAGGGATCGTACGGATGGAAGGCCTTGATGATCGGCGCAGGATGATAGGACTTGATGATGGGTGGATGCACCACCGTCTTCACCACTGTGGGCAGGATCACTGGCTTGATGATGTGATGGGGGACACTGTGCACCACCGTCGAACTCTGGTGGGACACGGCAGCGGGCAGGTGGACGATCTTGGCCACATGCAGTGGCTCAACATGATGATGATGATGGGGATACAGCGGATACTCCGGATAGTGATGATGGTGGCCATGCAGGAAGCCAGGACGAGCAGCCGCCAGGGCACAGAGGGAGAGCAGCGATAGTATCTGGGGAAGGGGAATCCTTGTTAATCCTTGTTGTCCCTGGAGGGAGGTATCTATTACCCCCTAAGATCCTTACCAGTTTCATCATGTTGTGGGTGGGTGACTTAATCCTCGGTGACTCGTTGGCTGCTGGCAACTGATGCCACTCGATGGCTTGTAGGTGGCTTTTATTCACTTGCCACTTGGCCCCCACTGGCAACAGCTGCTGCTGCTGTTGCAGTTCCAGTGGCAGATGCAGATGCTCCGATGTTGAAGCTGAAGCCCAGTTGCCATATCCGCCGTTGCTGCGAGGCTTCAATGTTGTGGAACTTAGCGTCTGCATCCGCAGTTTGCAGTTTGGAGTCTGCCGTCTGCCGGCTGCAGTCTGCAGTTTGAAGCTGTTGCCGTTGTAATTGCAGCTCGTTTCGTTTCCATTTCAATGGTTGCCTTTGCGTTGTCTGCTTTTTTTCGCACACAGTTTTGTCAAGCGCCGCATTGTTTACCCGCAGCGTCTGAGACGAGATCCATCCATCGACCCCTTCCGATCCCAAGCGCTGAACTCTGCCTCGGTTTGGGTTCAACGCGGTGGCCAGAAGGCGCAGCAGGAGTTTGAAGGGAACAGGAGATGCTCTTCTTTTTGAATCAGTGGATGTAGTACAAATTAAGGAGCAAAATTGAGTTAAATTTAGTAAAAAGTCTATTTCCATATTTAAGTTTTATAATATTGCTAAAACAGTCTAAAGCCAAAATCCTTCAAAATAGTTTTTTAAATGATATTGTCATATTGTTAATTCCCGAAATTGATTAAAATTTCCTATGAAATTTAGCCTTTATTTTCGTTTAGTTATACATATGTATATGTTGTTATTTATATATATACTATTATTTGAATATAATTTATACATATTTTCTATGCATTATTTTAAAGAGATATCATTCTATTCATATATTTCTATTTTCATACTCACCTTACAATATTCGAGGCACACTTGAGGCATAAACTTATGGACCTCTCTAATTTATAGAGTATCTGCTTATGTGTTCATTCAGAATGTTTATCTTTAAGGTTGTCAATTGTTGTTTGTTTTTGTTGTTGCTGTTATTGTTGCTCTGCTGGCAAGTTTATAATAATATCCCAGCGATTGTCGCGTCGCGCTGCTCGCTGTTCTCGATGTCTTTTGCTGCAGCAATTGGCACTGGTAATTGCAATTGCAGCCGCTTCTGCTCATGTTGTTGCTGTTACAGTTGCAGTTGCTGCGATTTTCGCAGCAATTTGCACTCGTACCGTTAGGACCCAAGACCAGCTGCTGGCTGTGTATTGGTGCGCAGTTAGAGCATAATTTATGCCAGTGTTACATTTGCACGCTGCGACCTTGACTACTCGCAATTCGGCCTGCAAATTGCTGTTGGCTTTACAGCATCGCTATCTATATCTTTTTTTATTTTTCGTTTTTTTTTGGGGTTCCTCAAGTTTGGTTTCTTGGTCAGCGGAAATTCACACTTGCCAATTTAATTGTTGCAGTTTTTAGTTTCTTAGTCGTGGAAATTAGTTGCCAGTCTGGGAAGCTGCCACAAGAGCTGCCTTGTTTTTCCGAGTGTGTGAGAATCAAGATCTAGACATTGTCATCATAAAATAAATACCAACGACTGCGATCAGAATCATAGCACTAATATATAATGGTTTTTGCAGTAAAAAAATTACTACCAATAAATTTATTTTTTATTTGTTTTGTCTTTAAGACGCTAAAAATTAATTCGATTTAAGTTTGAAGAAATAGCATTATGTTTTGGATCAACGAAGTTATAATTATTTTCTGTTATTGTGTTCAAAATAAATCTTTATAATGTCATAAACTACTATACATTTGTAATTATTTGAAATATATTGTCTTATAAATATAATTCCCCAAAATTCAAACTTCACAGACTCCCAACTAATGTTAATTTAAATCCCTTTATCAACCTAATAAAATCAAGGGAAAATATAATCTATTTAAAATGTAGAAAAATAGATAACCAAATTTCTGGCTGTCATCTTGAGTGCTATTATTTTCACCGGCATTGCAAGGCTTCGCTGCTGTCTGCCATCGATTGTGATATTTAAGGCTTCCAATTGTGCCCTGTCATCTGCTGGAAAAGTTCACGAACGGCAGTTCAGCTCAGCTCCATGGCTCCATGGCAAACTAGAACACTTGACTCCACTCCGAGCACTCCGAGAGCTGAGCACGAGCTGGAGCTCATTAGAATGTCGCTTGATATTTTGACAGGCAACATGGACGGCAAGTGCTGAAATGTCAGAGACACTATAGGAGCCTTAGTCGGGTCGCTTAAATTAATCATGATTTGCATTTAGCCGGGTAAATATTTACACAACAATTTGCGGCGGTACCTGGTCAGCATAGCACTCCTTGAACCGCAAAATTGGGGCCCAAAGTGAATTCAATTGCCGGGCTTATCGCCACCAGGAAGCAATGCATCTGGCTGGGATTGGAACGAGTTGCAACGAGTGTTGCAACCTCTCGCTCCACGTAGCATGCTCCACCCAAAAAGAGTTCGATTCAGTTCAGTGGGTTAGTGGGAGACCAATCTCTGGCTAGGAATCTCAATGTTCGACTATTTTTCAATGTTATTGCAATTAAGCTGCAAGCCAAGTCGGGCATCCGCAGCACACGCTTTGCGATTCTGTGCCGAGAATGCTGCCGCTCAATTGATGGACACATCTGACCTTAGCTAGTGGCCAGTGGCCAATTGGTGGCTCCATCCATTGCTGGCCACCTGCTATGGGTGCTACGTGCTATGAGCTATGAGCTCGTTGAGTATCCGCCAGAGTGGCAGCCAGTTAGTCGAACGTAATTACTCGAGGGGGGCCAAGCAAATGAATTTTATATGCTGCCAGCCACCTTTTATTTCGCCTGCCAGCCGCTCCACTTGCCACAGCTGCAGCACATTTCTCACCGGCCGCCATTTGCGTAATGCTCCTTCTTGGGTTTGGATTAGGAGTAATGCACTTGGAGGAATATTACCTAGGATATTAGTGAAATAATCTAAGGTTTAGAGGGATTTCTAGCAAAGAAATTGGTCGTGCTTAAAGTAAAAGTTTCCATACAATTTTGGCTAAATCTAAAATGTCTTTAAATTTAGATTTCCTTAGAATATGGATATATGTTTATAGGGAAAAAATTAACTAAACTAAGAAACCTGTTTAGGAACTATTTCTGTTTGAAAATAGAAAAAAGGAAAACAAAATGCTTTTCCCAGAATTAAATTCAAATCTGAAGTATTTGAACTTACTCCTTAGTGTGTAATTGCAGTAGTTTTAGTTTTTACTGAGTAAATAAATTTACTATTACTCTTTGTTTACACATAATTTTACACACATTTCTTTACTAATACTATTTGCTATTTCTAAACTTTTAAATACATTTTCAGTGTAAGTATCCAGCGCTCTGACATCTGAGTGAACTGTGGCAACGGGACAGGTCGAATCATTTGTGGCCGGGAGTGTTTGGCAACACAGAGAGCTGGCGCCTTCTGATCGGACAGATCGGGCTTGGCCAACAAAGCTCTTTTCTTAGCCAACAAAATATTGAATTTCATGTAACATAATGGTCAACTAATTTTGGGTCTTTGGTCTTGCGTGGAGTGTTGGCTGCGAGCGAAATGATTTTGTACTTAAAGTTTATGGACAAGTTAATGGGTTAACTTTTGAGTTGCATTAATAGTTGAAAGGTTGGTTAAGGAAGGTTTTTGGTATTTGAATCCTTATTATACTAACATTATACTTGTTACCGCTTTTCTACTACTACTATTTTCTCTTTAAAAGTCTACATCAATTTTTACATCATGCGTTTCAAAACATTTGTCCCACACATCGACCTTCAAGGCAATTAGCTTTATAAAAATCATACTTACACAATGGGAAATCAGTGGTTGATCATGAAAGACTCGGAAGCATTTAAGAGTCAGAGCTTATTATGGCCAAGAAAAGAACAAGCCAGATAAGTAATGACGTCGGAAAGATTGTCAACACCCCATTCCCAACCACCTCACTCCCCCTCTAAGTAATTGATCTTTAAGCCCGGCTTAATTGTTGTTCATTACGCTTAGTTGGAGATCAACGCGAATGTCTCTAATTAAAAGCGAAATTGAGTTTGGTGCTAAACGGTGTCGATAAAAGTTTGCCCGGGGAACTGGTTCCCTCTGTATGCATGATAATTGCCTGGCAATTTCTTAATGTGGCTAGTAGTGCTCTCTTGCTGGTGTTATGCAATGAATTGGCCGAAACAGATACAGATACAGATACAGAAACAGAGGCAGAACTGTCAATTGGCCGGTGGCCACATGGGGAACATTACATTACCCCCGAAGCCAGATCCCAAGAGAGATACTGGCACAACGGCACACAGCATTTGGTGTGTTTTTTATACCCTTGCAGGGTATTATAATTTCAGTCAGAAGTTTGCAACGCAGTGAAGGAGGCACCTCCGACCATATAAAGTATATATATTCTTGATCAGGATCAACAGCCGAGTCGATCTAGCCATGTCCGTCTGTCCGTCTGTCCGTCTGTCCGTCTGTCCGTCTGTCCTTCTGTCCGTCTGTCCGTCTGTCCGTCTGTCCGTTTCTACGCAAACTAGTCTCTCAGTTTTGAAGCTATCTGAATGAAACTTTGTAGTTAGCCTTCTATATACTCTCACTCGTATATATGTCGGAACGGGCCGGATCGGACGACTATATCATATAGCTGCCATAGGAATGATCGGAAAATTTTTACAAAAAAAATTTTAACATTTTCAGTTTTCAATAGAATTGGATCAAATTTGAGATATAGCTATTTTACTATACTCTACAATTTTGTATAAAATTTTATGAAAATCGGGCTACTATATCATATAGCTCCCATAGGAACGATCGAGAAATTAATAAAATTAAAAATTATAACTTTTTCAGTTTTCAACAGATTTTCATCAAATTTGAGGTGTAGCCATTTTATATTAGTCTTAAATTTTGTGGCAAATTTCATAAAAATCGGACGACTATATCATATAGGTGCCATACAAACGATCGTTTGATGAAGAGGAAAAATGCAAATCTGTGAATGTAAAACTGCAAATATAATATGTATAGGTGAATGAAATGAAAGCAGGTATTACTTCATTGTTTTTTAACACAAATATATTTAATTTATATGGTATGGATTCCTAGTCATAGAATTTCTATCTGCAAGGGTATATAAACTTCGGCGTGCCGAAGTTAGCTTCCTTTCTTGTTTTTTCTTATTATTACTATTTTTTGGTAAAAACATAGCCCGGATATTGCCAAGGAATTTACCACAAATAGACTCAAATCTATTAAAAGTCACTCAAGAATTTTGGCCAACAAAGAGGCAAGCGGAAGGCGCGCGGAGTTATGTCGCCAGATCGAAGCCTTCATTAATCATGCTAAAAATTGCTGACAAATCACCATAACGGCGGCAAATACAACCGAAGTCAAACACCAAACAAGGGACAGTGGTCTTATAATATAGAATTTTAAAAATATTCAGATTTACACAATTATTTATTAAAATTTGAGGTAAATAAAAAGCTAAGTGAATAGAAAACGAGAAAAGAAGAAGATTGCAATGACTATAAATACATTTATTAATATTTTATTACTAATTAATAAGGACTTTTATTAAGAATCGAAATGTAACAGACAGTTGACCATAAGAATAGAGAATCAAAATCTTCTATATATTTTAATTATAAATATCAATTACTTTCTATATATTATTATTCGCAAATAGTTACTTTATTATCCACTGTTCCCTCCAAGTACAGTTTGGTCTGTGTGTGTCTGTGTGATCTGCGCGCCTGCGCAATCGCCATAGCTGTCGATGTTTGCTTATTACACAAAGCGGAACTCCAGACCAGTCCCAGTTTCAGTCTCAGTCTCAGTCTCAGTCCAAGCCTGAGAGTTCCAGTCCCGAGTGCGGTTCTATGTGGGATGTGGCTGACTCTGACTGTGGCTCTGGCTCTTTATCGCTTTGCCGTCTAGCTGGCCATTGTTATGCCAGACAATTGCAATTCCAGATTAACATAACCAGAAAAAAATAAACAACATACGGGGTGGAGAAAGGCAAGGAGTGGCGGAGTTTGCCAGAGGGAATAAAGTACAGAAATGTGGTGATCAATTCGAGTTGCCAGGGGATAAAGGATACTTGTGTCATTAAATATATATTTTAAATAAATAAGTGGGTATAGTAAAGCTGTCAAAATAAGGGAAAGTGTTTTTAAACTGACGGAAATTATAGAAACTGCTTAGAAAACTTGGGAAGAAATAAGTATGAAATGTTTAGAATATATGTAACATAAAAAATTCAAGTTTTCAGAGTACATGCCATAACACAATTAATTTAAAAATACTTCTACATTAAAATAAATTTATACAAAAATTATTCAACCACAAAGCCATTCTTTAAACTCTTTTGTTCTTAGTTTTATCACAACATAATTCATTTTTATTGTGATTTTTTCTAGGCACTATTTAACTATAAAAACTCATAAAAACAGTTAAGCTGAAAACTATAAATACAAATCTTATAAGAGCCGCTAATTAAATTCCCACATATATTTTAATTATGAGTTATCATTAAAAAGCTAACTAGTTATTGTTTACTGTTCAGTAGCTCCATAAACATTCTGTTTGCAAACACTCATCAGAGTCTCCTCAGAGACATATAAATTTAGTAAAAAGTAAAAAAATTAATGAGACACTGTGTTAAGTTTGCTAAAAAATATGAAGAAATTCATTTCCATTTCGTTTCGCGTTCGCTGGCCGACGTGATGGGCAAGTAAATAGCCCCACTTGGTGACTTTGCGCACATTCCTTTCCCCATTCAGTGACGATTCCGCCGCCTCCAATGGACATGGCCTTCTCTCGCAGACGCAACAACTGCTGGTGGAGATGGAGAGGCGGGTACATGGCCCCCTTGGAGCCAGTTATGGCCATGACAGAAACACGCAAGTGCGTTAGCATTGAACTTGGGCTACTTTGGGCGGGTTGTAATGGCTGTGTGCGTGTTGCAGCCACGGGGAATTTTCACGGTCAACTTTGAGGAAAATGACAAGTGTGAACCACATTTATTTCTTTTTTGCGACGCCTGTCTTTGGGCCTGAAGTGATGCAAGTGGCGGCTGCTGGCCAACTGGCCTGGTGTCCGAGTGGGCCAAGAGCCCACCATTCAGCGAACAGCGACAGACCAACATTTTATTTTGACTGGTTTTCTGCTCTTTATTTTTTTTGTTATTTTTGCAACCTAATGGGGTACGATGTCTTAGGTGGGCAGTGGCCAGCTTTGGCCCGTTGGGGAGTCGTCAGGGGGAGGCCTGGCCAAAAAACTAAAAAAACTCCAAGCGAAGACAAAGCGAATCAGCTGCTGCACATGCAAACTTTGGCAGCTTTTCTGTGGCCGTTGGCGTTATTTTTCAGCTTTTCCTAACGATCTTTTGAAGGAGGAGGAAAGAAAAAAAAAGATATTATTATTGTGTTTTCTGCATTTTAAGATTCGGTTGCACATGGCCGCCGCCTGCTCGGATTTTGGCAGTATAAAAGCAGTTGCAAATTGCAAGCTGGCAGCACAATTCGGCGAGGCGTCAACACAGACCCACAGTTCATTAGTTCAGCCAATAGCTAGCGCAACAGGATCGCCAGGATTAGCAAAATGTACAAGTTGGTGAGTTGAAAAAGAAACACAAAAAGGAATCCCAAGTCTTAGAGTCCTGACTACATTAAGTATTTGCTTTCCAAAAGAATCCTAATTCGACTGAAGGAAACTTGTGTCCTTTTTCTCTTCTATTTCCCTCTATAAATATTTTTTTCTTTTTTCCCAAAGGTGGTGTTCTTCGCTCTGCTTGCCTTTGTGGCCGCTCGTCCGGGTTATCTGGAAGCTGATCCTTGGAGCCACAGCTATGCTGCTCCGGCCATTATCCATGAACCCGCTTTGGCCAAGGTGGGTGCCATCATCAAGACCATTCCCAGTGCTGTCTCCCACCAGAGCATCAGCCAGGTGCATAGCTCTGCCCACATTATCCAGCCCATTGTTGCCCCAGTGCTGAAGACCTATGCCGCTCCGATTATCAAGACTTATGCGGCTCCGGCTCTGCACACGACCCTGCTGTCGCCCTCGTGGGCTGGACATGGCTGGGCCCCGTCCTGGTAGAGGTCCTGCGGATGATGTCTTTGCGTGGGCTAGCAACTACACAGATTCCAGTTACATTTCCCCACCCAACCCGATGCTAATTCGTTCTCCTTACCCAGCTGTTTTGTTTTTTTTTTCTTACACATTTCGACTGATGTAAATAAATCCATGTTTCATGCTCAGATTAATCTTGTGTCTATTGAACTTTTTATTTGAATTCTTTATGTGATAGTATTTGGCACTAAAAACCTTTAAGAGAGCAGAGTAAAGAAATTAACTTTAATTTAACTCTGTACCCACAAAGCGTGACAATATGATTCACATTTTTTAACGTATATTTGGCTCATGTTTAACTATGTCTGTTTACCAAAACATATCATAATTCAAAGTGTTTGAAATACGGGTAATTGTTAGTCCTAAAGTTTTCAGACATTAAACAACTACAAACTTGTTTGTAATAATGCTGTCTTGAAAGAGGTCTCTTAAGTTATATATGTAAGTAATTTTATCAGATAGACCGCTGCTTTTATAGTAATTTAATGATATAAGAAGATTTTCACATATAATAGTAATAATGTTATATGTAATTATCATTGAAAGCAAAAGCAATCAATTTAATAAGTCTAAGACAGATGCAAAAAGTTTAAAAGTTAATTAAAAAATCTACAACTTACAAGAATTTATTAAAATCTTATGGAAAAAAGAAAATGAAACATAACAACGTTCTCTTTATAAATTAAGAAAGTTATTTAAGCTTTTTAAAAATAGTACGACTGAGATATACCATTTATGCAATGTACATCGTACATGAATAACTGAATCCTTAATTAGTTAGGGCTCTAAATATGAAAGCATCTTAAGTTATTTAAACGCAACACCAAAATAGATTAAGTTACTAATAATACTAGATATAAAGTTCCCCCAAGATTCCCAATTAAATACAACAGGTAGTATTTTTTTTTTACAAAATCACATTTTACTCGCAACTAAACATTATTTACAATAGGAATAGCTTTTCTTTCTAACCATCCAGATCGCTCGTCAGAGCCTCCAATATCCTCCAGTTCTCCGGATTACCAACCAGCACTGTAGACAACGGGAGCAGCAGCATAGCTGGTGTGAACCAGAGGAGCAGCGGCAGCATAGGTGGAGTGGACAACGGGAGCAGCAGCATAGCTGGTATGAACCACTGGAGCGGCAGCGGCATAGCTAACCACCGGAGTGGACTTGACCACAGGAGCCACGACATCCTCCACAACGTGCGCCGAGCTGTGCACCACCGACTGGCTCTGGTGGGAGACCGAGGTGGGGACACTGTTCACCACGGCACCCACTTTGGCCAGAACCTGCTCCTGGACATAGGTTGTGGCAGCAGGAGCGGAGTACACCACAGGAGACTCATAGAGATGGCCAGGACGAGCGACAGCTACGGCAAGGAGAGCAGACAACACCACCTGGAGGTTGGAAATTAGGAGTTAGTTAACTATATTTTAATAAAATCTAAAGATAAGGATGAAATTATTTACCAATTTGAACATTTTGAAGGATTTTTGTTTCTTGGTCTGTGTTGTGCTGCTGAAGCGAACAAAAGTTGACTGATAATGGTTCAACCGAAATTGGTCTCTTATATATGCTTAAAAAAATATATATTTTCCATTGCGTCGCGTTCACGGCGCCGCTTCAAAAGCCGCAAAAGTGTGGTTTAATTAAAACATTTACGAGCCAGCCGGTGGCCAGTGGTGCTCAGTCAAAACGAAATCAAATGAGTTGTATAAAACTGCCCTCGCTCGGACAATAAAACATGAGACTTGCAATTGGTCACTTGGAAACCCTAAATCTAAAAAACCCAAAAACTCACGCACTGCACGTTGACCCTGACTCACGCCCTCAAAGTGCAAGTAATGCAGCTGCAGAGGAATCTCCCCCCAGCCTCTAATGGCACTCAAGAGGGCCTAATGGCTATGGATTGCTATACACAGAGAAAATGGTTTATTTATTTAAAAGTAACATCAAAGTATTTAGTCCGTAAATAATGAGAAATATGATATTTTTCACATAAGTAGAGTAATTATTATTTTTCGACTCTGATTTCTTTGTATATACTTATAAGGCTGTAATTGATCTATATTTATTTTCCTGTGTACTCACAGCTCATGACTCGCTTGTCTCTGTTGAGCCGTCCACCGACGCTAATTGCTTATTGATCGTTGGCCAGAATCTGATATGGGCTTAACTTCAACTCGAATTGTGCGTCAAAGTGGCAAGGTCACATCTTGGTCTGGCTGCCGTATAAAAAGATTACGGCTGCCGGGCAATCAACAACAGTTCTCGCAAGAAACTCAATCCGAACACTCAGTCTCTCCCATCAGTCAATACAGACCAAACTTATAGCCAAAATGTTCAAGTTGGTGGTATTGTCTGCTCTCCTCGCCGTAGCCGCTGCCCGTCCCGGTCACCTGCTGGAGTCCTCCCCGCTGGTCTATGCCGCCCCGGCCACCACCATCATCCAGGAGCCCGTTCTGGCCAAAGTTGGAGCTGTGGTGAAGAGCGTACCCACTGCCGTGAGCCACCAGAGCCAGTCGGTGGTGCACAGCTCGGCGCACGTTGTGGAGGATGTCGTGGCTCCTGTGGTCAAGTCCACCCCGGTGGTTAGCTATGCCGCTGCCGCTCCAGTGGTTCATACCAGCTATGCTGCTGCTCCCGTTGTCCACTCCACCTATGCTGCTGCTGCTCCTCTGGTGCACTCTACCTATGCCGCTGCTGCTCCTGTCTTGGCCAGCTCCTATGCCGCCGTGGCTCCAGTCGCCCATGTGGCTGCCTCCTCGCCGCTGACCTACACCGCCACCGGTGTGTGGTAAAGCGCTCCTCCCAGTACGACTCCCAGTTGTAATCCCTCTCCTCCAACCTCTGCCAGGTGACGAGGATGCAATCGCTGGACGGTTTTGTGATACGAATTTTAAATAAATACATGTTTTGCCTTGAAAATTGTCTGAAGGTGTTTGCTTTTCTTACCAGCTTGACTTTTAGTCCATTACTCTTTGTTTATAGAGGCTAAAGACTTTGCTTTCCTTGGGTACTTTTAGTTTTATAATATTTTAGATATTAAATATCAGGTTAAAGGAAAGTGATAGTTGGAAATGAAATTTAGATTATGATTTTCGATATTTAAGTAAGTATAAAGCAAAGTAGCAGTCTTCTTATAAAGAAGTTTAAAATTAGTTAAATAGATTTCTAAAATTTTTTCAGAACTGAAGTTCCTTTCAGGGTATTCATAGCATCAGTGAAACTCCATTTCCATCTAGTTTTGTGATCAGAATGAAAATTAATTCACTGTAGAAACTGCTTGGCTGGCTTGACTAGCTTTCTATGCTGAATGTGTCCTGGTTCATTGGCCCTTGGCACGTACTTACTTCCTGCTGCAGTTACTCCTGGACATATACAGAGTATAAACAAACACCTCACACGTAAGAGTAACAAATTGGCATCCCGCTGACCAGCCAACTCGCTGGAATTCTTGGCCAATGAACCCTAGTTATTTAACAAATTAATTTGTACTCGAATATATATGTAGTTTAACAATTTATTTAATTAATTTTATGACTCATTTAGACTCACAATCTAGACTTTAATCATTATTATTCTCTGTGCGATAGCTCGCTAATCCAGGTATATTTACTTCGATTTTGTCAGCAAAATTAGCTATGGGTGTGAGAATGGTTTTTAGGATATCTCCTGGAAATCGCCACTCCTTAGAGGTTCCATTTACATCTCGCTTTTCGACCACATGACGATTGTGGACATATCCACTGCTGCAGTATAAGCCCAGCCAGAGGAAAAATATGATCTAAGAATGATTTTTTAATTAGTTTTGTATTTATTCATCCTTATATGTTTTTTCTCACCACTTTCCACTGGAAATTCATGGTGTTTTGTCCGTTCTAATCAATTATTTTAAATGCAATGAATGCAGCCATAAAATAAAGGCTGCTTTTATAGAAAAAACTGTGTTTATTTCTAGGGACACTCGCACTTGTTGCACAGGTGCACTCAAGTTCTATTGAAACGAACTCGAAGTCTGTACCAGGTTTCTGGGAAAGAAGCTAACTTTATGTGTAAGACAAGCTTTCTGGCAGATGTTAGCCTGAAATATAGATACACCTTAAGTAATTAAATTTGCAAGAAACTTAAATTTAAAAAAATTTGAATGAATGATTGAAATGAAAAATGCGTGCTTAATGCTTAAGATAATCATATAGTTGATTTCAGCAATTTCTCTTAAACCGAGTAGGGATTTCTTTGCTTACCAACCTTGGCTTGAGTCGGAAATTGAATTCCATTGACTTCCAATTAGAAGTAAAACCCTTGGATCTCCCGCTTCCCCCAAAATAAGATACAAGAAAATAAATGCCAGGTGAGTACGTGAGACTAATGAGTCCACATTGGCTTCGAGTGAGTTGTGAAATGAAACCAAGAGTGCGAGTGCGAGTGCGAGGCCGAAAATAAGTGAAATAATGAGTAGGAGCGGTGGAGAATTGGCCGCGAATAATAATCTGGTTTATGGCCAAGACTTCGGAGACACGGAGACTTGGAGAGTCGGAGACAGCGGCCAGAATCCGTTCAGGCACGTTCGACTTCTGGCTTATTGTATCCGCCTCAATGGCCAAGAGCCTTGTACGTGTGCAGAGTTACCTGTGTGTTACCTGTGTGTGGGAGCTGCGAAAGTGAAGTTCACGTATAAAAGCCGTTGACAGTCCCTCAGCTCAACACATTCGAAGTCTGTCTCCCTTTGCAGTGACACAAGTCGAAGAAGTAACCATTACCAATATGTTCAAATTGGTAAGGATCTTTGGGCAACTGGTTCTTCCTGGATTGGATTATTATAACCCTTTCTCTTCCCTGCAGTTCGTTCTCGCCGCTCTCCTGGCCGTTGCCGCCGCCAAGCCCGGTCACCTGGCCGCCGCTCCTCTGGTCTACAGTGCCCCTGCTGCCACCACCATTGTCCAGGAGCCCGTCCTTGCCAAGGTTGGAGCCGTGGTGAAGAGTGTGCCCACCGCTGTGAGCCACCAGAGCGTGACCCAGGTGCACAGCACTCCTGTCGTCGAGGATGTGGTTGCTCCCGTGGTCAAGACCACTGCCGTCCACTCTGCTCCCGTCGTGGCTGCTGCTCCCATTGTGAAGACCGTCGCCCCTGTCGCCTACTCTGCTCCTTTGGCCTACTCCGCCCCCTCGGTGGCAGCCTACTCCGCGTATCCTTCCTACTCCGCCCCCCTGACTTACTCCGCCCCCGTGGCCTACTCCTCGCCGGTGGCCTATGCCGCCCCTGCCCCCCTGCTGCACCATGCTCCCCTTACCTACGCCGCCAGCGCCTGGTAAGAAAGCCATAAACGAGAACGAAAGAATTTGAGCGAACAAATAAATACAAAACGAATAAAATTAACTAAATGTGAATGCCAAAATAATGAATGTTTCCATAAAAGCGAAGGGAGGGATTTAATGCGACAGTTTAAAAAACAATAACTTGGCTATTAAGCATTAAACAAACTAAAAACAACAATGGGCTTAAAACTTGCTAGAACGTAAATACAAGAACCTTAAAACTCGGAAAAAAACATCATGTGTTTAAGTAAAGTTCAGTAAAAACTATTTAAGAGTTTATTAAATATTTTGGACAAGAGTTTTGCAGACAAATCTTATTTTTTAAAAGTCCATAACTAAGTCAAAAAGCTGTAAATTCAATTTGGAAAGCTGTTCTGAATTAGTTTTTATCAAGCTAATAAATCTAAGAATATATGTATATGTTTTATGGGGTCGGAAATTACTTCTTTAGTGAGTTTTAAAGTTCTTACCAAAATTATAATACCCCGCAAGTTATTGTTAAGAAAGTTCATTTCTTCCTTTTTGCCTTAATTCGCACAAATCTATTATTTATTGTTTCATAAATGATATAATTAAATCGGAATTATTAAGAATATCACGAAGTACATTTTTGGTTTTTTTGTGATGTTAGATTCTGACCTTTAAATTTCATAGACTTTGACTTTTAATATTGCAAAATGAGATAATGAGATTAATGTTTCCCTTTGGGTATCCCTACTTCAAGTAGATGCTAGGATAGCTAGCTCCGCTCCAGACCTCAGGTCCATACCATCCAGCACTGCTTCCAGTATGCCCCAAAGGAGCATAGGAAATGGAAGTGGCTGGAGCATAGGCTGTCTTCAGCAGCGGAGTGTGATCCACAATGGGACGCCAGTAGGGACGCTTCTCATGGACCACTGTGGAGCTCTGATGCGACACAGCAGCGGGCAGGGCCAGATGTTCATATCCAACGACACTGGGGGCATATTCCACGGTCTCATAGCTCGGCAAGTAGCTGGGACGAGCCTGGATCAGGACAGCCAAAAATCCGCAAATAAGAAATACCTATAAGGGGTAGGGGAGATAGTTCGTTAAGTAACTCCTAAAAATATTATCCAAAGCCACTCACAACTTTGAACATCTTCGCTGGGTGAACTCTGCAACTATGTTTGGCAGTTGGAAAAGTCATCGGTGTTTTATACAAGCCCCGAACCAAGGGAATTAGCTTCTTTACGTTAGAATTGGCACAAACAATCGAGCCATCATCATCTCAAAATTTGTTTATTTTTTGCCCAGCAGCTGGTGTTTTTTTTGCGTTTTTCCTTCAGCGAATTCCCAGACCCAGATGGCTCATTAGTGACCCATTTGGGCGGAACTGACCGAGCCAAGTCGAGGCTGTTGTTCAGGCCGAAAGACTGAATGGAGCCAAGTCAAGCCACCCAAAAAAATGCTACCTGGTAAGAGCATGGCACCCACACACCCCACACACAGCCAATCCAGTTTCAGTATTTGAATTCCTGGCTTATTTCTTCTACTTGACTGGCACAGCAAATGTGGGACAGCCATTAGCATAACTAGCAGCCGAAAAACTCTTTTTCCAGCCTTTTTTCCTGCCTCTTGGGCCCCGCCTGACTGGGTTTTCCTCAAACTATTTTTGGGCGCCACCAACGCAACAAGCATCAAACGCCACATGTTGTCGAGTTTCGGTGGCACCAAACTTTGATTTAATTAACCATACACGCCAAGAGACTCCCAGCCCATTTGCGGCGACCTTGGCTCTAATTTAATTAAGAAGAAAAACACAGAAGCAGAAAAAAAAACCAGCCCACAATGAGCTTGTTCAGAAGCGAGAGATATAACAAGACGCTGACAGGGCCCGAAACGATTTAATCATTGACCAAGTTGCTCTCATTGTTGTTGCTGCTGCAGAATGCCATTGTTTGTGGATTTTGGTCCACTTTGGCTTCTGGCCAAGCACAACTCCGACCTGAACGTGTAAATCACTCGAGTGTTTAGCAGTAGTTGGCATAAATCTTTGACTGACACTTACCGCCGGGTGTAATATTTCCACTTGCAGAAATGGCAACTAAGCTAAAGAAAACATTACAAAAAAATAAATAAGTTAGCAAAAAACTTGTCAGTGGTTTACTGTTCTTGCTGGTTTTGTTTTTCAAACAATTTTATTACATTTACTGGTTAAACTTTTTAAATTTGTAGTAAGACACTTGCCTACTTTTGAGCTGTGGTCTTAAAATAAAGCTTAAAGTCGTAGCTTTTTATGGCTAAAACAGGCTTTGGGCTTAAACTTAACCCATGCTGGCCTATGTGGTTAATTAGCCACAGCAGCAGAATTTTTTTACCAAAATAAAAAAGTAAATACTTCAACTAATTTATTTAAAGCTTTAATACGGCTTAAATCTGTCTTAAATCTATAAGGAAATGAATGTGTTCACAAAACAAAAGTTAAGCCTGGATTTTCAGCACACAATTCCATAAACAATCTCCTGGTTAGTTAAAATTATTGACAAATGGACAAGAGTTTTTAAATTGTTTGGCTAATAGAAGTTGACGGTGTCCACTGGGACTGGCTCGAACTCAACTCGAGTCTGCATTTGTAGCTGTATCTTTGAGGTTGTCAGCATGGAACATGCAACTTAATTAGTTTCCAGTAACCAGAGTGGTTGTTGCCAACTAGCAACACTTTAAGCTGGCCTTATCTGAGTGTTATCGGTGCGACTTGGCCTGGCCGCAAACAGCATTGAAAATCGCTCATACGCCATGTAATTAGATCTGTAATAGCCACATCCGCCTCCAGGCCTAAACGTTTGGGAAATGCCTCGTTTGGCCAGTTCTTGTACTACTGTTTTTTGTGGGGCGTGTGATCTGCATTGTCTTATTAATTTTAATGACTGAATTATACAAAACTTGACGCACAAGCAACAGTTGTTTTTGTCGGTTGCAGCTCGGAAACGACTTCCTCCTTGATTGCACAGAACTCCCAGCGGAATTGATCGACGTTGTTATTCTCAAATCGAATTCGTTTTGGAGTTTCTGGTTTCTTGTAGTTTTTTTTTTCATTTTTTTTCTAAATGTAATTTACGTACATGAATTTAATGTTTAGCTGCGGCTATCATTAAGTCTAATTGACTTTTTATAGTTATCGCTGTTTCTCAGCTTATTTCAGCTTTTGTTGGTGAGAAAACCGAAGCAGAGCGAACTTGAGCAGGGTTAGCAGTTCATAGAGCAGGTCTTAGGGATGGCATAATGTTGTTCGTGTTTTATAGATCGTAAATATATAGTAAAGATCATCAAAAATAACTCCTACATACAATTAAATAATAATGATTTGATGGAGATAGATATGTCACAATCAAAAGTAGCTCAACCATAGCTCGTGACTTAATTTCTTGCCACCTCTGATTTAGATATAGATACTGCCCCCACAGGTGTGCAATCATGCCTGGGATCTTGCCCAGTAATTTGATTTCAGCTCAAGTTCAGGGTGAGTAACCACACAAGTCACCGAATTGCTCTAGAACAATCGCGGCGGTAACAATAAGCGGTGGCAACAAAAAGTGAAAGTCAAATTAGATGCATTAGAACCTTATGGAATTCGCCAGAAATACTTAGGTACTTCCAAGAGGGGGCATTAAGAGGGGCAAGCGCACCCACACGAGAACTAAATTCAATTAAAAAGCACTAATCGAGTAGCAAATAATTCGGACAGCCTCTCGCATAAATCTCAGCAACTGGGAGTCAAGCGATTTGCATACAATTTGGCGACACACAACTTTAATTTACGAGCTCGCAAAAGGGGCGTGACTTGTTCAACATGCTGGTATATATATATATACATTTTTTTGGGTTTTTTAGTTTGTTATTGTTGCGATCTAACTACTTAATTATGAAGCAAATTTCAGTCTATTTGCATTGACAGCTTCAAGTGCCCGAGAGCGCGCGAGCACACTCAGTGAAGCTGTCAAATGATCTGTGACCAAAATAGTTTATATGTAGTTTATACTATGTACATGCAGCAAGTTGATCCACAACAACAAACAACAATAACAAAAATTGTTATTAAACAAAAAACAGAAACGCTCTACGTGCCATGAGCCACTTTGCACAATGTCCCCGCACAAAAAAAGAACTTCAAAGCGAAATGAAACCAACTTTTGCAAATGATAATTGTTGGCCCAACCTCGAGCTGAGCTGAAGGTAAACCATCTACGCCAGTAGGGAGGACAAAAAGGGGGCTGGATGGGGCTAATCCACCTTAGCTCACTTTAATTCCATTAATGAAAACTTTGGCTCTCAGTCGGCGAGTGTGTTTCCATGGCTTTTCACAGCGGTGTCTGTGTTCTATGTGGAAAATCCAAGCATTGATTGTTACCCTAGGAAAATAATCACGAAATGATATTTGAGACTCATTAAAAATAAATATGGATTTGCAGAAATCTTCTATGAAAGAATGTGGCTTAATTAGCAGCAACACTATATAATTGGTATTGAGTTTGATTTTTAAATGTCAGAGGAACTATATACTCAAGATTATATTATTGTGAGAACTTTACATTTAGCTTTGAAGTATAAAATGATATTCGTATTGTTTAACCATAACAAGGATATGAAATGCAGACTATCATAACTTGGCATACTTATCAAATACCTTAAGTAATAAAAACTAAATCTTAACCTACCTTAATTTATAAGTAAATAACCATATTCTCCAACATTTTCCCAGGGTACCCATTCCTCCTTAACCTTATCAAAAGACTTGACTCTCTGCTGGCCATTGTTACAGTTTTGCACTTGGCATTTGTCGCTGCCGTTGCTCTCTTATTATTAATCATTATAAAACCGTCTAATTGTTGTACAACTGGGTACAGTGTAATATGCACGACATTGTGACAAAGGCTGGGGGTACTGGGGTAAGCACGACCTTGACCGCGTAGTGTAGCGTCCAACATGTGGTATACTTAATACTTAATTGGCCACACTCGAGTCACAGCCACAGATGGGAGTATGCTGTGCTATGCAAATTGCGAATCGCCCAACAACCAACAATTATGTAAAACTATAAAAATTAAATAATAACTCTTTGCGGTCATATGCTTGTTTGTTTTTAATCCAATTCAGGTACCACATAGATGTGGCTTTCCAGAGTGTCCCACTTGTGAAATTTCCTTTAGCCAGAATTCGCTGGACAAATTTCAGGTCCCGGGACTCTGTGACTATTTCCCCATAAAAATCACATAAATCAAGACGAGGGGAAAATATATATTGAGTTGAGTTGAGCTCTATGCGAGTTGAGTTTGAGCTTTGGAAAATTGACGGCTTTTAATTTCGACTTTTGAATGATTTGTTGGCAATCAAAGCGTTTTGGGCGTTGCTTGGGAAATGCGAATTGGATGGATATTTCCCAATTGGGAGGCCATTAAAATGCAATTACACTAGTGCACTAGTACGGCTAGGTGGTCGGTCAGCTGCGGTCGCGGTCTGAACCAGGCCCATAAACCCAACAAGCCGAGTGGGTGGTAGTTTTGGTCTTGTGATTTTTTGGGCAGGTCGCTCGATCCAACGATCGATAGCCACGCAATTTGGCATCCTGTGTCCGGTGTCAATCAAGCCGCCTTCGATTTAGATTTATGCGACAATTTGGCCAGCATTTGCATATCGCCCCGGGTCCGGGCCAAATCACGAGGTGTCGGCTCTGGTGAAGGGTTCCGACTTGGTTTCACTCACGCTTTGGACTAAGGCCCGTTGATATGCAGATTGTCCCCCCAATCAGCAGCGATGCCCAGGGTCAAAGCCAGCCGCAGAATTGTCGCCATCGTAATTGTTTATTGATTTATGCGTCATAAACTTTAAGCCGCGCTTTGTTCGCCCTGGGAGACACACAGAACCCTAGGTTTCAAATCAAAATTCGGATCAAAACACATTTTGATTCCAAGGCCCCATACATAGTAACACAAGCGTTTTGCAATTCTTTTCACGCCTCGTGTTCTCGGCAGATCTTGTGATTTGATAGAGGAATTAAGCATGGCTATTAGGAAATCTGGCAGGCCATTCCAAAGCCAGTAAATATGATTTACCTCTGTTTCCAATTGATTTCTCCACCCAAGTTACGCATACGCCGTGTGTGCC